TTAGTGATTTTAATTTGAATTTTTAGACGGGCCCCCATTGGGTGCAATTTGTTTGACCTTAGCGCGTGACTTCGCTGTGAATTGTTTGTCAAAGCAGCAAAAACCGTTTTGAAAGTCTACTGCAATGAGCTTTTTGTAGCGCTCAGTAAGCGACATTAACGATGCACTATTCAGGGACAGTATGTTGTAAGCAGAGACAGAAAGAGTTTGGGATTAGTTTGCCAATGCAAAGTGACTGAACGAGGCAGGAAAAGGAAATGACTCTGGGCAGAGATACAATACTTAATGCTGTAACAAGTAACGAACCATTCGGCGAACAAGCGATTAGTGAAAGTGCGACAGATGGCGATCATTTTATCATTTATTTTCTTCTCAAGTGATCGGAAGTGAAATGGCTGACTATGCACAAGCTACACAATACTCTATTTTGATTTCATTGTAAACAAAATTATAGCTCTAACAAAATGCATGAACGTGAATTCTATATTTTGAGCTAAAAATAAATATTGTTCAGCATAGTGCTTCTTCATTCAAATGTCAAGAGTGGGAAAGTGACTGGAAAGGTATTCGTATTTACAAAGCAACTTTGACATGAGAGTAACGATCAAGAACAATCTTTTTGGTGAGTCAGACCTGTCATTTACGCATTAACAATACTACAATAAAAGAATTAACAATTGTATAGCATTTGTTTGCTTACCATAAGAAGACAACTCTTGACACATCTGATCTACATGACCAATTATTATACCAGCTCTTGACGTCAAGAGTGACACCAACGCGGACAAACCTCAATTAATTTTGAGTAGCGAGACCAAAATATAATCGCATTTGGCCAAAGCAACTTCAACAATTAGTTGGCCAACATCGCAAACCAAATGCTCCTCCAATTCGTGAAGATGCCAGCCATAATATTGCTCGATCTGATACTTCCATCGATCGAGTCAGCCCCAATCTGAAGCCAAAGAAATTCGCATAACAAAAGCTAATTACGCGATGCGGTCAATCCAGCCACGCCACGGCGTTGCCTTTTTACAACGCTTTGATTTATTTTTTGGACTGCGCATAATTTTCGGATCAATCAACTCGACGGCCCGCGACCCAATCTGCGGTCTGTAAGTCTAATGGCATTGGCTGAGGCAAAAACCAAGCCAGAGAAGAAGAAACCACTGCCAAGACCGCCAAAGCAGCGATGCATATGGGAAAGTAGCGATGCCAGCTGGTCAGCGAACAAATGTGGTAGCTTTATGGCTAAATTATTAATGTTTATTATTGTCTGGGCCGTTGGTCGTTCGATCGCTCGATCGCTTGATCGCTTGATCTTCAATGTCAGCCAAGAAATTAAAAACTAATTTTATGGCACATTTTAATTTAAGCGCACAACGGCAGACCTAAAAAGTTGGGGCAGGCCCAACAACCAAGCCAACAGGCAGCCCGACGCACGCAATGAAGCCGCACATTTTAAACTGTTATCCCCCCCGCTCTCCGTCATCTCCGCTTTGTGGTCAGTTATGATTGCTCGGCGCATGCGCGCAGCTGGCGCTTAAAAGTTGATTATGAAAGCATTTCATAAAAAGTTGTTTCTTTATTCAGAGTCAAAGTGAAAGAAATGTGAATAAAAATGAGAGGTGAAATATGATGACTTTTGTAATTTATATGAAACGTAACCTACAAATACAACCTCCCCCTCCTCCAATACCCTGCAATAACGTTTCCAACCTGAAACGAGCTCATACACAAATGTATGTATCGCATCATATTTTATGTGCAAGTTACATTTCAAGTGCATCATTCCACAGATTTAAATAAACGTAATCAGATTAGTAAGCCTATTTAAATACCCAATATTAATTAAACTTACTGATAGACCCAAAGCTTTTGAACTGTCGTTTCGCAATTATTTAAAAGATTTTACTTATTCAAATTCAAATACAATTTTAAAATTTCTGTACCCATTGAGATAAAGCATTTCATTAATTTTGAACAAAGAGCAGACATAAAAGATTCTGAGAGTATGCTCGCACAAACAGAGGTATAGCTTATACATTCAGAAATATTGTTTATAATTTGAAAATAAAAGACACACACTTTTGTACACATTGAGCTTTCCTAATGTGGCAAGCTATTCAGCTGCAATAAAATGTGTTTGGGTCAATAATCTTTTGCAAACTGCGAAAAAATTCTTTATACTGCAAAAGTGTCTATTGGCCTTATATTTGAGAATAATTCTTCTAATATTTATTCAAAATATAAAGAAGGTTGGCAACCAGAATATTTGTGTTTTATTTCATTATAACTATAATATAAATATCCATTGCACTAATTAAAATTTATATCTAGAATCTCATTTTAATGTAATAAGAACTTGATATGTACTTGTAGAAGTATTTTCTGATTTTAATAAATAAAGAAATAAACGGACTGCAGTATGACGCTTACGAATAATGAAAAAACTCTACAAACTGATGTCCACACCCCGCGATAATAAGGACCTACTCGGTCTTAGTGAGAATTCCACCGGCCTAACCGAACGTCCTTAAGAAAAGGGTTAACCCTAGTACAGTCTTCGGAAACTATGCTTGCTGGCAAAGTTTTGAACCCGTGCTTAAAAAGCTATAAAAATTTGATCTTGCCCACAGACTCTACTAGGGCTCACTTGTAGGTGTTTTAAGTTATCAGGCAAATTCCTCTTTGACTGAGTTATGTAAGCAGCCAAATAATAAGCCTAGACTTACGTTAGCTGACCTTTTAGGCAGCCTTTTGCGTGAAAGCAGTTGCCACAACGTGATGGCCGCCGGGCAACAATAAAAGCAACAGCAATGAGCTTCAGCAGTGAACTTGAGCGGCGCCATCATAACTTTCTAGTTGGGAATCATGTGAAATGTACAACACCGCATTATCTAATACCAGAAGCAAATAATTTAGTTGGCAGTACGGTATGCAGGGTATGTAGAAAAAACCATCGAAATCGCATTTGTGCTAACAGCAACAACATCAAAACCATTGGATGATCAGCCATGCTCAAGACAATAGCCAGCTTTCAATTAATTGTTGGCTCAAAAGTAAAGCTCGTTATTTGTTGTTTTTGTCGGTTTCTTTCGGCGCCTTTGCCTTTTGCTTGCTTAAGCCGAACTGGCTATCAGCCTCTAGGAGCAACATTTTTGCTTTTATTTCAGTTTTATATTGTTTCATTTTAATGTTTTTTTTTTTGCTTGGAGCAAATGCAACAACAATAAAAGCAGCAGATGAAACAACAACACAAAGCGCATTAATAGCCAAACAAGTTCATAGCTGAATTTGTATTTGAATACATCAAAATTATTAAAGAACAAGAAAAAGAAATGCTAGTGACGAGTGAGCTCAACTCTTAAATACCCTGTACCCAGCCACTCCCACAAAGGCAAACACGAAAAATTATATATTTTCTAGATTATATTAATTCAATAAAAGCATAAAATAAAATATATATATAACACGTTCATATTTAAACACATTTAAAACAATATTATGTCTACTTGTATGTGTTGAGATAAAGCAGCAATAACAACACCTGCGATAACATTTATGGCTATACTTCTTTCAAATTGTTCTATCTTGATGAATGGATATAATCATCGATTTTCGATTTACGGTAGCTATGGAACATCATCTAGAGCGAGAGAGTAAAGGGTGCATTGGGAAAAGAACTACAAAAAATATATGCCCAATGCTAAGGGGAAACTGAATACCAAGTTTGGTTATTCTAGCTCTTGCACCTCCTGAGATCCTTGCGTTCATCCAGAGGGACAGACGGACATGGCCATATCGACTCGTCTGACACGCCTCCTTATGTGAGTTACATACATTCGCAGTAAGCTATATACCCTTTTGCCCTTTGCGTACAGGGTATACAAATAATATAACTTTATTTAGGCCAAATCTCTCTATAGAAAATATATATAATAGTCTTGCTTGCTATAAAGATTTGATAAATGTCTTCAAATGTCGACGCACTGCGACTGTCCATGTCTGACCGGTAAGATATATGTCAACGTCTGGTTGTCCTTCCAACTGTCTACAGCAAATAATTGGAACGTCTAAGCACATTAAAATGACCGAAGCGCGTTGGAAGAATTCGAAACGAAAATAACAACTTTCTTACAACAATAACAATTCACATAACTATCATCACAAAGTAACTTTTTTACAATATGGTATAATGTGAGCTAATGTTTAAGAGTTTTCAGTTTGATTCCTTGAAGACTAAATCCATCATAGACCGAAACTTATGTTATGGTTTTGTGAAGTTACTTATTGGACCATACACTGAAACAAAAGAGTTCGCTTTTCCTTATTATGCCGCTTTTAAACCTGTCCTTTCTATATTCATCTTGTTAGCTTACAATAAAATGTATAATAATATTTAGGTCTACCGTTCCTCCTTCAACAGACAACCAGTCTCTGGCATAACTTAAATACCCAAAGCAGGGTTATCAATAAAAGCAAAAATGATGTGCAAAAATTGAACGTAAAAAGCGCACGCTTAGACATTTGAGTGTAGCTTCAAGTTGTTGCTGTTTTTTTTTGTTTAATGCAAAGACGAGGCTGCTGTGTTAATTATGGGCGACGCTGATGAGACGGCCAAAACAACAGCGGCAACAACAATAATAATAATAACAACAACAACATCTACATATACTATACAACTACTAAAATAACAACTAAACCAACTATCAGCAATAACAACTAAGCACTTGTAAGCAACAACAACAACAACAACATCAGAAAAACCAGCCAAGCAATCGCAGTCAGCGTTGCCACCAACTGCGACTGCAACGTCGACCGCAGCAGCGGCGGCGACGGCGGCGATGGCAGCAGCAGCGCAGCCACAAGCTCGACTTGTGTCGCCAAGCAACGGCGGCCCAAAGCCAAAGCTGACTCCCCAAAGTTTTTCAACTCTTCACTAGCACAGCGCAGACGCAACGTCGGTTCAGTACGGCTTTGGAGTTCGGAGCGTCTGGTCGTGATTTTGAACGTGTCGTGCAGCAGTCGCAGTTTAGCTGATCCGCTCCGATCTGATCCGATCCGATCCGATCGAAAAACCAAACGAGACGTGACTAAACGAGGCTTCGTCGCCCATTTCCCTTACCAAACCACTAGCTAACTGACCTAAACTAACTGTAAAAAGTTCAGCTCAAGTGTCCTGTTGTCGCTGTTGTGTGTGTGTTTTGTTCTTGTGAATATACTTTAATAGCCAGCTTGCAGTGAAACGAATAAAGGATATACGCATTATCCAGTATTTAGTTAAAATACGCCCAAACGGGCCTTTTTATACAATCAAAGACTGACTGCTGACAGCAACATGAGGAATAAACAGCTAACGCTGCTATTTGGCCTTTTTGCCGTTTTAAGCTGTAAGTATATTGCAATAAATTAATATACTTGTATGGGTGTATGCGTGCGTGTATAAAACCACAACAACAACAATATATGATTCATATGGGTGTCAAAGTTCAGAGACATTGTGATGCAAATACGTAACGTATAGTATAGTATATTGTGTTGTGTTGTTGTTGGCAACAAAAACTAGACTAGTGTAACAAATAACGACTCCTCCACCTCAATGACAATGAGCGCAAAAATTCATATACACATACATACATAACATACTCGTAGATATATCATCTTTTGTGTGTTGGTCGTATAACGAATGAATATGCAACAAGCTTAGTCGGTCGGTCGTCATCCCACAACTTTTATGATTCGAATGCTGCTGCTGACCGTTGAACTGTGCCGCTTGACGAACTGACAAACGGACCAACTGACCAACTGACTAACTGCCCGAATGGCTTGCATTTGCATTTGGTAGTTGGTCTGGCGTGGTGTTATCTAGATTAGCATAAATTTGTTTATGCACGCAGCGGCGTTTCCTTGATACAATTCACAAAAGACCCAGAAGACCTCCAATGAGCAGAAACAGCAGCCAGCAGCAGGGTATGCACACACACACACACATACATAAAAACACACAGACTTAGACAAACACACTTATGCAGTTTCCATTGCCGCGTCTCAATGGAAAAGCCGTTTTTTTTCGAATATGAAAGTAGGTCTGTAGGTTGAAGATTGCGCAGAGTTCGCAAAAAATTATTATTGGAAGCTATTGATTTGCTAAAAACTGAGTGTATACGAGTATGTGTGTGGGTTTTGTGTGTGCCTATTTGCAAATTACATACATATTGGCAATTGCAGCAGCAGCAACAACAACAACAACAACAACTATGCACAGCGACCAGTTTCAGTTTGATATTTCAGTTGGTAGGCCGCTAATGTTTAATTGTGGCTGCATGCATAATGGCCAAAAAAGAAACAGAAAAAACATCCATGGACGCATCATTAATATAAAACATTCAACTCAGCTGTTGCTGCTACGTTTATTTAACATTTAATTATACCTTTGGCATTTTGCATAAACTAAACACATCTGTGTTTGTGTGCTATTTGTAAGAAAACAAATTGTAAGTCCAGCGCCTTGTATTATATATGAGCTACATCTTATTTTCAATTAGTAGCTGCTGTATATTTAATTCCACAAAATCCACTTAAAGGGCAAAACAAAATTGAGTTCGTTGTATTTATTAGAGATATATCAAAAAATCTGTTCAATAAATTTGTATTCTCCTAGCTACCTTCTTATACCATAAGCTTATTGTTAATCATGAAAGACCATTTGTCGCAAAAACTGAAAACTTAAATGCTTGGCAGTTTGGTTAATTTAAATTATTAAAGCTACAATAATAGCAGTTCTTTTTGAGAAACTCTCAACTATTCAAGAACTGATAACATTGGTTTTTTTTTCGAATTCAGTTTAATGGGCTTTCCCACCAGGAAAAATAATAAACTGTAATATTTAAAATAAAAATAAAATTAAAATACCAAAACGAAGAGAAGAAATCAGTATTAGGAAGAATAAGTAGAGGGATAAGAATAATAACAACAATAAATAACAATAGTTATAGTTAGTTATAGTTATAGAACAATGAGAATAATAATAATCTAATACTGATCAAACCATTATTACTAATACTAACTAATAAAGTAACATTGTGGGTTCTTGTCATGACTCCAGGATTCTTCGGCTAATCAAACCATATTTTAACTGCTTTTATAAAGTACCCAAAACATTTTTGTTTTCATATTAAAATACCGAAAACAAAATAGGTATTTGTGAGTTTTTATAGAGCCCTACCACAATCTGAAGTACTGTTAAAGTCGGATGACTTCACTTATCATATATAGTAACAATCAGTTCACAAGCATACAATAAATAAATCGATTTTTAAGATTCTTTCGAGGTCAGAAGAAACTATGCATTAATTTAAATAACAATAAAATACTTAAAATTTAACGTCATAATATTAAAGAAATATATATTTAAAAAACAATAAAAAACATAAATCAATAAATTCTGATCTTGTATTTTGTATTTCTTCATATTTACTTATTTCTACATTTCAATTTAAAGACAACTTTGCATTTGAAAGGTCTTTTGCGTTAATAACTCTATTAGTTTAGTCTTTTATTAACCCAATTTCATTTACTAATAAAGTCAGAATATATTTTGATTACTCTTACTTATAATACAATTGCGATTTCTCACACTCGCGTTCAAGTGTCGTATTTAGTGTCAGCAACTATCACAAAACCGCAACAGCCTTTTCAATGAAAGTTCAAGCTGCAAGCCATATTTTCATTCAACAACAAGCAGCAACACCTAAGCGGAAATTGTGTGGCCAAATCCTAAAAATTTGATGCAAATTGTTGTAAGCTGCGACAGCCGACCAACAAATCAACAACATCAAATAACAAGAGCAGACAAGTCAGACTCGTTGCAGTGTCTGCGACAACAAGCAAAAATTTGGAGCAGCAACTGCCACGGCCACGTATCTGGATGTCTGTCTCGTTGTCTGGGCTGCTGCCTCAGAAAACTGCAAATCAAATCAAGCTGTGCCAAAAACTGTCGACCATGGCGAACGCCTAAATGTGTTGTAGTTGTTGTTAGCGGCGTTTTATGCAAAACGTGTTTGTTGCTGCGAAAAAAAAATGGATAAATAAAAATAAAAATTTATTGAAAACTTAATAGCAAAAATAAAACGCCGCTAAGTTTTGTGAAGGTGAAGTGGAAATTTGAAATGAAATTGCCAATTCAAACCGACTACGCCTGCACACGTTGCGTATGCGCAATGCAAACAGCAATAAACATAAACAATTTGCATTAAATGCACATGGCGCGTGTGTTAATTACACCATACGACCAAATTTTTAAAGCAATCTTAGATTAGTTTTAGTTTAGTTTCCTTTGTAGTATTTTTTACTGCCATTGCGAAAGTAAGTGCTCGTATATCTTTGCAGAGCCACTCTCTCAAGATCATATAAAAAGGGGGCATCCAATTTTGGAGGTTTTTTATTTCATTTGTAAGCGTTTGCTTGCATTCAAAGGTTGCTTCATAAATTTGGAAAAAAAAGGAAAAAAAGTCAATTTGTCATAACTTTATATTTAAATGAGTGCTTTATTTGACATTTTCCTTATTTCTATATATAGTACGAGTATATTTAATGGCCCTTGTTTTAACATTATTTTATATATTTTTTTGCTTATCTTACATAAACCAACATTTATGCGACTAGCCATTGTTTCCTTAAACAAAACATACTTTTTATGTGTTACACGCATCGACAAATTTTAATTGTTAGGCGCGCTGCTTTGTTTTTTTTAGAATTTCCTACATCATTCTAATTAACAAAAAAGAGCAGCGTTTTAAAAGTATTGCGTATTGCGTATTCAAAAAGGTCCATTAATTTCGTAATGCTCATAAAACTTCTAATGCTATGTCCGTGCTGTCATATAACAATTAAATTGGTCAACTGTAAAAGTTGTCTGATTAAATGACGCGGGCCTCAGAATCAACTTTCTGTGATGACCATCTTTGTTGCTGTTGTTTTTGTAGTTGTTGTCGTGGTTGTTGGCAGAATCAAAGTGTTGTTGATATGTAAATTTTATGCGAATACTTAAGTGATTGTTGAGATTTGCTTGTTTTTTTTTTTTTTGTATATATTTTAAGAAGCTCCCATTGTTGTTGTTTCGTTTCGAATCGTGAGACAGCTTGCGGTGACTCAAGTTCGTTGCCTAAGTCTTTTGTTTTGCTTAGACCCAGCACATCATGGATTTGCTTTTTCTTTTGTATAATTATAAATCTAATATCATTCCCGGTTTTTTCCAGCACTACAACACTGCCAGGCCGCCTATCCGTATTATGGCACGAAAATCGGCGCACTGACACGTCTGCACCATGGCGTTTCCGGCGATGTTTATGCCGTCGACTCGCGCACAATCTTCATCAAGAAATTCAACTATGATGGCGAGGCGCCCGCTGCTTACTTCTATGTTGGAAACACAGCACGTCCGAGCAATGAGGGAGCAGCACGTTTGCGGGATGAGCGTGGAGGAACCACGGCGCTGACGCGCCGCTATCGCAACAAAGACATCACGCTCTCCCTGCCAGAGGGAAAAACGTTGCGCGACATCAAATGGTTCTCGGTGTGGTGCGATGAGTTTGCCGTCAACTTCGGGGATGTGTCCATACCCAATAACTTGGATTTTCCCCGGCCCCAGAAGATTGGCGCGCTGCGCGGTGTCCATGGAGTGTCCTCCGACAACATCGTGATTGTTGATGCGCAGACGTTATTGGTGCCCAACTTTAGCTATGACGGAGAAGCGCCAGGTGAGCTATAGACCTATTTTATTGGGGTGTGGTACTAAAAATAAAAATAGCCAACTGGCACTTAAAGTGCGGCATATTTATTATCTAAATGAGAGTAAACATTAAATAAACGTTTAATATTAGTTCAATAGTGAAGTGTTCATAAAAGAAGTGTATTGGAATCAGTTGGAAAATTAAGATATTTTTTAGCTTTTAATTGAAACATGTAGAAAATTCAGGAAATTAATGAATATATTATTAAAGTGAAAAGTGTAGAAGGAGGCGTTCGTTACATTATTCGTGATTAGCAAGACAAGATGAGTCGATTTAAACATGTCTCTCTGTCCGTATGAAAACCCACATATATCTCAGAGACTATAAAAGCAAGAGTCGCAAGATCATATTAATTCTTTAAATGCTTGTTATTATTCTACATTAAGCTAGCTTTTCCTCTAGCTTAATATAAACATATATTTGAAACAGTTAAATTTTATAAATCAAATAAACTTTCCGAATCATCAAACCAAACTAAATTTCCACAAATTGCTATATTTAAATAAATAAAAATGGTCAACAATTTATTAAAACTTCTCATCTTGCCTACAGATGCCAAGTTCTGGGTGGGCCGTGGCCAGCGTCCCTCTCCCGATGGTCTCCGCATACCCGATGAGAATGGCAAGGAGAATCCTTTGCGTCGCTACGATCGCAAGACAATTGTGTTGACGCTGCCGGAGGACTTGACCATATTCGATGTCGGGCACTTTGGTGTCTGGTGCGAGGCCTTCACCGTTGACTTTGGTCATGTGCGCCTGCCCGAGGGACTCAATGTGCCGCCTTCGCTAAAAATGCTCGGCATTAGTCCACAGGTAAAGAAGCCGTTAAATGTTATACTAAGCGAGCTGCAACGCTGATCGTCAATTATTAATCAAAAAGCAATAATCAATAATCAATAATATTTATACAACACAACTTTCTAATATTCGTATTTAATATATTTATTTGTATGGAATCAAAATATTTATCAGTGCCGTCATTCAAGTGCTTTGAAATTCTTAGACTGTAAGCGTGCATTTTTTATACATATATATATATTTAATTGGAAAAAATATATACATACATATATGTGCAACACATGCTAATCAGCTGCTCGTTTTCTTGTGTTTGTTTTGTCTTAAAAAACTTTGCTGATTTATCTTTACTAAATACTCGTAGATCAAGACCCGTTGTGTGTATACAAAATGAAATGTGTGCAATGTTTTCTTTTGGGTTTTTATTTACCCCACAATACTCCAGCAATCCCGACCAGCTCCCAAACACCAAACACAGACACACACACACACGCATACACACGCGCAAATACAATACAAAAACAAAACAGAAACACAAACACATACACATTACAACATACATACATGATGCATGAATACGCTCACGCGTTTTTAGCTACTAATCAATACTCTACTTCTAATTTTACTGTTACCCCTCTTTTCTGATCAATGCGTGGCCCACTCCCAACTCCCCACTTCCCAACTCCCTACAACCAAAACATTTTCATTTTGTATATGCTTCATACAACGACGATTTCCAAAAAATACAAATTCGCAAAATTTTTTAATACAGCAACACAGAAAAGACAACAAATTGAGGCTAACAATTATACTTTGGCATTAACGAAAGCAAAATTAATTAACCGCAACTATCACCAATTCTAATCTGACTAATCCTCGCCAAATCCATCCTAACACGTACACATGCATGCATATACATACAAGTATACATACCGTACCGTACATACATACTATCTCCAATACAATACAAACCCCACATTATTTGCAGTCTAAGCTGAACTGTGAAGTGCTCTACGACGATCTCGCCTTCGAAGTGCGCTGGGCCGTGGCCGGCGAGAGCATTGTTGTTCAATTGGTCGCCAAATTGGGTAAGTTCCAAGAGAGTACTACCAAGCTATGCGGAAATTTACGCCAAATGCCATATGGCTTGTCACGAATTGTAGCTGTCGAACCAGTTACTTGACATTCAACAATGATTGGATTGATTTGATCAGCTCGTTTATCTGTGGCCGCCTTCATTGTCGCTGCCCTCGTCAGGCACCTGGGCGTTATATTATGTTTAGCACTACGCAAATTGTTTTAACTAAACCGCCTAATTAAGCGCACAGAAAGAGATTGAAGCGGGTGATACCAAACCAGTAAAGAAACCACTGGATGTTTTGTTGAATGCATCATGCTAGATAGAATCAAAAACATGAAAGCAACGATTGTCCCCTAATGGAATTACTATTAATCTGCATCAATTAATTGTCTTATTTATTTGAATACTGGGTGCTAGTTTTTTGAACTATTTGTTCTTATTTACTTGGACAACAATTTTAATAATTATTCAATTCATGTTCTTTGCCCATTTTGGGTATTCCATTCCTCTTTTAATATTCAGTTCTTGTTTGAAGATCTTTAAACAATATGTTAACTAAATATACCAAGTATATGTTTGTTTTTCTATTAAATAACAAGTCAGGCACCTCCGCCCTTCAGGCGGTTTACTTATGTACCAACCTCTTCACGGAAGCTGAATAAAAACACAAACAGACCATTAACTATTTCAAATACTTACCACTATTGGTTTTTAAAAACTGTAAATAGGGTATTTGTGGAAAGAAACATGTTTTCCTTATTGTAATTTGATTCTAGACTGATCGTTCCACTAGCAGTTTTGAAACCAGTTTAGGCGAAACTCTAAAACATTTAGAAGATTACTCTAAAATTCATAAAACACGTTATATGTGGGTTGTTTATATTTAACGACATAAGGAAATGGTCTATATTTATGGTCTATGACTTGGCAGTTAAGTCCTTAAACTGAAAGAGTACTAGTACTAGACTCAGATGATTTACTTGGGAGAAGATAATTTTGGAAATAATATTAAAAGCAAGACATCGTAAAAAGGATGAAGCACAACAGGTCAGTAGAAAGTTAAGGCCAAGGAAGAATGTAACTGAATACAAGTAGACCAAAGAGTTATGGGATACATAGTGATCCCATAATCTGATTTCAATGCCAAACATTTTCTATGCAACCATGATGTTCATATCTCTATGATTTATTTAAAGTAACATGTGTTCAATGACAGAAATAAGACAATGCTATTTTAATATACAAATAGATATTGATGTATTATGTTGGCATAAAGTGCCATATAAAAAAACCATTCCCATTCTCGACGATGTGTATGTCCCACCTACTCTAATCATAATGTCTGTAGACATTGACATAAATGGAAAAATTATGTACATATAGTATATTCGTTTGCAGTTTCCCGCTCTTAAACGAACTTAAAGATTTTAGCCCAACATTTGTCAATCCCTTAAGCAAAACGTTTCTCTACAAAAAACAATTTGATAATATTTAGAAATCGATTTGAACTTTTGTGTATCATTTGGTATCCAATTGTTTAGTTGTGGTTTAATAATTTTGATTGAAAATTTTATTTGAGAGTCTGACATCCTTCATCATAAGAGTATGAATACATTTAAATCAACTCTGCACGTTTTTAGACTCCACACTTTTTTGATACTTTTTAGTGTTTTAAGAACTGGACAACAAAACAGCCTTCAGTATTGATTTACAATGCTTTGACATTTTATTGAGTACAGTTAATAAAGAAGTCACACACATAGCGGTGCACACACACACACAGACACTGCCACAGTCAGTAACACCACAAAATCCAGTTAGCATCCAAATTGACCGATCAACGGCAGCGTCGTCGGTCGTAGTTGTAGTCGTCGTTAGCAGAATAACAAGTTGCGAATTATGACGACTGGTTTATTGCGCAACACACACGACAATTACTGAGGTTGGTGCTGCCAGCGATGCTGCGGCAGTTGCTGTTGCTGCTGCAGATGCTGCGACTGCTGTTACTGCAACAGCAACATCTTCGACTTGGAAGCATCGGTTTTGGCCCGCAGCCAGGTCCATTTGGAGCGGCAAGTGGCACGCGACTCCAACAGGCAGCAACAATGTAGCCAACCAGCTAGCAGCGAGCAGCTACTGGTCTTGGGCAAATTGTTAGCCACTTAAAGTGAAAGAATGTCACAAGAATTTTCACCAACCGGTTGATGGTGGTGAGCAACCATTTAAGAGCATGTTGTGCCGCCGCAGAATTGAGGCGAGCGACTTTCGTTGATTGCGGTTAATTTTCGTAGAATTTTAGCATGAATTATTAGGGCATCAAACCAGTGATTATACTCTGACTAAAAGCTCTGCACAGTTCCATTCACCGGTTTGCATTTATTAATGCAAATACTAGTTGAATGGATTCTTCTCAAATTTGAATCAGAGGTAAATCTATTTAGCATATTCACAAAAAAGATTCGCATATCGTGTGCTAAAATTTTTAAAAACCTGGCCAAACAATTACAACCAAAAAACCATTATGAGTTGAGGGTAATACAATCGAAGTTGTTCATTCGCGTTCATTATTTAAATTAAGGAAGTGGCCAGATTACCCATTGAATGAAAAATTGTCTCTTCTTCATTTAAAACTAGTATTCTTATTGAAAAAATCAACTTCTTAAAAAATAATTGGTAATTCCATGAGAACTTTTAGACAGATCTTATATCCGATTTAATAATATGAGTCCTGCTAGTCCGAGAACTAAATGCTCCATCAACTAACAGCTTTCTTTCTTTAATATTGGAATTTCGGTTGGATTCCATATAACTTATCCTTTCGCTCTTGCACCTCACACTTCACAGAAGCGAACAACTACATGTCCTTCGGTATATCCCCTAACAAGAGTATTAGTCAAATGATAGGCGCTGATGCAGTTGTTGCTTGGGTCGATCCAGAAACAGGCAATGGCTTTGCTCAGGACTACTTCTTAGAGGGCAAGGCGCAATGTTCCGGTGGACGAGGCGCTTGTCCGGACACCAAAATACAGGTGAGACCCTCGTTCTACAACTTATTTCTGGAGCTACAACTTAATGTGTTCACCTTGTAGGACAAAACCAACTCTATACGGTTGCTCAATGCGGCCATGGTAAATGGCTACTCCATTGTCACCTACCAACGTTCACTCGCTGCCACAGATAGTTTGGATCTGCCTATTTCCATTGTCGATGCCGAGTCCGTGGTCTGGGCTATTGGTCCTCTTAACGACTATAAGGAGACATCATTCCACACCTACTACAACAAACACTTGCATCAAATAGAGTTTGGCCGTCAGCCGAAATGGAACTGTCCATTGCCTGAAGGCTCAAGACCTGGTTCTGGTTCCAGTTCTGCCGAAGACGAGGACAATGTTCCCCAAACCAGCAGTTCATCGAGCACTGGTGGTCTAGGCTATCCACCCGCAGGCCGTCCCAACTTGGAACCGGAGGAGGAGTTCTATGAGAACAGGCCGCAAGCTTTGCAACGCCAACCCCCTAATAGGCGCCCAGAAAATTCTGCCTTGGCTCAGCGTCGACCTGTGCCGACACCCAAGCCGGTAAACAGCAATGGTGCTTGGGATATCCCAGCCATACAATGCCATGAGCCGGAAGACGGCGTTTTCTACGCACAAATGGGTCCGACAGGTGGCAAACATGGCTATCCCGCCATCACTGGTATGTCCTAAGTAGGTTGACGAAAATTTCTTAGCGGTAAAGCCCCTTGTTACCCATACTATAGGTCACGTAGGCTGGGGAATTTCCTGGTTCATAAACGGCCTGCTTATACCCGAACTTCATGTTGTTCGCGGCAAGACCTATACCTTTGTGGTGGAGGGCGGCAACAACCCAGACATACCCGCCAAATATCATCCCTTCTATATTACCGACGATCCAGTCGGTGGTTTCGAGCACAAGCGTGAAGAGGAAAAGAAGGTAAGTAGGGCGCATGGGTAGTTATTAGCTCTCTTCCTGTAACTCTTATTACTCTCTCAACAGGCTGTGCGCATCTTTGCCGGCGTACATCGATCTCGCTCCGGACAGGTCACGCCCACTGGCGTAGGTCGTTTGTGCAACTGGACGCCTGATGTGGATGGCCCACCAGCCGATGATTACCAATCCTTTGGCGCGTATCAGCGCACACTCACTCTGAAGTGTGACCCCGGAGAGCCAGGCGTTATTACTTGGAAACCGGACCGCAGCACCCCCGACACTGTATACTACCATTGCTTTACGCATCGTTATCTGGGCTGGAAGATTCATGTTCATGATAGTTGCGACAGCGCCGTTGCGGCCTCTGAACGGCACGAAATACGATTGCCCGCCGCCGAGCCGGACTATGCGGGCGCCGAACAGTTTGATGCCGAGCCGTCCATACGTCACGAAACCAAGGTCAGCCCCAACGATAATTTTTTATTGAAGCACCAAACCGATTTGATTAAGAACCACAATATGAATGGAACACCGCCTAAACTGAGTTTTGAAATAACGAAATCATCGGAAATAACTAAACTGATTTCAGATGGAATCCGCGCTGCTGAGGCTCTCGAGGAGAGCATACTAAGGAACCAATCGGCGGTTGAACCTGGACCCACGCAAGCCAACAAACACGATCAGACAAATGGCTCTAGAATTCCAACGAAACCACAGCTGGCCGCAAGCAGGCCCGAGATTTTACATGGCGAAACAAAAATTAAGAAATTCTCGCCTCCATCACTGGCTTCATTGCCGTCGTCATCTCACACAAAACTGCCCATATTCGCCGCACCCCAATCATCGCATGCCATTCTTAGCTCTCACATGCATCAGCGCTTACACCATCATTATACACTGCCTCATGCTCATCCACATCACATTCACCCGCACCACCATTCGCATGTGCCCAATAATTTAACTAGTAACCTTGCAGCGCTAGCCCAGAAAACGATTAGTCTCTCCGAGTATCTGCGTCCGCCGCAGAACGCGCCGCTCTTCCATCCCGTTAAGCTGCCGGGACGTCGCCCGTATCCGGGCCCCATCAAGAAAGTGCCCGCCTCCAGACCGGTATTACCTCAACAGCTGCCGCGTCACCCACCCCCTGTGGGTCCTCTACTCTCCCAACCTTCAGTAATAATAAATCACTACCGCAAGCCGGTGCCCAGTTTGCTTAAACCATTTCTCAAGGAGCAACCATTCCCCTTACAACCTATTGCTGCCTCGGTGCTCCTGCTGGGTCAGCCCACGGAGCTGAGCGGTAAGGCTGGACAACGTAAGACGGATCCTCACCATCTGAAACCTCAACCTGTTATTCCACTTCCGGTACCTTATGATGATCTGGAGACTCAAAGCACTCTACAGAACAGTGCTTACTTCAATTCACATGTCAAGCCCGAGAAAAAACCTCTGCCGACACTCTCGTCGACTACCACAACGTCGTCACCCTTCAAGCGCCCATATAGCACACACGAGCCGCAAGAGGAGCCGTCACTCCAAGAGATCGCTAGCATGCGCCCAGCAGTTAATCAAGGCTTTAAGCCCGACTCTGTAGTTGTTGAGAGCGGCTTCCGGCCAATTATAAGAAACGATGGCAATGGAGTGCAACTGCCGCCCGAAATTGTGGAGCAGGTGGCACATCGACGAGAGGATCCTGGCACCGAAATCGACGAAGCAATGGAAACTGATACACTCTTTCTAACCGCACAGCAAGGCAATGAACCCCAAAGCTTTGAGCCCATGTTTATTCCATCGCCATTGGACAGTACTAACGCCACCATACTGCTTAAGAATTCGGCCCCTACAACGACAACAGCCTCATCATTGGCCTCGGCATCTGCGTTGCGCTTGCCCTCCGCGGCCCTGGAACACGCCTTGCCCAGTGCCTCAAAGCTGCGAAAGCCAACGCTCGAAGAATTATTCGGAGAAGAATTGTTAGAAACAGGCCCAGACGCAACAGCAGAGGAGGAACAATTGGTGGGTACAATAAATCCAGCTTCTAAACAAACTGAGCATACAACAACTGAAAAATTGTCCAAGACCGACACGGACTACAGTGATTTGGCCAGTCTTTTCGAAGGAGAGGATGATGAACAGTTGCCTGCAGATGATATGGAAGAGGAGGAAGATAAGGAAGCGCAGGCAGCAGAACGAATCGACACTTACTACCTGCCTCCGGATAATCGAAAAATACCACATGCCGGTCTGCCCAGTGGCGCTTTATACACCTTTGACGGCAAATCTGTGGTGGATAGCACCTTGGTGCTGCCACCTAAGCTAGAAGCTCGCGACACTGGACTGCTCCGACGTCCGCACTATGGACTAACACCACTGGAAGAACTAATACGTACTACACCACAATTTGGCGCCTATCGGGGAGAGCTGCCAGAAGAGTTTCAAACGACGGAGAACACAGTGCTGCCGCCTGTTCAGCAACCTGTGACAGAATACTCCAATCCAGTGCCTTACAGTCGCAGCACAGCAACAGCACGCAGCTCCTCGGGCAGCAGCACATATGGGAGCACTTCATCACTGTTCACCAGCAGAATCAGCAGCAACAGCATCCATTCGCACACATCACCATTGCCATTATCGTCATTGCGACCCATTTCAACAAAGTTGCACTTACTTAACGCCGACAGTAACAATAGTACGTAGAGAATTGGCCACACAGATGCGCAATAGCAAAATGTTCATTAGCACTAAAAAATAAAGAAGAAGACAAACACAATGTACGAGTTAACAATTTAATTTGTATTCACAACCATAAAGCATACAACATTTAAACGTATTAGCCGTAAGCTTCTTTTACTTATTGTGTGTTTAATTTTTAACTAAATATTTTTTACATGCATACATACCTACACAAATCATTAGCTTAGCTACAACTTATGATTAATACGCATTTTAGTCGTTGTTTATGAAATAAAATTTATACAAAAACACATTTCATACCCAAAATCCTCCTCTTGGTAGAATAGCAGTCCATTCTGTCTCGCCAAGCGCATCGTTCGGCAGCTTAGTTCTAAAAAAAAAGTTTGTTTATTTCATATTTGTTATATATTTTCATTATTAATTTGCAAATTTGAATATACACTGCGGGCTCTATCGGACAGTTTGCTTCATTTCCTGTTGATTACCGTTCTTGTAGTGCTTTTCAAAGTTTGTTGTGCCTTGTCGTAGAGATGCCACTTTGTGATGTACTCGAGCTATCGCCTTTATTATGGCTCACGCGCACGAGGGATGGATAACATTCGATGAACCACCCGGCATTAACAATTGAATTAATCGCACTCGTACCAACTATTATAACCTACTTTATAAAAATTAACATGGGCATCGCGAAAAAATACGAAAAAATGCTTCCGCATAACTGTGGATAATATATTTTCGAAAGAGATTTAAAGTGCAAAAACCTTTAGAAAACACTAAGACATGGTCATATTCAATTTGACGTGACATTCGTACGACAAAATATTAAATCAATAAATACCAAAGTAAAATTTTTAAAAAGTTTTTTATAGTTGAGTAGTAGTTTCATATAACAATGAACTCATATTTAAATAATTTTACTTTTTTTTGATGATTCCACCTGCATAAGCCGCAATTGAAAGTAGAATGAAAATAAAAAAATACTATGTAATGAAATTATTTACAATCTGACGTGACGTGACATACTTTTGAAAGTCAAAATAAAACTAACTATGTATTTGCTTGATAACCAAACTTCTTAATACAATTTGTTAATTTAATTAAGCTCTGTTTAAATACACATTTTCACGCACTTGCGTGATATAATAAGAAATAATGTTCTTTTTAGAAGATGAGTAAAAACAAATCCAAAATTTACCATAAACTGAAATTTGTTTGCTCCTTTGAATTAAATTTAAGGTTTGTTGTTCTTGTAGCAAGCATTTTGCAATAAGAGCTCAGTTGAACATAAACTCTTAGAAATATAAATGGTAAAGATAAAATTCTCTTAAAATTTACAAAGCTGGCTTAACCCTGAGCTTGAACTTTGTAGGTCTATGTTTCGCCATTGCAACTAAGAGGAGCTTTAAACTCTTTAATTTAATAAAATTTGAAAATATCTCTTTAATATTACAAGTAAATAAAAACTATTATTAAAAAAAATTAAATTTATAAATTTTTATTTCTGTAGAATGCCCATATGCGTATTGCCAATTGAAAGGATCCCTACATGTATAAAGTTTAAAACTTAATTTTAACAACTTTAACTAAATGTTTTCTTTGCTTCTTTTATATTCATTTCAATCAAAAAATTACCGAAGTAGCATATCTTAAAACAAAAGATATAAATTACAACCCTATTAAATTGAATAAAATTTTATTACAATTTAGAATTTATTGAATTAAATCAATTATTCGTTAAAAATGTATTCTCAATTAAAAAACATGGTATAATCGGCAAAATATGTTTTGAAATCTTTTCATTCTATTAACAAGTGCAATAAATGCATATTGTTCAGTTTCTTTCGTTTCAAAAACCTTGTTATCAGTTCGGTGCTACCTTAACAAAACGCGACAACAAACAGTGTGACCAGCATTCAAGTATGATGAAATACAATGGGATGTAAATTAAATCACGTGTAAAATCATCATGAGCTCAACAACAAAGCCGAAACACTCGGTAAAAGTGCCGACACAATATAAAGTTACAGCTAAAATATTAAAAGCAGCACTTCAGAAGCAAAAATCAGTTCGTACGCTAATATTCGAGGAGAAGCATGCGGTGTGTATTTATAAAAATTCTGTATATCCAACTGGCATGTCGCTGACGTTCCGAGCTCTTCCTCTTCAATTTGCAGCGCACAAGCAGCCTTCACGGCGTTCTAAGGAATTACAGTAACAATATTGGCGCCATCAATAACGCCATCGAAGAGACTGGCATTCTTAAGGACAATCCACGGCTAGACCCGGAGCTCTGCAAAGTGCTAGTTACGGAGCTAATTTTCGGGCGGAAGCAACTAACCGGCGGTGGCTGCAAACCTGTGCAAACGGTGCTCGAGTACAAGGAGCGTCTGGAGAAGGCTGTCAGCGGCGTTGAAGTGAAGAAGCAAGGCAGGTGGAACTATAACCATCAAGTATTATTAATAGCTTGTAGTAGCTAGTCGCGCATACAATGGGCAAGAAGTCCAAGCTGAATGTGTCAGTAAAGAAGGAGAGGAAAGACGTGGTCGTTCAGCCCGTCAAAGTAAAGCCGAACGAGCCTGAACCTGAGTCTGAGCCAGAGTCTGAACACTCACCACAGGCAGAGGGAAATTCCTTAGAAGTTTTTCTTTGGCTGCTGGCCTACAGTGCGCTAATGTTCTCGCTGCCCTTCCTCGGTTTCTACGGAGTGCGTAGTTGGCTGGAGGAATCTTACCCACAACTCAGTACATTCGAGATTAATTGCTACTCTGTACTGACAGCTGTTCTGGTTGTCAACTTAATTGTAGCCATGTATGTGGTGAAGGCTTTTCGCGAGAAGGAACCGGGGTCGGGAGAACATCGATTGGCTGTTGCCGATGGGCAGAAGAAAGACCAATAGCTATGTTGGCTTTGAGTTATGCATTAATGCAATAAAATTCAGTTTTATAAAGTACTCACGAATCTCGTTTTCTTATTTTTTTCATGGAACTTCAGGACAGCATCCGCGCTATGTTCGCGTCAACACCAATCTGCTCAGTGTGGCCGACGCACTGGACTATCTGGCAGACTCGGAATGGCGGAAGAAATTGCTGCCCAGCGACATCACGTATCCAGATTTCTTGATAGCCATACGCGCTTTGGAAGAAGATGAATTTCTCGTGGATATTCACGTTGACTCCATGCTGATATTCCATCCCAAACAGGCATGTTACTGGGCCACGCATGATATGGTGCGCTCCAAGAAGTTTATCCTACAGAACAAGGCGACATGTCTGGTCGCCGAACTGTTGGCTCCGCCATCTGGTGCCACTGTGTTGGATATGTGTGCAGCACCGGGCATGAAGACTTTACATATCTGCAATGTTATGCAGAACAAGGGATGCATATATGCCGTAGAACTTAGCAAGGACCGCTACAAAACTCTGCTCAACACCAACGAGGAGGGTGGCTGTAGTATTGTGAAGACTTTTAATGCGGATGCCCTAGCCATGAGTAAGCTGAAATGTTATGCAAAATAGATGTAAGGGAATACGTTTTTCGACTTGACGTTTCCGAAACTCCACAAATGCCTGCTCATAAAATGAATGTAGTTATTCTAATGTTTTCAACAATTAGGACTAGACTTTAAGTACGGTACTCAACATCCACAAGGCCTCAAAGACTATATAAATATTTTATTGATCAGCATGAGGAGATGAATCAATGTAGTTAGCTTCGTCTGTATTCCCAGCCAGTATAAGTTCTAGAGCAGATTCATTTAAGAGAAAGGGAAAGTTTTGGGAATTCCCATCCCGATTGGGATGTAAAAGTTGTGCAGACCAATAATTAAGCAACGATTATTGAATAGCCATTTCTGTGACGATACATATCCTTATTTCAGATGCAGAGCAGCTGCCTAACGTGGAATATATTCTTGTGGATCCCAGCTGCTCGGGCAGTGGCATGCAAAGTCGCATGGACTTTGGCGAAAATAAGAAGGACGATAAGCGTTTGAATAAGCTGGCTGGATTGCAAATCAAAATACTCTCCCATGCCATGGGAGCATTTCCCGATGTCAAGCGCATTGCTTACTGCACATGCTCATTGTGGAAGGAGGAGAACGAGCAGGTGGTGCAGCGCTGCTTGCAACTTAATCCACAGTTCAAGCTACTTAGCTGCAAGAAGGCTTTACGCAACAGGTGGGTAAACGTGGGCAGCAGTGACTACAAGGGAATTGGCAATAAATGCTTGTATTCGCAACCTGAGCACGACTTGACCGATGGAATCTTCATAGCCTTATTCGAGAAGCGGCGGGATGGGCAGGGTGAAGAATGAAGAAAGGATCGTTTTTTAAATAATGTAGTTTTAAATGCTTTATTCGATTTTTGAACATTAGTAATAAAGACTTCATAGAGATAAGCTTTTTGGTATGCTTATGATTAAATATATAAACCGAAATTTTCGTAATGGTTACGTTATACAAGTACATTAAAAACAACTATCTCTTCGAAATTGCCTTCTTTCTTTAAATGATAAAATAATTTGATGAGTTTGTGAATCGATTATGTAGTTGGTAAAATCGTGGATGAATTCATGATAGATGAATATAAATATATAAAGAGTATATAATAATAATGTAATATCGTGTATACACTACAAAAATAATACTTTTTTAAAGTAATTGAACAAGTAGTAAAAAGTTTTTTTTGAATATTTTAATGTCAATGTTATAAAAAAATTGAATTAGGAAAATGTTGCCTTTGCAAATGTGAGATGCGCCCCTATTTTTCTGGAGCGATCACTATGTTATTCTAATTCGATTGGACCTTTCAAAATTCATATTTCTATTTTCTATTCCAAAATATTCGAATTAGTGTATCCATTTCTAAACAAATTGTAAAAAAAAATATAATACAATAATTCGACACAATGTTTGCGAAATTGTACTGCCCAGTCGGGGCGACATTTTTGAGAGGTTTTTACCGACCACAACGACTGTACAAAATGTATTATAGAGTGAGTACATTGTAAAACGTACATTTTTTGATAACATATAAAGTAAAAAATGTTTGCCATTGATTGAAGTATCAAAGACAGTTTGATGGGTCTCTGATTGAGAGAGCCACTGCTCATGATGAATATACCATATAGGTTTGAAGAACTCGCAAATTCGAACGCGCCAGGCGCATGTTGCAAAGTAATATTACTTAAAAGTAACTAAATAGATAACGCATATACGTAAATATACGCAAAAACTACAATCTCCGAATTTCAGAGCTTAAACTTTCATTTGTTGCTTGTAGTAGGCGCTTTTGGCCAAGCGAAAGGAATTCGCTTTGATGGCGTCTTCCATGGTTATGATCGGCTTCTTTGGGCAGTATTTAATGGTGTGAGCCGAATCGCCCGATGCCCTGCATATTGGGCACACATAAGTTCGTAGTTTAGGGCACAGGACACGACCGAGCGTGTCACGTACCGAGTGACTGTTGACCACAGCCTCAGGTTCGTTATTATTTTCACAAAACACGCAATGACGGTTGACCTGTTGGGAATAACATTAATTATGCTCTTTTAGTTTATGCAAGAACTACAAATAACAAATGGCTCGGGAGGGACTTGTTTTATGTTATTCTACATATGCAGATGTAATAATCAATTTTGATTTCCACATATTTACTAAATTTAGTAAATTACTAGTGAGATGATCGTTTTGGTACGAAAGCTTTAGCAGCTGTAGCATTCGAAAAATCGTTTGAAAATAGCTTTGTGTCGTTATACTATTAAATCAAATCCCATCTCGTGCCTTACTAACCCACTCACATCTTTAGTTTTGGTATTGTTTTGGCGCTTCTGTAATTTAATGTTGCTTCCGTTAATCGTTCGTATGTGGTCTTGGGGCCCATTGACCCCCAATCCCAATGGGTTGTTGGCATTACTTCCGGCACAGCTGGTGTTGATGTTGGCTCCTGAAGCTACCAATCCCATGTTACCTACGGAAGCCATCAGTCCCACATTGGTTGGCGAATGTGAACTACCGTAGGAAACTTTTCGCCACATATTGTTTAAGTGATCCTTATAGTTGTTCAGATTGAGCCAATGCAAAGCAGGTAATGACGAGATAGGGACGTTGCCGAAGACATTGCCCAATCCTGGTGGCAGCTGATGAGTAGCAAGTGGCGCCGTCGTCATGTGCTCAGAGAGCGGCGTTTGCGACGGGGACGAATCAACCAGCGTGGCATTAGGATTGCTGTATTGCAAGCGATTAAAATCATCGCTGACATAGCCATTGGCAGCAAAGTCTTGCATGATCTCCTGCCTGGAGCCATGGCCTTTTTCTGAAATAGTGATCGAAACAGAGATAGTTAAAGAAAACCTGTTAATAGCCTATTGTTTATATACTCATTTGCCGGCGCCATCCAGTCTGACTTACGAATTTACAAATACATATACGTAACAGCTGCATTGGAATGTGGAACGAAATTAACCGTAATTTCAAACAAAGAAAATATTGCACCATCCTTCACTTCCCACACACAGAAACGTACACACATACACACTCACCAGAACTGCAGGCCGTTAACAAGGCAAACATCTTCAGTGAATGCGCTATTTCGTCCTTTCCCTGATGATTCGCTGCAGACGCCGAGGCAGCCAATTTTAATTGCTGTTCCGCCAACATGAGCTGCTGCTGCCGCTGCTGGAGCAGTAGTCGGCACTGGTACTCGTATTGCCTCTGGAGCAACATGGTACTATGCAGCGGAGAACCGTCATTCATATTGCCGCCCTGCACACTGGCGCTCAGAGCTGCGCCCAACATGGTGGCATTCATGCTTAAGTGGTTTGTATCCGTCAGTAGGGGAAACTGAGTCTGTGAACCGAAAGGTGTGATGGGTTCCGGTGTCAATGGTGTCGTAGGCGGACTCAGACTGGCCGATGAGACGGATGCCGGTGGCGGCGGCGGCATAGACATGTTGGTTCCACTCATTGAATTTGCATCAAAGTACATATCCGACTGACCCAACATATTAAAACCACCTCCAAATTTGTCCTATAATTAAAAATATTAACATTATATGGAAAGATTAGGGAAAACATCAAAAATGTTATTATTTACACTCGTTCCATCCATGTTGGGGCGAAACATTTTTCACTTGAAGTATCAAGAATTGAAACACCAAAAGAAATACAAATTTATAAATGTGCCGTAATTGCGTTTTTTTTGTTGCGTCTAATTTACGCACACACATAAGAAAGCGGCATAAATTATTATTTGAAGTAAACTCTCTACTTCTTAATTTGCACAACGCTTTGTTTACGTGAAATGCAACTTTTATGAAAAAAAAATGTACTTGTGTAAAATGACGCGCGAAAAATATACAAATTCTTAAAACGCAAAACGCCGCATTGGCTACGAAGCAACGAATTTAATAGAATAGAAATAACCGGCAATGGTGCCTGGAATGCAAAAGCTGTGAATAACGGTTCGTATGCGCCTTGCAGTCGCCACCAACTTGCGTTGCCAGACAGCGTGATGCACAGACAAATCAACCAAAGCAGAAAAAAAAAAACACAAACAAGAAAGAAACATGTCGGGGCTCAGCAAGATTTACTTATCAATTTCACACAAAACATTTCAAATACGGGTTTAATTGTTAGAATTATTCGCCGTTCCCCCCACCATTACGTTTCTCCGACATTACGTTGCTGCACACACGCGTTTCATTATTTTTTTTGTCTGTGTTATATTTTGAATTTCGCGCGTCACGGCAACACTGAACACAACCGACCCCGACTGCTTGCCAACACTGCACGCGAACAGCTGACACGAGGCCCAGCTGGATTGGCTGCTGCTGATAGCACACGCTCCTCCAACGAATTACATAAATTTTAAACCGATTGACGCGATCTTTTTAGCCATTTCTCACAGAGCGAAAGTCCAGTAAAAATTATACGTAACAACAAGACCTGTTATTATGGTAGGTTCATACATTTTACGCACCCACAACGTTGTCAAAACTGCGGACCAAATTACATACATGTGCGCATTTCGAGGTTAAACGTGACCCGGTGCAGTGCCAATCTATGGCGTTAATAATAATCTTTGTTCTCCTCCCTATTTGCAGTACAAATTGGCAGCGTTTGCAAGGGAGCGTGCGTGCTTTCTTACGTACCAATATGCGACCCAGAATTTGCAGCAGCAGCCGGTAAGCTAATCACCTGGCCTCATGTTCTAATTGGCACATTTTTAATTCGCATTCAATTTACATATCGCCATAATAGCAACGCTATTATAGCGCACCCGGCCGCAGACCTGGCTTCTTTTCACAATTCATTGACAATGTGCGTAGCGAAATGGACAAGAACAAAGAGATGAAAGAGAGCATAAAGAAGTTCCGTCAGGAGGCACAAAAGTTAGAACAGTCGGATGCTCTGAAATCGGCGCGACAAAAATTCAACATCGTCGAGTCGGAGGCGCAAAAATCATCGAGCATACTTAAGGAGCAGCTAGGTGCCATTAAGGAGAAAGTAGGTGATGTGATTGACGACGCCTCCAAGTCGGACCTGGCGAAAAAAGTGTCCGAAGAGCTGTCCAAAACAGCTAAGGGTGTTAGCGATACGATAACGGATACGAGTGGCAAGCTGGGTCAGTCAGGCGCTTTTCAAGCCATATCCGATACGACGAAGCTGATTAAGAAGGAGATGGATGCAACGAGCATAGATAATCGTGTATATCGCTCACCAGTTAGGCTCCGCAAGCGGGTCCAGGTGGACATGTCAGACAGTACGCGCGTTGTGGAAGCAAACACGGAAGCAACAGGTATGATATGTAAATACATTTAATTCACCGCAACAAAGACTGATTTTGTTTCGTCTAGGCCTGGAGTTGCACAAAGACTCGAAGTTCTATCAATCGTGGGAAAACTTCAAGAACAACAATAGCTACGTAAATAAAGTTCTCGATTGGAAGGTGAAATATGACGAATCGGAAAATCCAGTAATCCGTGCTTCTCGTCTGCTTACCGACAAAGTGTCCGATGTTATGGGTGGCCTCTTCTCAAAAACCGAGCTGTCGGAGACAATGACCGAGCTAGTGAGGATTGACCCTAATTTTGATCAGAAGCAATTCTTGCTGGACTGCGAAACGGACATAATACCCAACATTCTGGAGGCCATTGTCCGTGGCGATTTGGAGATACTCAAGGATTGGTGTTTCGAGAGCACATATAATATCATTGCCACGCCCATAACGCAAGCGAAAAAGCAGGGTCTATATCTGGACTCAAAAATTCTGGACATCGAGAACATTGAGCTGGCCATGGGCAAGGTAATGGAGCAAGGTCCCGTGCTTATTATTACGTTCCAGGCCCAGCAAATAATGTGCGTGCGCGACCAAAAGGCGCAAGTTGTCGAAGGGAATCCCGAGAAGGTGATGCGTGTTCATTATGTGTGGGTTCTGTGCCGTGATCGCGAAGAACTCAATCCAAAAGCTGCCTGGCGCCTAATGGAGTTGTCCGCCAACAGTCAGGAGCAATTTGTTTAGTCGCACTGCATGCAATTTATACTACCTCTAGGCAGTTTAGTTTATATCACCATCTCACCAAACATTCAACCAACCAACACATGTATGTAGAAGACATTCTTCCGACTTGCATAGACTTAGCCGATACACTTCACGAAACGAGATTTATGTTAAGTGTGTACAAAATTAGCTTACGGACTTGCGCCCTTAAAACGATTTCGAATTGTGTGTAATGTTAGGTTGCTGGTCAGCTGAAAGGGCTGTCGACGAATCCGCCACCGTCTGGATCTGCTGGTCTGTTTACCATGTGATCCCTAGAATCCAGAAGGTGGTGATCACAGCTATAGCTAGCTGGTAATGTCGTCCTCCCGCTGCCCATGTAGCTCGTATACATGTTGTATATTTTAACCTACCTTGTAAGCTGTATAAGAGCCACATTGGCCGCGGGTGTGCGCCAAAGCAGAGCTGCTGTGCAGACTCGATGACTGCTTTATAAAATGTTAAAGCTTAAAGTGCAACAAATTATATAAAAGGAAGTATGTATAATTTCGTAATTCATAAGTCAAATTGTTGAGTAACAGCTACCACCTAGGCGAGCACGATGTGGTAGTGGTAGTTGTGTTACATATTTAAGGCAAACCTAATTGTAAATACAATGTACGCTTTCAAGGCAAGGCAAATTTGCAGTGACACACACAGCCAGACAAGAACGTTTACATGTGTTGCTTCCCTCTACTGTTAAAAACATCTATAAACATCTAGAAAATAAAACGCAAACTATTATTTACAAACAATTTAATTCAATGAGTAATATTTGATCTTAATGTTCTTCTCCATTCAATTATGTATTTAGAGTTGTATCGTTTGAATCATTGAGCTCCGTTGTTGGTGAAAGTCGACATGCAAGAAATTCATTTAAGTCAAAAATATACAGGGTATAAAGGGATTGACCAAAGTATGTAACATGCAGAGAAAACCCGATCTAGGACATGTCCGTCCATCTGTATGAACGCAAGGATCTCAAAAACTCCTCTAAAAGCTGGAATAATCAAAGTTGGTACTCAGATACTCCTCCGAGAAAGTCTAAGAAATTTTTTAAATTCATTTATTATTTAATAATAAGCATATAATGTTAGATGTAAAGGAATTCCCTTAACTACAATAAAGTTCAAAGCTGCCCATGCAGTGTTGCACAGCGTCTTTAACAAGCATGCGCGCGTGTACGCTTCATTGTGCGCACATAAAGCTTCAACCGTTTTCAACGTACTTTAACGCTGTGCGCGTTTGACTTTGGAGCTCGTTCAGTCTGCATGCAAAGCTCGAGAGAATCGCACGTGCGTACACTGTAAACGCAACTGCTTTAAGCCATATTAATTATTTATAAAGTGGCCTATAAAAAAACCCCGACGCTTAATCAGACAATCTGACGCACGCGTGTGATAAAAGTGATAAGCACAACTCACTTCATTGAATTATAAAGTGTTCCAATTAGTATAAAAGCCACAATGCGTGCCAATAACTGTTTAACGCTCTGCTGCCTGTTCTTCTTAACAACAACAACAACGCTCTGGACTTGCTGTAAGTAACAAACCAGCAATAAGAGAAAAACCAACAGAAAGACACTCGACCCGCAGCGTCTCAATATTTATTTTGTCTTGGTTGCGAAATGGGTTGAGTGCGTCGTAGTCTTCGTCGTGGTCGTCTGCATCCGAAACTAGTTTCGCCATCAGGCGGGTCACCCTTTTGCCTTTTACTGTTATTGTATTTAGTTGTAAGCCAAGTTTACAGCGCATAAACATCAGTTGTTATAGCCAGCCATGAACCGAACGCATCAAGGTCTCTGGAAATTAACCTCTCGATTGCTAGTTCTTGTCATGTCGATGCATAATAAAGTATCTTAAAGGGGTCGCAGTCCATTGCCAAAGCTTCCACATATCTTACAAATTGTAATCAAATTGATAGCTGTTTCAACTGATAAGCGACACTACTGACTCAGACCCATTTAAGACCCAACTGGTGAATGTCACCCTAAAAGGCCAAAAAATATGTGAGGCTTTGTTTTTGGGGCAATGGCAAGTGTTTTAATTCAACTGACTGTTTGTTTTGCTCATATTTATTTATAACGGCATCGAAAAATTGTACAATTATTGGCCCTGTTTTGGCCAACGCGTTTTCGGCGCGATTTATGCGCGTTTTACGCGCGACGCATGTTAAATAGCCGCTAACGATCGCAAGCTTTTTGGTTTTTGGGGCGCGTTTTCGATTTCACGCACCCATTAGGCTTTGGAAACTGTTTTTGAAGCTACACCCACTTAGATTTCGCTCCAAGTCGAAAACAAAGAATGATTTAAGATATTTATGCATATCGCGGCCACTTTTCGACGAGATTCCGATATCACTTATAAATAGCAATTTAATTTTAGGCCCGTAAGTGTTGAGATAATTTTGATATATTGATAGGGATTTCATTCCGCGTTCATATCATACAAAGGGGAAGTTACATTTTAAAATATTCTTATGTACGAAGAGCACTTTGATTTCGTTTTGTTTGGAACTCACACGGCATTGAATTCATATTAGAGGTTGCTTTTTGAATTCATGATTCATTATTGTACGGTGCGAAATGGTTTGAATAAACTTTTATTTTTTAATATAATGTAACAAATAGACAAAAAATGTATTACTTAGAATTAATGTTACATTGGAAATGCAAATTTTAATTTAACTATAATTATTTATTCGTAATAATATCGAAAAGCTGTATAGGAATAATTATTATACACTATTAAATATCTACACATTTAAGCAGTTTAAAGAAGTTTTAAAGATTTTGTAAACATTTCTTCGTACTCTTGTCCAGATATTTGAATTTTCGGGAATTTTCATGGAGTGTTTGACACTAGTATGTATGTACGAGTATATTAGAGCGAGATATTAATCCAAAGAAGTTCCAAGTATTCAGTTAATTGCTTTATTATATTCGACTGGATTCTATTTAAAAACCCCAAAATGAAACGATGAAATTCCCAGTATAGCTTGATATTATTAAATAGCAGCGAGGCAGAACGTGAATCCCGGTCAACTTTCCGGAGAACGTTGATATCTTTATACATATTTTATAGATACTGGTTTCGCCATACTCATTTGTTTATTGCCAAATGTGTTTGTCAGCTATTTTTTTGTCGCTTTGCAAAAACACGAGTATTTTTGTTTGCCTAAAGCTCAAGACGCCGAAAAACAAAAGTAAGATAAATTGTAGGCAAAAAAAGAAATATTTGCAAGCAATTTGGTAACTCGTTTATCTTCTTTCGGAGCACTCGTATTTCCTTAACAACAGATAAATATTTTGGCAGTCCGTCCAGGCGGACAAGGTGCGATATGCGTAAAAAATGTTAAACTGAGTAAATATTTGTGGCATGTTTATTACACAGAAGCCAGAGTCTGGCCATCTCTGGGAGAGTAGTAAGATATAATTTTTCATGGGAATTGAGCTTTAGTCTTCTTTAAACACTGCCTTTGATATATTCATATACACCTTACTCATGGCCATTTCTGCTTAATTACATATTCTTACAGCACATGCCAAGCCCTTGGACGACTTGGCTAAAACTGATACCGAGCTAAGTGACTTGAATGCGCCGGCCAAAAATAAAACAGCTGCCAGCGGCGAGGAGGTAAGCTAATTAAGAAACTGAGAATCTGTAACGATGGCAGCAGACAAAGCCCCTTTCAGGGCTGAGATTTAACTGACGCACTGACAAGTACAGCACACCCAAAAAAACAAAACAATAATAATAATAATGAATAAGCTCAGAGGTTAGACAACGAACATGAAACACACTTCAAAGACTTTCGTTATAGTTTATTAAATGAGCATAATATTATGACAATATTTATGTTTTTAAGAGTATTTAAAAAGCAATCAGTGTTTCTTGGAATTTTTAGTTTGCATATGAGCTTTTTATAATGTCGGAGACCTTCCGGACAATGTATTGTTATCTACTTATTATCTACTCCAACACAATTGAAATTGCTTCTGGAATGGGTATTAAGAATGAGATGATACTTTTAATATAAATAGGCATGAGAAATGTGCCGCTCATAGCTCTATTTGAGCTTCAAATCCAAATTAGTTCTGAATAGGTCAGTCATTTTCGTTACTTCTTCATAAAACCTTTGGTATTTTAAAAGCATATATCGCACATTTGTTTCGGATAATTGTGAAAATATTCTAGAATCTGATCATACTATGAACAATCTATGCGCAGAAACCATTTCGATTTTCCATTAACTTCGGCGGATCGAAAAGCAGAGCACATGTTGCTAAAATTTAATTTTTAAAAAGCTTCAGTATTAATTAATTAATTATTAATTATAATTATTAATTATTGTTTGTTTTTAATTTTAGTTCTTTTGATTATTTGTTTTAAATTCCCCCAAGTTTTCCTTGCATTCAATGTTTGGTTAGATAAAGCGAAAACTATACTCTGAAAGAACCTATTTCTATATTTCCATTGTGTACCCATTCGACCAAACTGTTAGAGTTTATAGAAGGCATGCGAAAATATCCATCATTTACATAAATTGGTGAAAGATTGTTTCGTCGCAAGCCTCATCAAGTTGCCGTTTTACCCGTTTTCTGGCCAAGAGTGTATACGGGGAGCCGTAAAGACGTAAAGCCGACAATGAAATATGAGCCGTTGAGGGGCTATGCAGTTTGCGGTTTATTTTCGAAACGCACATAAACCGGAAATTTACTTATAAAAATTGTTAATTTATTTTCACTTTGATTAAATGCAGACCGAATCCAAACTCGAAAACCCAACGAAAGACACGCGCGGTGTTTGCCTTTAAAGGCTTAAGAGCACGCAAGTTGGCGACGCCAACGAAATATTTGTGGTTGACATTTGCATAAAATTCAAGAAGCTCCAAGAGAGAGAGACAAACAGACTGACAGACGGACAGACGGACAGAGAAACCCCAACCCGTCACTGGGCCGGGGGGACACGCACCCGTCCGAAAAGGCCAGGCCGGGCTTAGTCACGAAATTCAACTAAAAAGTTGGCTTATAACTGAAAGAGACAACAGACATGCCGACAGACATTTTTAAGTGGTTGTGGAAGTGCGGGTACGTTACTGGGTGGTTACCCAGAGATCACCACCACCTGGTGGCTATGACTCACACTCATACGCAATCGGAGTTCATCGCGATTCTTGGTAATTCCTCAAAAAGTTGTGACGTCTCAATGCCAGCGAAGACTATTGTGTCGTGTTTGAATTTAATTTGCTGAACAAATATCGCGCGCGATCGTAGCGGATCGGATTCCCAATCATGTCGCCTCTCTGCACCTTTTTCCTGTAGATACATATGTACTATACTATATACTTATTATTATTATTGTGTCGTTAGTTGTAAAACAAATGAAGCAATTACGTCGCGACCGGTTGGAAAAATGCGACAGCTTGTGGCAGCGCTGCGGGCGGGAAGGGGGATGGATAGGGAGCAATGTTTGAAGACCGACCAGTCACGTAGTTGTTGTCGTCGTTCTCGACATACGCTCGCTGTTCAGAGTACCCCGCCTTCCCCACCCTGACTGCCCCAGCATCGTCGCCAACTGGGATTTGCGCTCTAATGAAGCTTAAATTACAAGCCACTTGAGATGGCGACCTTTTGACTACGAGTATACCGTTCAAGGCCGTTCGGACAGAGTATTCGCAATGCGAGTTGAAAGTTTAGAAGTCGCCAGTCTTCCCAGAAAATGCATGTAACTACTCGTATTTCATGTTTGCCAGACTGACAGATATGCAAATCAAATATTAGTGCTCTAGGCTGTCTTTATTGGTTCACAGCTAATTAACCATTTGATAAGCCCAGTTAAGCAAACACAAGCTCCCTTGGTTGGCATTTTACACGATTTAAACAAATGTTTTGGGAGTTACATAGTACTTGCATATCCCCCTCTGTCCCTGCTGAAAGGTGCAAGCAAATTAGCACTTGAGTTTATATCCAGTTAGGGGCACGGGCAGGGCAGGGCAGGGAAGCGGAGCGGTTGTGGCGCTTATTAAGACATGTTTGCAATATTTGCCAAATTAATTAGAGGGTTTCTTTTTTGTTTGCTCAGCAACTGGATACACATAAAATGAGCAAATAATTGTGAGCAATACTAATTGAGTGTTAAGAATATAACTGGTCAGTGCTTTCGATGGCTTTATCAATTATTATTGGTCTTATAAACGATTTTATATGACTTTTATAATATGCTCTCTTTTATGGATTCTTTATTTCACTCAAATTTGTAGAGAAATAAAATTAATGAAATATATCTTTCCATTTCAATAAAGCCAAAAAGAACTTATTTCTACGCACTTTTTATACATTTCCTTCCATAAGACCAGTAATAATGCCAATAAATTCAATTTAAATTCAGTTTCTTTTCCATAACCCTCAACTGAAATTATTTCACCTAAATACAAGAGCAATATTGGCATTACTTGGCACCTTTATAATTTGGGGAAATGGAAACAGAACCAGAAGAGTTATTACATTTTTTTATAGGAGTAATGCTTCGCGAAAAACTAAAACTTGTAAATGAAAACTGGCTCAAATGGTCTGTGAACTTTATCAGAATATTATTTTATATCACATATTATATTATATCACAGAGTAATTGATAATGAAAATAACAGTAATTCCTTAAATCGTGCACTTCTTTTATATTAATTCTAAAATATAATCAGATATACATATTTCTTTTATTACAACTAATCGGGCGAGAGTTCAAATAGTTTTCAACAGCCCTGAAGTTCCTCTAATTTCATGATTTTTCCGAGCATAATAATGTTATTCAGTCTACACATTTCACGTATATTTTAGCAGATGATCTCAGGTCGAGTAGTTGCATAGTTTATCCAAATTGGAAAACCCTAAAGTCATAAGTAAGCCCACGCTTTTGCTACTTTCTAGTCTTGTTTTTTGTAATATTTTTCACCCACGCGATTGAAACGCTGATGTCAACCAGCTGCCAAACCAATTGCAATTAGCGTGAGAATATTTTGCAAGCCCCAAATCTTCATAGAGACACGTGCTTTACGGGAAATCAATTACACAAGTGAGACAACGGAAAACGAAGGCAGTCGATGACATGTCCGGTTTTGTTTGCTTTTTATTTGAGTGATAAATTATTGATGGTCGATTACGTGACTAATCGTGTGTCTGCTTTTCCTTTTGGGGCCTAGCAACTGCATTGGAATGCGTTTGAACTAAATATTTGTCGTTATATTGCAGGATTCCGAATCGGATTCGTCGGACCTAACGCAACGGGCCTTTGCCCATCGCGATGAGGATCAGCTGAATACGGCGACGAATCTGGTGCTGGCACGCAATTACAAGTACGACTTCGAAATACTTGAGTCGGGCGACAATGACAATGACAGGGACGACAGCAAGGATGCTGTGGAGCTGGAGGAGCGCTATAGGGGCCATGGCATCTACAATACGGACCCGCGCACTTTTGTGTCCGACAACATTGAGATGACGCCTGTGGACGTGAAATCGGGTGTGATTACGGAAGGTCACATGTTCCTGAGCATCGCGTTGGTAGTCCTCGCCCTGGCTTCCATCGGCGTGTATGCTGCCCTGGTCATTTGGCGATCTCACTTGGAGTAAGTAGCGCTAACTTCTGATGCTAATTATCAGTTATTTATTGTTCCTTCTTTCGCTCGCAGACAACGGTACGGCATGCGCGAGCAGCTGGTGAACCGCGATTTGGATGAGGAAGGCATCGATGACGTGGACTATCATGTGGCCTATCCGCACACACTCAGTCCTTATGCCCCCACCACCACACCCACCAACAACACCAACTCTCTGGCGCGTTCGTAGTGAGCGAGTTTTGCTAAGTGGGCAGCAATTAAACTACGCTTAAATTCATTTTAAAGTGCAACCGTTAATTGAGCGCATGTCATGAATATCATAAATTATACCTGTTCGTCTCTGTCATTTGCATCGACAATTAACCACTCACATCCAATTAAAAAAAGAAAACAATGCGAAAGGTCATTATAGTTAGTACGCTAGGGTCGCAGCTTTCTAGTTTTATAAATAATGACACACCAATTATATTTAAGTTCCTGTGATATTGTTCTAGACATCATTTGCACTAACAATATGCATAGAAAAAGGCATGTCAATTATATACGTATACATATATTTTTTACAACAAATTTGTATTTACAGTGCCTAGAATGACATTAAAGTTTAAGCGAAATCAGCCAATGTATTTTATTTAAATACTGTAAAGTTTTTATGCACTTAAAGCAGTTATATGTATACTTAATTTTTATTAATTTAAAAAACAGCAAACAGTTGATTTTCAATTATGCGCGCCTCACTTGAATATCAACGTTCTCCAACACTGTGTTTGATTGAAACGCAGCCAACTTCATAAATCTGCCGCAACTAGAGATGGGAACAAATATTGTGAGCATTGTTGTGCCACAGCTGCGACTTGAATTTATAAATGACACATTTTAAAAGATTAAAAAAACGACAGCTACACTATTTTAATTAATATTAAATGTGCAATAGTGCAACATATCTTAATTAGAATACTTTAACTTTGAAAGGCAAGTGTCTATGTGAATCAAATAAGAACTATGCGTGACCCGTGACCGTTAAATGAACGTGAGTAATTCACGCACACGTGTAGAATAGCCATCACTAGCGAACAGCTGTTTTGCCCATTTAGCTTGCACCTGAACTTTGAACTCGCGCATTCATTTGATACAGTTTTGTGGCGATTTTAAGTGCGCCTGTTCTGTTCTGTTTCGTGTTCGTCCCGTTTTGTATGTGCGTGGCATTTCAATTCAGTTATTCAGACTCCCAACGTACTCGTTGCTGTGCACAACAAAAAGAGTGCGCGCTTTGTTTGACAAACAGCAACAACAACAGTAGAAAACAGCTCGTAATAAGCTCGCTGTGAGTTCATTGATAAGAACGCACAAGTGAAAGTTAACGGAAAGCTGCGGACACTGCAGTCGTGTTCGTCGACGCAGTCGTGTTGTTGTTGCCGTCGTAGTCGCAGTCAAAGTCAAAGTCGCTGTTCGCTGTCGTAGTTCCTTTCGTAAAAAGTGAAAAATATTGAATTAAAATTGTACAAAGTAGTTGAGTGTGTATATTGCGCTTGTGCTTAAAGATTTAATTAATTTATTGATGTTGCTTAGTTTAGTTGTTGTTGCTGCTACCGTTCTGATTGATTGAGTGATTGTGATGTGTTAGAAAAAAAGACCGCGCTTTCTCTGTTACTCGCGCTCGCTTTCTCTCTTCCCTCGCACCACTTCTGTACTGAAAGAGTTGTTTGTTTGTGTCGTAAATTTTGTTGTTGCTGTTGTTGTTGGTATGCTATGCCGTCATATCAATTAACGGCAAGTATAGCATAGTTTCCGGCGCCAACATTTTTTGTGCTTCCACGCGCGCGCTTCCGCTTTGACGCAATTAACAAAGGCAAACGTTAATTAATAAAAAAAAAAAGAAGAATAAAAACAAAAATAGCAACAACATAGCCATGACACACTGGGAGGATTTCTACAATACACATCTGCCGCCCGCAGATTTCGAGGATAATCGCTCGCTACTGAAGGAGTTCTGCGAGCGACACAATAAGCTGCAGAATCGCATTGTGCTTGTAACGGTAAGCTTAATGGGGCAGTGGCGGTTGCCGTCATGAATACCTAATGCGCATTAATGAGCCTCGCATCTCACGCAGTCCGGCGGCACGACCGTGCCCCTGGAGCACAACACAGTGCGGTTTGTGGACAACTTTAGTGCCGGCACTCGCGGCTCTGCCTCGGCCGAATATTTTCTGGATCATGACTATGCCGTCATCTTTATGTACCGCCACAAATCCCTCGAGCCCTTCACGCGTCACTTCACCGGCCAGCAATTCTTTGACATGCTGGACATTGCTGACAATAGCCAGAGCTCCACAATAGCCATAAAGCCGGACTCGGTTGATGTGTTTGCCCCGGTTCTGGCCAAGTACAAGATTGCTCGTGAGACGCAAATGATATTGTACGTGAATTTCACCAGCGTCGTCGACTATATGTGGCTGTTGCGTGCCGCCTGCGAGTGCCTGGCGGCGTTCGAGGAGCGGGCTGTACTCTACTTGGCGGCAGCCGTATCGGATTTCTATATACCCGAGGACATGATGGTGCGTACTTTAGATATGTATATACGTATAGCGTGAAAGCGAACTGTAGATGGATTGTCGGCAAGGTGGTTGTGGGGCCATGGGTGGCCATGTGGGAAATCTTGTAATTGATTACAGGGACTGCGTTGATAGGAACTTGGAAATTGCTTTTTATCGATTTCTAACGCTGATTGGTTTTGTTTGCCTTTGCCGTTGACACTTTTCCTCTTCATATAATTGCAAAGGCAACCGTCTCATATCTCAAGCGACGTTGCACAAATCTGACGTCAACCTGAGTGCTGAGTGCAGCGCAAACTTTGGGCCACGTCAGCCAGTAACAGTGCACAACTAACAAACTACAGCCCTAACTGAATTACGAAGAACTTTCTCATGCAAAGTTGTTTACAAAAGATGCAGTTTTTATATTGATTGTGATTTTTAGTTACGAATATTTCTTCGCTACTAGTTCTTGTACAACAAAAAGCATAGAAGTAGTTTAACTCAAAGCGGAAAAATAACTTTCTTTTTTCCTAATATATATTATTATTTATTGAGACCATTGGTCTTGATGGCAATCTACTATATTTTTTCTTTAACTTTTTAACGTTTCTAAGCCGACTGGCAACAAGGTTGGAAGCAAAATCGTTTCATTTTAGAAATTTATAATGAAGCACTAAGAATTAAATATTTTATTGAATTTTAAAAAGTTATCAACTAATTAATTAATTGTTTCATATACATATATGTGGGATTAAAGAAATCTCGGCAAACGTTGCCAAGCTTCGCAGTCCTTTTCACTAAACCTATTATATGAAATCGGTCCCTACGATCATTACGATTTTCTTGAAATTCCTTCGAAATAAGTTTTATTTAAGGTCGACTGCACGTTCTACATAGTAGCTGACAAAGTGTGTGCTAAGCCCAAGTCACAGCTGTCATCATCGCTTGTCAGCGAGTCGTTTCTGTAGCATCAGTCTGGCATGTCCTGCCCTCTTTTTGCTGGCCTTCATAGTTTGTCCTTGTCATTGTGCAGCTACAGCAGCCTTAACATTGTCATCAAATAATTTGATTTGCATAATTTTACTTGTTACTATGTTTCTATGGCAGCTGAGCCAGCCCCCACATGCTGCTACGCTTTACTTGACTGCTCGTCTGTTGGTCGCTATGTTCATGGCATGCTCGGTCGCTCAGCCAACATTTCACTTTTATTTGAGTTTTATTCACGTTTTCATGTTCATGTTGCCTGGTTGCATCCTGCCTGTTTGTCCTGATTGTGTCCCTGCCCTGTCTCTGCTGTGATGTGCTGTGCTGCGAGGGCGTATTTACTTGTCAGCTTTGCTAGTTGCTCTACTCACAAGCCCCTTTGGCCACCCGTTCCCTTTCAGCTGACTTGTTGGCACATATTCAGATATTCAGCACAAAGGCACTGCTTTCAAATACACCAAACGCCCATTGCTGGGAGTGCACTTGAAAAATTCTGTATGCAAAGGATTGGGAGAGCGTCTATGTAGACACTTGCTGTCAAAATGGTTGTAACTTACAGATATTTCTCATCAGCATGAAAAGGGGCATCTACATGATTGAGTAGACGGAGTGATTGCCTGAATTTCGATAAACTCTATAAAATAATTTACGAAATACAAGACGACTGATTTTCCCGAAAAATGTTTAAGTAGGCAACTCCTAGTTGGGCCACGTAGCAAACAATTTATAATGATAGTATTAAGTTGCAAGCAAATTCAATAAATCAATTTAATGCAATTAAGCATTCAATACGTTATTCTAAAGACTGGGCAAATTTTAATGAACACTCTGTTCTTTAAATTTCTAATTTCTTGATTATTTGTAGGGGAATAAAAGCATTTGTTCAGGTTTATTTTTTCTTTTTGCTTTTCAATACATTTTAGCAGACCTATAGATACGATAAATGGGAATGGGACTTATAAATCAATATGGTTAGCTATTTAAGACTACGTTTTTTAAGTTTATTAATTTAAAGGGCCGATTGATTTTCATTAGCCTTAAAAGTCAGAACCAATGGCAGCACATAATTAATAATATTTCGTATAATTTCAAGAATTTGTTCCTTTATAAATGTTTTTAACCATTTGTAGGAATAAAAGCATCTGTTCAGGTTTTTTTTTTTGCTTTTCAATACATTGTAGCAGACCTATACAAGTAGATACGGTAAATGGAAATGGGATTTGTAAATCAATATGGTTAGCTATTTAAGACTAAGTTTTTTAAGTTTATTAATTTAAAGGACCGATTGATTTACATTAGCCTTAAAAGTCAGAACCAATGGCAGCACATACTATAATTAATAATATTTCGTATAATTTCAAGAATTTGTTCGTACCAAATAGAATGTTTAGCTTCGAGTAAAAGTATTATTGCCTAGATTTAGTTTTAAATATAGGGACTGCCTATATTTAGAGCAAACCTATTTCCAGTCGAATATGCCCTTGAATTAGGTTATCATTTTGTCCTTACCAATCCACAGCGTTTGCATTCAACGGCAAACATACATACACATACTTGTACACACACATACCTATGCTCAATGAGAGAGAGAGAGGCACACAAATGACAAATGCTGTGGCACGTAAAGGCAAACTTTTCCACTTGCTTGCTGCCGGGCTGTCTAAGAGGCTAGAAGCTTGGCTTGGCATACTCAGCGTCGTGTTTCCGCTTTTGCCGTGCATTTCCTTTTGTCGCCGCCATTGCTTCGAGCTCTGTCGTCGTGGGCGTTCTCCTACTTCTTCTGCTTGTTCTTCTCCTTCTGGTGGGCGTTTGCCACAAATCGTTCGCTGGCTTGATTAAATTGTTTGATATTTTTACACACACACACACACACACTTATACATCAGCTTAGGCGCACACATGCAAAAAGGCATCGCCAAGCTCCGAACCGCAAAACTTGGCAAAATGGCGAAAATTGCTTGTTGATGTCGATGTGGAAATTTATGTGCATGTCTGTTGCCATGTGTGTGTCAGTGTGTGTGTACATGCCAGTCAGTCTGTCGAGAAAGCTTTTTCTATTTGCTGGCAGTTACTTAACTGGCAAATTTTATTTAGTGTGCATAATGACTTGTTGAATATTTTATCACATATGTACATATGTATGTATATATTGGATATACATAGCCGGCAGCTTATTGGCTCTGGCGCAGAGTCTTTAAGGGCAGCTTATAGAATATTTATAACATTGAAGCCGTATTAATTCTTCATCTGTAAAAGTAGCTCGCAGCTGTTTCATTTCTTCCACTTTATTCCTGCAATGAGATACAAATCAACTTTATGTCAATCTGTGCTGATTGTTTAGTTCAATCTGCCTTTGGATTACTACTCAATAGCTAAATCAATAGTTAGTTGCTATTCCAAGGGGAAACAAATTTGTAGGAATTAACTTTCCTAATCAAAAATTTGCGATAGGGAATGCAAATTCCACGAGCTCTGCTTTTAAATGAGTTCTAGTTCAAAAACATTTTCCCAGCCAGCCAAACTAGATTTTAAACTCATTAACTGGCATGGATATGCTTTTAATGTGCTAGTCTTGACATAAATTTAAGGCTTAAATGCCTTTAATGATGCTAACAGCCTTAGTATATTTAAGCTAAAATGTATGTGTGGGTGCGGGTAGCTACCTTAAGCTGCTCAGCCATATTTATATGCACAGTTTAACATATAAATACAGTTCAGCCACGATAAATCAGGCTTCACTTAGCACAATTTTCATTCACAGACAAAATTAAAGATTTACTTTTACACTCAGTATACTAACCATTTTCACAAGTTCAGTAATTTATAATTTGGTATATTGAGTTTCTTTTTCCAGAACAAGTATTAACCATTTTCACAAGTTTAGTGATTTATAATTTAGTTTATTGAGTTTCTTTTTACTATAGAGCTACATTTTTACAATCTAAACAAAAAGTGCGTCGAAAATAACAGAGATTATTCATCAACTTTTAAGTATAACTATGGAAAATGAAATGTTTTAAATGTGGAAATTCCATATGCTATTCTAATTATATTGGATTCAACAATAAGCCAGAAAATGTTAAAGTTATTGCTCAAGAAGCTCTTCTGTACATTCCGACGTGTTATAAGGCCTTCCAGCCGTTGGCAAATTTTCAACACAACACTAAGAATTCAATTTTGAAATAACGCTTTACCAACCCACGCCTCCATCGTCCCCTATGCCCCCCAACAGCGTTCACATTTTAACAAAATTATGCGAGAGCAACAGCCAAGTCCCATTTGAATTAATTTAGAGGAGCCATGGCGGGCCTCGAGTAAATTCTAATAAACTTAAGCAAACAAGAAATTATAAAAGTGAATATACACAAACGATGGAAGGTAGCAGCGTACACACTTATTCGAAAGTATATAGGATACTCCTATATAGATCGTAAGTATGTAAATATGTAGTGGCAGTGTATCGACGGACGAGTACAAATCCGCAAATGAAATCAAAAGGTTTTACAAGAGCACGCATGAATGCACACACACAGACAGGGTAGAGGGGGAAGCTAGGGACGAGTCGAGTACAATGACACACCAATACAAAGCGAAACGAAAATATATTTCAATGTCAACAGCTGTTGGCAGTTGGCACATCGTCTTCAAAACCGAAAGAGAAAGTCAAAACTTCTGACCGCAAAAGCTTAAAGTTCTAATAATCAGCGACGTCGGCTGCGACGCCAGCACATTGCACAATTGTCAATGTCGAAGGGGCGTTCGGGCGCTTGGGCACTTGGGCGTTGTGGTGTTATGGTTTTGTGGTGTTGGGGAGTCGACAGTGTTTTGTCGTCTTCCTTGTCGGCTTACTGCCTTGAGCTAAATTTTTCATTTCTCCTCGCACAATGTGAAAGCGACTTGCTTAGGTCGGACGCCATTGTTGGCCGTCCTTTGCTTGAACGCCTTTTCTCTCCCCCCACTCACTGCCTGCGGGTCTGTCTTCCTTTCTGTATCTGTATATATATATATCTATATATATGTATGTGTATATATTTATATATATTTTGTCCATTTGTCTCCCTCGGCGCTTTGTGTTGACACAACAAATGAAAGTGGTCAGCAATTTTGGGCTCAGATAAAGTGACAGCTAGCTAATGAGTGTACGCCTTTATATTGGACACTCAACAAGTAGTGTACACAACAAAAAATAAAAAATAATAAAGGACCTTTAAATGGCCGGATCATTTAATTCAACGCACTGGCTACACCTTGCGTATACGCAATATTTTGAAAACGTTCAACAACATGCGAGAAAAGTGTGCGTCTAAAGTATGTGGCGATGGCAATGATTGCCTTGCATTGGGGTTGCCTCATTACAGCTGAGTTATATTTTCAATTAGTTCTAATTTATACGCCATGTGGTACACGAAGAAACCTAAAAAACAGATGTCTGTGGTAAAAAAAAGCATTCATGGGTCTTTTTTTCGAAACACAGCTCTAAGGCCATGTGTGTGAGACTACAGTAAACAGCCGAAAAACAGGAATAGCATTGACAATTGTAGCTTTTGAATAGCTCGAAATCAGTATGAATAGTTGCTCAGAATACAAAGGTACACTTTTTGAAAATAAAATAATCCCTGCCGTTCAACAAAGAAATAAAAAAACGTTCCGATTCGTTTATATGAGGGAAACATGTTTTTATGCAGATTCAGCAAAGCACATCCTGACTTGACTTCAGCAAATTGGATTAAATTCCAGGAAATGGATGTTATGAAGGAATACCGTAAGGATATGATATGATTATTAAATTCCTATACGACCCTGTACCAGGAAGGTCTTTCTTCATTTCATATCCTGCCTTATTTCACTAGCTTCTAACAATATTTATTGAAGCCTATAACTCATGATAGTTCCTAAAAATTTTAAAAAATGCCTTGAAAAAAATAGTTCTTTCTTACAAATAAACAAATTATTTATTCATAGTACATTTAACAGGCAGGAGAGCGTATTCTGTTTCTATTTAGTGTTCTTTTGTCTTATTTAACATTAAAACTCTTTACGTAAATAAGGCAGAAGATGAATTATAAAGAATTCACTATGTTGGGTAACGTATTAGCTATAAATTCAGATGCATGAACGGTCAGTCGTGATCGTATTGGAAAAAACTCATCAATCTCAGGTGTTCTTAAGCAATCGCTAAAATTTATATTGTAGGCCATTTACTAGTGGTATAGATTTGGCCGAAAAATTACATAGAGCTCATGATGTAAAGAATTACAAATAATACTTATACAAGTATATTATGCAGAAACAGCTCAAAACAATTTGAATTGCTAAGAAGGCATTAAGAAAGAGTCGCATACAAAATTGATAATAATATTTAAAGCTTAATTGATTCATCGGCCTTGAGCAGTCCCCACTGTAGTAGCATGCGAGTACATATATGAATACATGAATATTGGTGTGCCTTTATGAGTGTTGGTGTGTGTCTGCTTGCAAGGACACATTTAGTGTCTGTCTGCGGCACGTTACCGCCTGCCGCTTGCCAATGGTGTAACAGCCATGAAATTTAGCAGCCATGTTGTTGCGGCATGCCACACCACATATCCCCCCCATACGTTCGACTTGTCGCCCACATCGCTTTCATACGCAACGTTGGCTTGTCATTTCATTAAAATGCCTGCCAGCATACTCGTAACCGCTGTGGTCCTCAGACTCGTTTTCAAATTGGTTCGCGTTTTCATTTCCATTCTTTTACCTTTCCCCGCGCTCTCTCTCTCTCTCTCTCCGGTTTCTTCGCAGCCCACACACAAAATGCAATCCGGTGATGGCGCGCCAACGATTTCGCTGCAATTGGTGCCAAAAATGTTAGCGCCACTCGCCAGCTTGTGGGTTCCGCACGCCTATGTGGTGTCCTTTAAACTGGAAACGGATGAGAATTTATTGATTGTCAAGGCGCGCGACAGTCTAAACAAATACAAGCACAAGGTGAGTCCCCATCAGTGTCCATCCCCTCCGTGCTGGGCTCAGCTCAATATCTGGATTTCATTTTATTTTTCAGTTGGTCATCGCAAACGTGCTACAGACACGCAAACATCGCGTGGTCTTCGTTACACCCACAGATTCCTATGAGTTGCATTTGAGTCGCGAACAAGCGCACCAAGGCTTGGAGATCGAGGAGCCCATTGTGGCCGATGTGGTAAGTCCTAGCAATTACTTAAACTACTCACTAATAATGTCACTAACTTATAAATGAAACATTTCATAAGACTCGCTATAATTTGATATACAAGTATGTATGTACCTCGTTTATCAGATAATAGTTGAGCATTTCGGTTAATCAAGTTATTGGAAGGGTGTGCTTATCGAAACGTGAAGAGAAGTAGAAATAAATATTAATAAATTATGTATTTATTTGAGTTTCCAATTTCGGTTCTGAATTCGCATTCAACTTTTTCTTCTCATAATTTGTGCCGCAGGAAAATTTAGTAGTGCTAGACTTCAGTATTTTGCTAGAGCCTATTAAGGGCAAGGATAAACGTTTCTTACAGCCTCTTCCCAAAGGGCAAAAGGGTAAGGGTATTATAATTTCCCTAAACTAGTCAACAAAATAATCACTAAGTCTGATAGAAGTGTGTTGTTGAGAAAAATATCTTTTATGTTAATTCGGAGCTGAAGCTTTCGTCGTTATACCTGAAGTATGTTCTACTGTACTACACATATTTAAGCAGGAATATATTAATATTTCAATATTCAAATAAAGTTGGACAAATGAACTGCAATCGGTTGGGTTGTCAGCTCGGTTGGTTGCAAAAAACTAACTTCGTTGCCAGTGAGTAAATAATTCTGTGTTTTATCTTCGGCAGGTGCAAAAACATGGGGACTTTATCGTCAGCGCCCAACAGCGCCAATGACCATTATCAATGCGCCGACGGCAGCAACAGCAGCTGGGCGCGGGGAACAGCAGCGAGGGGGTGAGCAGCGCATCGTCGACCACCGTAGGCTCCGATTATTGCGTGACCAGTGCGCATTGTTGTCGCGTTCTGAATCCAGGCACGCCGAGCTTCGGGCGCAAATATTAAGCAGGCTAGCGGCGCGCCGTAGAGTTTTAGCGAAATTACATTTGCATTATCTATCGGTTCTGGGTTCGTTATGCTGAGCCTATTTACAGTGTTTGTGTTTGTTCCATTAATAACGATGCTATTGTTGGTGATTATCTAGCTATATTCATACATTTTGTTAATGTTTCACTTATTGTTATTGGGTAAGGGTACGGCAAACTCTTGAGAAATGATGTCACGTATTGGTTCTATTTTGTGCTTTTGTTTTCCCGGCTTTTATGTCATCAGGCATACGCCGCGTATGTCCCGAGAGGCATCAATAAACCTTTTTTGATTTATGTGATTATTTTTCATATTTTCTTTTTGATTTGTGCAAGAAGAGGTATGCAATGATTTATTTTTTGCTGTCAAAGCATTTAACATGCGAGGTCTGGCTTTTGTGTTGGTGTTGCAACTAATGAGGTGAGTGGGTGGGGGCTGCTGGTGGAAGTCATCGCGTGACCTGCCGCAAAGCCACAGCGCAGACCAACAAATTAACAACGCCGACTCGGCCGCAAATGCAGGAAACACAGACAAAAACTTACACACACACACATACACATCCACAGAAGCGAAGTGGCAAGCAGTTGCAAAGTTCATGCAACAGCAATTTGTTGGCCCTGACGCTGGAGGCGAAAGTGCACAATGAGAAAAAATTGAAAATTTGGAGCCCAAGGTACTTATACGTTTTAAATTTAATTATTCTTAGCTTTTGCGGGAGCAACTTTGCATTTAAAAAATATTATTAATTATTTAAAAGCTTTGGGTTCCAGCGACTAGTTGTTAGCCTTTTATTTGCATAACAGTTTGCTACTAAAGTTTTGAATTAAATGAGTGCCTTAGGGCAAATTTTAATCAAAAACTCAATGTTAATCTTTATTTTTACCCTGTGGGTGCATTAAGCATTTGGTTTATTTATTGATTTCCTGTGAAATAATGAGTTCAAACTAACACGAGAAGAATGTCGATGGAGTTGGTTATCAATTGCTAGACAAATTAATGTGAAAATATATGAGAAGCTACTATTTAAAGTGTATATTTGTTCCAAAGTTAATGCGGGAGAAAATTTTATGACCATGCTTCACAATTTACTTCGAGGATTATTAAAATATAATGGAACATTGAACTGAGTTTAAATATTGAACATTTTTGTTAATATTGTTTTGATAAAGCAATCGAATGGCTACATTTGTTATCTAGAATTTGTAGTAGATTAATTTGAATTTGAGTTACAGTAATAAATTTATAGTTTCTTGGTTAGTTTAGATCTTAATTGTTTGAGGTCTTTAACGAATCAGGTTCCAAAATCTAGTACTTAGCTTAATTTTGCTCAGTGTGCTATGCCTGTCAGCTGTACAGGGCACGACAATTGATTGGCAAGTTTTGCATAACGATAGCAATAATAATAACAACAATAACAGCAACTTCAGCTACCCATAACGTTGCTGGCACTCGTTGCTTGTGATTATCTTGCAGAACAACGACGCCTGTCCTTGCCACAGCATTTACAACATTCACCAGTTGTTGAATTTATGGCGTTGGCGTTCACCTAATTTCCATATTTGGTGTGTTTGTCTATCAAGCGGGTCAAGTGCTTGCAAAGGTCAACACATCCACAGCACAGCTACACGCACGTACTCCACTTTCCGCAGCATATTTTGACAGCCGCCATTTTCACCTGGCGCAGGCACATTAAATTTGAAATACCTTGCTTTCTGTTTGTGGCAGCGCAGCTACGACGAGCATACGAATACGAGCGTCGATGCGAAAACTAATTAACGCTGCTAAAACTTTGCACGGCACGTGCTCAAAGCTAACCAAAAGAACAACACGTGCAAAAATAAAATGAAGCGTCCTGTGCCACACACGCATCCGAAAAAACAAAAGAAAACAAAACAAAGAATACTTGTACAATGTTGGCTGCACAACGAATCTGAAATATCCTTTAAAGTGGTGCGACTACAAACGTTGAATGTATATTTTGGGCTGGGCTATAAAATGTGTGAAAGCAGTCCGAGTACCGGCATTTCTTTTCCAATTGTGCATGTATATTTGTGAACATCTTTTTTATGGGTGTTATGGAACAGTATTGTACGGAAGTAGACATACCACCGATTCCTGTAAACTTATACTTGCGAAACTGCGTGCAGAGCTAATGAAAACTTTGGTAGTTGTATAGCCTAAACAATACAATTCAAAGTTTCAATATATTCATGATATTTCGGAATTACTATTTATATCAATTACGTGTTGATACAATACCTAACAATGCTACTTATCCAACATTTGTTAGCTTTCTTCGTAAATGATAACAAATTTTTAACTGACAGGAGAGTTACTGTTATTTTTCCTAGCTTTTATAAATAATACCTGCTAATGTTAACCAAGTTGCATGATATTGAAATAATATTTATGGGGCTAATAAACTGTTCTTCAAATGACACCTGGAACTAATATGTGCAAAAACTCAAATATTATCAGCAATTTGAAGGGCCCAAAAGACAAAAAAGAGGCAAAGTAATATGCTCTTTGTAAACATCGTAGCAAGAGCTTAAGCGATATAGTATGGTGAGCTTAGAAAATGAACCCATTGCTTGTAAGACAGTCTTTAACAAACGGTACTTAAAGAGTTGGGTCTTCTTTTCACTAGCGCATCGTATTTTACATTTTTTATTGTTGTGGCTGTGTTAGTGGGGTTGGGTTCATTATTACTTATGCCGTTGTTGTTGCTTTGTTTTTTGCTGCCGCTTTTGTCCCTACAAAAGTTTTGTCTTTTATCTACAGTTTTTGCATTTAAGCCGCATTGCCTTCGCCACCACATCCGGCATGGGCGCTACACTGTGACCATCCTAGTTGTGGCAGTTGCGGTTTCTGTTGCTGCTGCTGCTATTTTCAGCGCTCGCCTAAAACTATGCAATGATTTTTGGGTTCGTTTGGCCACAGCGGCGATGCGCAAAATAAAACAACCTTTTCCTTACTTCAGTGACAGTCGAAATTATATGCATAAGGGTGTGCGGATCAAATGAGTTTTTATTGCGTTCACACGCACACACATATCAACGGCAGACACACACATACACACACACACACACACGTTTTGCAGTTCATATTAAAGCTTGACGCCATTTTACTTGGGCTTTTTCTGCTGGTACTTTAGGACTGTTTTATTGCCCAGCATACGCATTGCTGTTGAACACATTTACAGACCCACACTTGTAGCCGCATAGCCAGCAGTTTGTTGTCTTTTGTGCGAGCACGTCACGCCCATTTACGCCCACGCCCACACCCTAACTACCTTCTTGTTGTTTTATGTACATGCGAGCATATGTATGCATATTGTGCGCTACTTCTGGCCCCTTCTGCCCATAGCCGTATTGATTGCGCATTAAAATATAAAAGCATAAAAAATTCTGTTTGCAAACAAAATGCGTAAAATGAAATACAACACAAATAGCCGAGGCAAGCAAACGCAGAATGGCAAACACAAACAGATTGCAAAACAGCCCAAGGAGCTTTAAGCTCTCACTGGCTGCTGAAAAATGCTGGCGGTCCTTTCTTTAATTAGCAAATAAACAAAGGGCCTTGTTAAAGGTATAAAAAAATACATTACGCATCAACAATTAATATCATTTCAAAAGTATTTTCATTTGAACATTGCAGAATTTTTTTTAAATAATTTAAAATGATGCCATTGCAAACAAATGAATAATTTAAGTTCGAGAATTGAAATTAATGTATGAAAACCTTTCATATCCGTTGTTTAGGACTGAAATATCTAATTTTATAAAAACAAAACAAATGCAAACTATAAATATTATACATACACTCGTCTATAAACTTATAGAAGAAAAAAAATGAGAACAATTTTTCGGTAGTACTCTAAATCAACAAATAAAGTAACTCATAATTGAATTAGGTATAAAGGTTAAATTATATAAAACAGAATTGAAATATTTGTAGCTAAATCAAAGAATGTCAACAAGTTTTAACAAAACAGCCGTGCAGGGAAGGGCAGTGTCCCCAAAAGCTTTGCAAATATTGCGAATTGCCAATTTAATTGTTTTCAACATACATTCATACATCAGAATTATCTTTATTGTTTAAATATTCCTAACGTTCTATTCATACATTGAGGAAACTGACAAACAATTTATATTTAACATAGGTAGTTAGTTCAAGTTTTAGCAGATAGCTAATTTTTTACCATTGCAAAAATTTAAAATTAAAACAAAAATTTATTGAATGTTGATTTAGATATGTCCATACTTTACATGTTGACCTCCTTCTTTTCATTTGATTACATTTCATAGTCCACTATTATTATTAAACTACATATGTGTTCTAGAATTGAACTCAAAGATATATATTTCATATTTCAAAAAAGTGATGTTATACAACTATTTTTGATAGTTAACAAATAAAGTCATACTAATTTTTCTCATAAATAGTTTTTATTTCATATGAAAAATTCACACAAATACATTTAAGCTGAAAAGCTTTTGGGGTCAACTGCTTCTTCCCTAACTATCTGACCCTTGAAAAGGTAATGGTATTCAAATTATTATAAAATGGTTGAACTGCAGTGCTGGCACAATTAATCTTATTCATTGATAAACATTTACAATAACAATCCCGACCATTGACTAAAATAGAAATTGATGAGCACCATTTCGAGTGCCTACTGTAGTTGATACTGTTTACCATTTCAAATAATCAGAAAGAACTTGTTATCAGTATTTGGAGGATTTTAAAGAAAAATTGATAACATTCACATAAAATCGGAACCAAGTAGTCAAACAGTCAATATCCTGGGCATTTGGACCAAAGATACATTGAAATAAACACAAGAGAAGAATAAGTATTGTGAAAATTTAAATACATCTTCAAAGGATTGCTATTTACATAAAATATATATACCTATATATACCTATATATATAAAGTTGTTTATTCTCTACGACTTTTGAGGCATTTCTTAAATTATGAAAGAAATTTAACATTGAGGTAAAAATAAAATTTGAAACTCAGCTAAGTATGTATGTAATTTATTGTTAAATCCTGGCCAAAACGGTTTAAAATTAAAAAGGAAACATCAAATATACCAATTTATTGTAATGCATACCATTTAGATGCATTGAAAACCCATTACAAATACCAAGAGCTGTTTAACTGTAAACCTAAAACGTTGTAAAATGTATGTATATTAAGTGTCTATATTGAGCAAATATATATGTATGTGTAACTGGTAAAAATAGCTTTAAATGTGTAAACTGAAAAGGTTCGTTTTATTTATTTACAACATGGGTATATCACTATCTAAACAATAAATTTGGTAACCCATTTTCCAATGTCCACAGCCGAATGCCAAGCCCAATATCAGTTGCTTATGTCGGTAAATTTAAAGTTCAGTGGTATGTTGGGGATGTTGATGAGCACCGAGCGGAATGCATTTTCCGTGGGGTGATTGAACTCGACTTTGAAGTTTCGAATGATTCGCGCTATTCCCAGTTCTAGTTCCATGTCCACAATTCGTTTTCCGACACACATGCGTGGTCCGAATCCAAAGGGCAGGAAAGCAAATGGATTGGTGAGCTTTAACGCGTTGTCCGAACCATTGCCTTCGGCATCGACCCGCAAATCTGGACGCAGCCAACGTTCGGGCAAAAATTCGCCGGCACGTGGAAAGTAGCTGTCATTTTTAAGACAACCCAAAGGAATCATGGAGACAAAAGTGCCTGCCGGCACTTGATAACCACTCAGGACGCAGTCACGTGCCGTGGTGCGACCATTGCCAATGATAAGGGGATAGATGCGCTGCGATTCCTTAATACAGGCCCTCAAATAGGGCACATTTTTCATGGAGGCCTCTGTGAACTCGGAGTCCTTGTTCGGTAGGATTCGCATCACCTCCTCACGCAGCTTCTCCTGTTTCTCAGGATTCTTGGCAAGGGACAGCAATGCGCCAACGAATGTGCTGGATGTCTGAAACGAATAAATGAAAGATATTGCCAGCTGATGCTTTTTTTTTTGGAGCACCTTACCGTATCTACACCCGCCATCAACATGTCCATGGCCATAACCGTGGCCACCTTTTTGTCTATCTTCAACAATTTCTCCAAAACACTTTGCTCATTCTCCGGCCGCTGGATGCCTTGCTTGGCCTCTGCCTCGAGGCGCTCAAGTGCCTCGCTTACAAGGGCCAAAGTAGTTTCCTGTATATTGTCAAAGGCTTTCATCAGCTTTTTAAACTTGGGAGTTTTTATGATTCGCCATGGCGACGGTTTCATTTCCAATTCCGCTGTAAGCTCGAAGAAATCGTTCAGTGCTTGAAAAAGTATCACAGCGTGTTCATTAACATTTGATTTTTCAAGCAAACCCAACTGTTTGTCCAGCGCCACCACCGACACTGATTCCAGTGTCCAGCGATTTATGTAATCGTCAAAATTGTCCGGAGTCTCCAGTGTGTTTGGATCACGTATGGCCTTGATGCTGCATTAACAAGTTTCAATTTATTTCTGTACCTTAATTGGACAATTCGTTCTCACCGCTCAACGAACTCGCGATTGACCTGAGACATTTTCTTAAAGTACAGGCGCACATTTTTCGGCTGCATCAGCACCGGATTGACAATGCTCCGAAAATCACCCCAAACTTTGCCTTGAGTGGGAATAAGCCCTTCTACGCCGCCGAAGAAGTCAGCCCGATGCTTCTCCCGATGATAACGTAAAGTGTCGCTGCCTGGTCGATGGGGCCAGATACCCTCGTTTCGAAAGACAACCTCAAAATCTTTGGGGTTATGTGTGGTCAGTACAGCTCGACGCCCGAGCATGGGGGCCAATAGAAAGATGTCTCCATAGTCCTCCCACATCGCCATTACCATTTTCGACAGATCTAGCTTGTTATACTTGCCACCTCGAATCATTTTCAGTGTCAAGGGCAGAAAATTCACTCGTGGAACCTGCTCCCAGGGACGTGCCTGCTCCCAATCAGCATCGTGAGCAGCGGGGTTGGACTCCCCAGTAGCGGCAGCGGCATTGGTTTGCCAGCGCTACATATGTACAATAACAAGCTTGTTCTATATCTGTACATACACGTATAAATTGTGTTTATCAGTCTACCCACTTGTGATTTGCTCGAGAAGAGAACAGTCAACACTCTCTGCCTTTCAATAATGCGTAGAGCGCTGGAAATTTTTAACATTTTTGATTAGATGCGATCCCCACTCGCTGGCCTCCCAATTAGAACTGGTCGCTCGATTTGAATTAAAGTAACGTTCAAGTTCAGGGAGCTTTTTGTGTTTGATAAGCAGAAGTGAGAATGCGCAATATTATTAAACTAATCGCTGAGAGAGAGAGAGAGTGTGAGCGAGACAGAGAGGGAGAGTGAAATAAATAAAATACATATAAACAATGCAAATATTGTGCGACTATATTGACAAAGAAACGATAGAGCCTATGTTAACCCCATTTAACACATTATTTTTATAATAAGAAATGTCCAAAGGTTTATCGGATCGGTCATTCTTTTCAAACCCTGTACCCGAAAGATGCAGCGATTTACCAGAAATGCTAAGCAATATAACATGGCGAAAGGAATAGACATAGACAAGTCCGAGTGTTAGGCTGTTATTCCTTATTAAAGACTCCGAAATAATATTTGACCACAAACAGCCAAAACTTCAAATTTTAAGTGAAATGAGTGTTACTATTCTGCACTATAGTTGGGTGACCTCAATCGTTGAGATCGATAAACTTAAAATTTAATGGTGTATTGGGGATGTTGATGAGCACCGAGCGGAATGCATTTTCCGTTGGATGATTGAACTCGACTTTGAAGTTTCGAATGATTCGCGCTATTCCCAGTTCTAGTTCCATGTCCACAATTCTTTTTCCGACACACATGCGTGGCCCAAAACCGAAGGGCAGGTAGACGAATGGATTGGTTAGTTTTAAAGCATTGCCTGCGGTACCATCTTCCGATCCTGAACGTAACCAAGGTTAAGTAATTTTGTAGCACTCTGTCTTACCGTATCTACACCCGCCATCAACATGTCCATGGCCATAACCGTGGCGACCTTTTTGGTAATTTGGTAATGGCTCGAAACAGCACCGTCGCTTGCTTGCTGACCTCTAAGCCTTTCAGCATACCCAATTGTTTGTCCAGCGCCACCACCGACACTGATTCCAGTGTCCAGCGATTTATGTAATCGTCGAAATTGTCGGGAGTCTCCAGTGTGTTTGGATCCCGTATGGCTCTGATGCTATAAATCATTTGTGTAGATTAACTCTTAATTATTTGGGAGTGGACCTTCTTACCATTCGATGAACTCACTGTTGACTTGCCACATTTTCTTAAAGTAGAGACGCACGTTCCTTGGTTGCATTAGCACAGGATTGACAATGCTCCGAAAATCGCCCCAAACTTTTCCTTGGGTGTGAATAAGTCCTTGGGTGTCACTATAAAAGTCGGCTCGATGCTTCTCGCGATGATATCGCAATGTGTCGTTGCCCGGTCGATGGGGCCAGATGCCCTCATTCCGAAAAACAGTCTCAAAATCTTTGGGGTTGTGTGTAGTGAGTATGGCGCACCGTCCGAGCATGGGCGGCATTAGATAGATGTCCCCATAGTCCTCGCGCATCGCCATTACCATTTTCGAAAGATCCAGTTTGCTGTACTTGCCGCCTGGCATTATTTTCATTATCAGGGGTAACAAGTTCGCCCGAGGAATCTGCTCCCAGGAACGTGCCTGCTCCCAGTTGGTGTCGCGAGCAACATTACTGGACTCCTCAGTAGCGGCAGCATGATTGGTTTGCCAGCGCTGAATAAAATGCTAAGACTTTTCTTTATCTGCACATACTATGTATATATTTATTTTTATATATTTGTCTGTTTGTTTACTAACATGTGTTGTGCTGAAACAGATACCACCAGACAAGACCTTCTGCAATTGAACGATGCCCAGAGAGCTGCCTGTTTTCAGCATTTTCGATTAGTTTGTGATCCGCACTCGCTTACCTCAAAATTAGAACTGGTCGCTTGTTTTGATTCAAAATAGCGTTGAAGTTCACTCAGCTTTTTGCGCTCAAGTTGTGGCTGCTTGATAAGCGGTTATGAGAATGCCTATTATTATTAACTAATCGCTGAGAGAGCGCGCAATTTAGAATAATGATGACTACGGTAGAACCAGTTGATTATCAGATAAATGTGTTCCCTCTCCTCCCCAGCCGGGCCTAGTCAGTTACAGGTCGAACATGGAATGCTGCTCTGTCAAGATCCAAAAATGTGCCACACTCTTGCTATCCATCCTTAGTTGCCTCTCAGAAGTGAATGTTTTGTCATCTTCAGAATAAATGTCTGAAATATATGCGAAATATTTCCGAATTCCACTTTAATTAATCTCCAGGACACGTTTTAATAAGGATTTTTATGCTTTATTTTGAGGTATTAATTTATAAAAACTATTTGTCTGATATGGTATTACAATATTTAGGTCTGGGACATTCTTCTAAACAGCATAGCCCCAGACTAGTTGCTTAGGTCGGTAAACTTGAACTTCAAAGGTATATTGGGCATATTGATGAGCACCGAGCGGAATGCCTTTTCTGTGGGATGATTGAACTCGATTTTGAAGTTTCGAATGAGTCGTGCAATTCCCAGTTCTAGTTCCATGTCCACAATTCGTTTTCCCACACACATACGCGGCCCAAACCCAAAGGGAAGGAAGACAAACGGATTGGTGAGCTTTAAAGCATTGGCTGGACATTTGCCTTCGGTACCTGGCGTTGATTCGGAACGCAGCCAACGTTCGGGCAAAAATTCGTCGGCACGTGGAAAATAACTGTCGCTTTTAAGCGAACGTAACGGTATCATGGAGACAAATGTTCCAGCTGGCACCTGATAACCGCTCAGGACACAGTCGCGTTCCGTTATGCGTATATTTCCAACAATTAGGGGGTAGATGCGCTGCGATTCTTTGATGCAGGCCCGCAAATAGGGCACGTTTTTCATTGAGGCCTCTGTGAACTCGGAGTCCTTGTTCGGTAGGATTCGCATCACCTCCTCACGCAGCTTCTCCTGTTTCTCCGGATTCTTAGCTATGGACAACAAAGCGGCCACAAATGTGCTGGAAGTCTGAAGGTTCGATTAGACACAATGTGTTTTATTATTATTCCGTCGCTCACTGTATCCACTCCTGCCATCAGCATATCCATGGCCATAATGGTGGCCACCTTTTTATCAATCTTCAAGAGCTTCTCCAGAACGCTTTGCTCGTTGTCTGCTCGCACTATACCTTGCTTGGCCTCCGACTCTAGACGTTCGAGTGCCTCGTTTACAAAACCTAAAGTTGTCACTTGTATGTTATCTAGAGATTTCATCACTCTCTTCAACTTGGCCGTTTCATAGTAACGCCAAATCGATGGTTTAATTTCTAGGTCGGCTGAAAGCTCAAAGAATTCGTTTAAGCTTTGAATGAGTAGCGAAGCCTCCTCATTGACGCTTGAGCCCTTAAGGAGCCCTAGTTGTTTATCCAGAGCCACCACTGAGACTGATTCCAGAGTCCAACGGTTGATGTAGTCTTCAAAGTCCGCGGGAGTCTCCAATGTGTTTGGATCCCGAATAGCTTTAATGCTGCATGGAACAAATTAATATTTACTTATGGTACCTTAATACATTGACTTAATACTCTCACCGCTCCACGAACTCGCGGTTGACTTGCGACATTTTCTTGTAGTATAGACGCACAGATTTAGGCTGCATCAGTATCGGGTTGACAATGCTACGGAAATCGCCCCACACCTTGCCCTGTGAGGGTATTAGACCATCGACGCCTTCGAAGAAGTCCCGACGATGCTTCTCTCGATGGTAGCGCAGTGTATCGTTGCCAGGCCGGTTGGGCCAGATGCCCTCGTGCCGGAAGATTACCTCAAAGTCCTGAGGATTGTGCGTTGTGAGCAGAGCTTTACGGCCGAACATGGCTGACATCAGAAAAATGTTGCCATAATCCAGTCGCATGGCCTCAATCATCTCGGATATGTCCAGTTTGCTGTATTTTCCGCCAGGCAACATTTTGAATATCAAATCAAGGACACCCGCACGTGGCATTTCTGTAAAGGATCGCGCATTCTGCCACTCGCTGTCATAGGTGGGTCTAGGCTTCTCGGCGGTACCGGCAACAGCTGCATTGGTTTGCCAACGCTGGTCAAGAATTAATCTAAATTTCGGCCAATTAAGTTAGTGCGATAAGGCCACTTACTGTTGATTTATTGGAACCCACCAGGGGCAACAGCTTTTGCGTCTGAAATGTGCCCCGAAAATTGCGTAAAACCAACATTTTAAGAGACTTGCGTTCTACACCCGCTCGCTTCCAAAAATGAACTGATCGCTGGGTAGTACAAGTATTATTAACGAAATAATGCTGAAGTTCAAGCAGAACGACAAATAGAGAGAAAGAGAGTAACAGAGAGAGAGAGGGAGAGACGTAAAGCTCTGTTGCCTCCCGTGAGGGAGCTCTCAACGAGAATTCAATCCACCAAAAACGTAAACAATCGAATTAAATATTATATGCATGTATTTAGCCGCTGCCCGAAACTTGTTGATGTGAGGTCAGTTGATGTTCTCATTAATATTGGAGAGATGTATTTGTCCAGTTTGTACATGGGTATACTTGTACATCTGTTTAGATATATCAGCATAAATTAATGGCGGGTCTGTTACTCTTTTATGTGCAGTTAGTTATCAGCTGAGTACAAATATCTTATCTGTTTCTCATTTGCTAAATTTGATAATATTTGTAAAACTAAACAAAATTGCTTAGAATGCACCCATTAATCGATTTAATAGAGTACAAGTATAATAGCACTTGCTGCCAAACATAATAAACATCTCTTCAGAACTATGCTATGAAGAACTATGCTTTGGCTTGGGGACCAGTTTTAAAAGAAAGCAGCATTAAGTAGCCCAGTTGGTTTAGAAAGGTATAGCTTTTATGTGTAAAATATTCCTACAACCCAATGATACCATCTATAAGCGTGAATTGACGACATAAGTATAGAAGAATAAATTAATTAAATATAGGATTGAGTGGTAGAGGACAACAGTTAGAAGGAATAACTAAAGAAAGCACCAGTTGTATACATTTAAATCAAAATCTATATAGTTTATTTTTCACGATACAGACTCCTTACTGTACATTAATATGAAAGTTTAGGGTAAGCTAAAAACTTATTTAATTTGGACAAACCATAGCACAGGCAACCTTAATTCAAATAACCGTGAGAAATGATTTATAGAAATACATTAGTAAGTACCACCTGTCCGGCGAAGTGTAGAAAATAATGTGTTGTTTTATTTGTTCATTAAATATTAAGAACCTGAACTTGTAAGTTACCTGGAATAGTATTAGAAATGATATCTTTTTGGAGCAAGTATATATATTTGTAGAGAAAGTAGGAGGAAAGCTACGTGAGCTGCAACTGTATTGCGTTGCTGTTTTCCTTTGCACCATTATTTAAAACTCATATTAGTTACATTTTAAAGTTTCTCTTGTGCAAAAAGGTTCTCCCCTCATTGTTCCACGTCAGTGAACTTGAATTTCAGCGGAATGTTGGGCACATTGATCAGCAAACTCTTGAAGGCATTCTTGGTTGGATAGTTGAATTCGACGTGGAAGTTGCGTATCAGACGTGCTATGCCCAGCTCCAGTTCCATTTCAACTATGCGTTTGCCGACACACATGCGGGAGCCGAAGCCAAAGGGTAAGTAGACGAAAGGACTGCTGGCCTTCAAGGAATGCGGACATTCAGCGCCACCCGCTGCGTTCGCCTCCTTGCTCTGCCGTAGCCAGCGTTCCGGCAAGAATTCGCTGCCACGTGGATAATGCTTGTCATCGGTGTGCAGGCCATGTGACAGCATTAAGATGGGCGTCTCCTTGGGCACACGATAGCCGCTTAGCACAGTGTCGGATTTGGTGACGCGGGCATTGCCCGATGCTAAAGGATACAGGCGTAACGCTTCCTTAATACAGGCCCACAAATAGGACACCTGCTTCATAGAGGCCTCGGTGAACTCTGAATCTTTTTGTGGCAAAATGCGCAAAACTTCTTCCCGGAGCTTAGCTTGCTTATCGGGATTCTTGGCCAGGCACAGCAGAACGCCCGTAAAGGTGGTGGAGGTCTGGTAAGTAGTTGGTGTAATAATTAGTTTTGATGGGTATTTATGATCTTACAGTATCTACGCCCGCCATCAGCATATCCATGGCCATTACAGTGGCCACGCGTCTGTCAATTTTCAGCAACTTTTCCAGCACACTCTTCTCGTGCTCCGGCTTATCTGATGGTTGGCTTTCCAAGCGATCCAGAGCTTCATTGACATAGCCAATGGTCACCTCCTGTATATCGTCCAGCGTTCTGATTAGCTTCTTGTAATTGGGCGTGGCCACCCAACGCCATAGGGACGGTTTCATTTCAAGCTCAGCGGTTAACCTCAAAAACTGAGTTAGGCTATTGAAGAGCTTCTTAGCCTTTGAATTATCCCGATTCTCGCTTATGAGACCCAATTGCTTGTCTAGTGCCACAACGGAAACAGATTCCAGTGTCCAGCGATTAATTTCCTCCTCAAAGCTAGCCGGCACCTCATAGCTCTCCCCATCGCGAATATCCCGTATCCTTAACAAAATGGTTGGGAAAAGTGGCAGAGGATTTCTTTGTAGGCTTTCTTGATAGGTCTGCTTACCGTTTAATGAACTCCTTATTGACCTGAGACATTTTTTGGTAGTAAAGTCTGACGGTTTTCGGCTGCATCATTACGGGATTGACGGCCGATCGAAAGCTGCCCCATGTCTCCCCCTGTCTGAAGTAGATGTGTAGTTCGTAGAAATTTCTCTGGTAGCTCAACTTAGGTGGCAAAGATGCCTTCGACGCCCTGAAAGAAATACTTTCGCAGCTCGCCTCGATAATGTCGTAATACATCTGAGCCTGGTCGCTCGGGCCACACTCCTTCCACGCGAAAAACTCGCTCGAAGTCGGCGGGATCTTGGGACACCACAGACTCATTCTTGCCCATTATGCCCGGCAAGCGAAAGGCTACACCATGCTGATGGCGCAGGTCCAACAGGATGTCAGGAAAATGCATGCCACTGTATTTGCCACCGGGCATCATTTGGCGCACAAAACTGAACAGCCCCACCTTTGGCATCTCACTGAATGGTCGGGCCTGCTCCCATTCCTGGGAGACAGATGATGGGCCAGAGGCACTGGCCTCGCCATCCTCAATATTGACAGCGGTCGCTGCATTCGTTTGCTGGCGCTGCCATTAAACAATCACCAGATATTGTACTACTTATCTTTCTGCAAGTCACAGTGACACCAACCTGTTGAACAGTCCAAGCCAAACGCTCGATTTGTCTGCGTTGTCTCCACATGCTTCCCAACCCACGCGTCGCAGTTGAACTGAGACTAAAATGTTAAATAGAGTCGCCAAACATTAAATAGTTGTTAGAGCCAAAAGCTGTGCGGTTTGTTTATTGTTCTGCCGAGCTTTTGAAATGATAAAGATAAATACTTATTAAAATTTAGACAACCACGAGTAAGAGCTTTCTGAGAGTAATTTAATTGGACGGGCGTTATTAAACATGTTTGCGTCATTTTGAGAGAGCTTCGTTGGAATACGTATCGTACTTACTGTTCAAAAAGCACGCATATATAGTACATACAATAAAATACAAAATTAAATAAAAAGAAAAAAGATGTAACTTTATTTTTATACCCTGTACCCGTAGGGTAAAAAGGGTATATTAGGTTTGTGCAAAGTATGTAACATGCAGAAGGAAGCATCTCCGACCCCATAAAGTATATATATTCTGAATCAGCATGACGAGAGAAATCGATCTAGACATGTCCGTCCGTCTGTCCGTCCGTCTGTCCGTCCGTCTGGATGAACGCGAGGATCTCAGAAACTATAAAAGCTAGAATAACCAAAGTTAGCATCCAGATTCTCCTAGGTCCGAGTAAGGACGAGTTTATTTTATTTTTTTTTAATTTTCCCCCCCTTCCCCCGCTACAGAATAGCGTCCACATTTCAAATGCTACCTCAACCAATCTTTGCACACATAATTAATATATAATTGTCTACAGTTGTTTAAAATTTTCGGTCAATTCTGAGAAAAGTTATTAGCAAAACAAATTCTCTACAGTACAACCCCCACAAACTGCAGCAACAAGTTCGCTCTTCTTCTTCCTCTTTTTGCTGCTGCTATGGGCGCATATAACTCAGTGATGGAAGTTTACCTGGGTACAGGGTATTACACTGTCGGGCTTGCTCGACTGTAGCGTTCTCTCTTGTTGATATACAAGTATGTACTTGGTAGTTTAAAAGATTCTTGACTTTTTAAAATTGGTGAACTCACGAAATTCGTTCTCTTCGAACCTAGTAAAATTTTTGAAATATACAGAGTTTTGCAGAAGCATTCAATGAACAGATGTAATCTTATTTGAATATAATTAAGCAAAAAACAATTTTTTTGTACGGCTTCCGCAGTTACAAACCCAAAAAATATCCCCGTATGTCAAAGAGTGGGCCATGACGAAGTTTTGAGGGTACATTGAGTAGAATGGACCAACAACAATTTTTCAGTGTCCTTAAATAATTTAGAGACCTTTAAAGATCTTTGAAAATTTAGTGAACTCAGTTCCAAGACGTCTTCAAAAAGCTATTGAATTAATAAATTTTGTTATCTTTGGTAATGAACTTTGTTTCTTTATTAAAATCGGTTGTTAAAATACTTATGCCAACCCATGAAAATTAGTTTGATTTATAATACAAATTTGTGAAATAACAAATTTTATTTGGAAATCTCTTAACCAAAATCCAGTAAATATATAAGCTTGTTCTCGACAAAATAATTGTGCCGATCAGTGTATTTCTTACTAAAAAGATATTTGAAATTTTCAGCATGTGGTGTTGTTATTAATTTAAAATTGGTAGAGCATTTTCTTTGTTTTTGTGTTTATATTTGTTTTTACAGACCATATGCTGAACAAAATAAGTAAATATGTAAAATTTTAGTTTATCTCTTTGTTTTCAAATGGCATTATTTATTGTTTGTAGCCATTCTCCAATTCCTAACTTTGGTTTTAATCAGTATCGCGGAAATCTTCTTCCAAATGTCCAGCGTTTCATTTCAGGTGAGTTGTTTCATCTATGAATATAAATGGATACGATTTTCTGCCAGTATGCTATGCACTACCTGCTTCCTTAGCTGGCGTCTATCAGTCGAGGGTCCACCCAATACCATTTCGACCTTTTTTGGCGCTGTCACCATATTTTGTTGACCACTGCAATGATCGTCTTGGTAGGAACTTAATTCTACACCTTCTGGGCAAGGAGCAGAGTCACAAATTTCAGTTTTCAAGGTCAGTAACATTCGCGATCTGTACATCAGGTCGGCTATTTTTGGGGCAGAATAAGACTTCTTTATTTAGAGTTTCAAGCTGTATTTCAACGTTTCCATTGCATTACGCCCCCTGTTTTCCTTTCATTCGAAGAAGGTGGACACGCCTTCGATAAATGCCCCAACACTTTCAAATAAAAAAAGACACTTAATTTGGACTTTCGCATATATTTTATTGATCGTTTTCGATTTAGATGCTTGATTATAATAGGTATTTAGGCATGTGTACATCTGTGTTATTTAAATATTTGTATATTATTTGTTCAAACACCAACGTTTTTGCTTTACAAACCGAATCATAGTTTCGAACTTACATTTATCGGCCGTGAAAGTGACGAGTATGTTTATATATAATATATTCGCATAATTGCTCACATCTTTGCTTGCAAGATGTTGCAGATTTTGTTTAGAAAATAGTGATAGGGAGGCGCGCGCAAAATTTTGAACGCAAATACAAATGCGGCGAATTCGAAGAAATTTGGCACGATAGGCAAAAAGTGTACAATTTTAGGGATAAACATAATCATAATCATATCGTTCATATGGTATATATGTGTATTGGGCATATATCAATAAGATAATATGTGTATGTATGTAAAATGCTGCGTATATGTGCGTATCTATGTGTATTGTGCCTTGGGGCAGGCACATTCTACTATAAGTAATCTGTATATAGAACTAATTGTAGTAAGGAGGACTAAGATATTTCCATATAATAAATATGTTTACTAGACCCACAACACTCCGGCAGCTTACTCCGTCAGCGACTGCTGCTTCTGCTGATAGCTGCACACAATTTTGGCCGCGTCGTTCATCATTTTGGCCGTGGAGCGAACCAAGAACATCAAGTGGCATTCGTCGTAGACGGTCAGCTCGACACGCGTGCGTACGAGGCCATGCAACACTGTGGCACGTTCCAGATCTAGCCAACGCTGGAGCGCCAGTTCGCGTTCCTTTGTTGAGCCCGTCAGTGCCACATCCGAGGGACCCCAGAGCACGAACTCCAGCACGGACTTGGCCTTGGAGAGCGACTCGGCGCGCTCCTGTTCCAGAATGTCGGCCAAAATGGGTGTGATCTTGGTCGTGGGCAGCATTTCCGTGAGCGCAGCGTGGGCGCATTTGCAAAGCGTTCCCATGGGCTCGTCATCATCGTTGTGGTTGCTGCATGGGGGAAGGATTCAGGAAAGATATACATATATTTTAGATGGCGCTTGGCAGCAGGTGTCGAAGGAACTTACCCTTGCAGCACGCAGAGACGTGCCTGTGCATCCTTGTTCTCCATATCCTTGGAGAGCACCACATTGGACAGACTGAGTGGTGTCTCCTCAATGGCCTTGGCCTGCAGGTTCTTCATGCCATTGACCAGCTGCAGCATTATGAAGGCCACCTCGCGCGTCATGACATCGTCGAAGGCGGGCATGGCATTCGATGCATTGTCCTCGCCAGCAGCCAAGCTAGCGCCATTCAACGACTGCGCCTCCTCGTTCAAGGTGCTCAGATTCTGCACAGAGACGACATTGCGCAGGGCGTTGCCGCCGACTGAGTCCTTCAGACCGCTCAGATTGGGTATGGAGCCGCGGAAATTGAAGTTGCTCTTATCGAGCACTTGCGACTTGCCCTTCAGAATGCCGCCAATCGATTGCAGCGTCTCCAGCTGCAGGCGTGGCAGCACCGAAATGGTGGCCTGCAGCAAAGTAACCTCCGTCGAGGGCATCAATGGCAGTTGGTAGCTGGGCACCAGATCGCAGAACTCCGTAATGGGGTTCAACACATCCGAAACTCCGCCCGTCAATTGGCTCAGCTCTCCACCCACGCCAGCCAGCTGATTGCAATCGGCGGAGAGTGCCAGCGTCACGGGCGCTGTGGTCCACAGTGCCGCATGGAAGGCCTTCTTGCCCACCACAAAAGCCTGTGCCCCCTCCAAGATGGTAAAGTCCTCGTAGCGTAAGTTAATGGCATTGGCCAGAGGACGCAGCGCTGCCGGCACGACAGGCGTTTGTTGTAGCTGCAAAGACATGGAACATCAGTCTCAGTTCGAGCTTGACGGAAATAGACTGTATTAAATAGCTCACCTGATCGAGCACTTGCGCAAGCGCCTCATGATTGGCCACCACCACGGCCGTATAGTTGTCTTCGATGGTTTTGTGCACGACACTGCGTCCCTTGCGCATGCGCAAACGATTCGTGGCCTTGCTGCGATTCTTGTTGGCCTGGGAAATTTAAGCAAGTTAGTGTGGATCGAAGCATTACGAAGCACTACTAATCTAGTGAGATTCATTTGTTTTGATATGAGTTCCCAATTGGATTAGCCCCCACTTTTAGAAAACAGAGAAATCTCAGGGAGTCGATCTGTTACATTGATAGCCAATGGAGTAACATGTGTAAGCTAAGCTAAAAACTTATATAAAACCTTAAAATATATTTATACTAATCTAATATAAAACCTGGAATTGTGCTTGATTATGGAAAGTTGTCTGGCAATTTTGTAATGGAAACTTGCAGGATCGGAAATACAACTCATCAATCAAGACCTGCACGTCTAACACTAGCTACTACCCTTAACCCTAAGAAATAATGCGGTACTACAAATTTCGGGTCTACATGTTGGTTTGCACTCACCGTTGGCATGCCCCAGACGCTATCGTTGATGTCCGTGGCCACATCTCCGCCGGCTTCGCTGCCGTAGTAACTATACGGCGCATAGATGTCGAACTCGCCCACCTCGCTGCCCGCATACGAGGCCGAGATGACGCGTGGAATGTTGGCTGTAAGTTTTAATTTGGAAAATAACCCATTAGTGTGAATCTTTAATCCATCGCCCCCTCCTCCCACCAACTCACCCAAACTGTTGTGCAACCCATAGCTGCGCACCGGTCCGTATTCGCTGCGCGTGTAACTGGCAATGGAGGCCGTGTCCGAGTAGATGTTATTGCGGCGGGCCGCCACTTGCGTCAGTCGCTGGCCGGCCATGGCGGCCAGATCGATGTTGGTACGCACCGGCGGCGGTGGCGGCGTCGAGGAGGTCTTCACAAACTCGTACATGTTCTCATAGTCGCGTTTGTCCTTCAGGTAGCTATCGATGGTGCTGCTTATCTTGCGCACCGAGTCCTTCAGACTGCTCCGCTGAGCTCCATCTGTGGCATCTGTGACGTTGTTGTTGTTGCTGATGTTGCTGTTGCTATTGATGTTGTTGTTGTTGCTCTGAGCGCGTTGCTCGAAGATCTCCAGCTTGCTGGATATGGACATTTTGGGCTCAGTCTTCTTTTGCTGGCGATCGAAGGTGCTGGTGCGACTGTTGGTTATAGCCATGGCTGGTTTGTTGTCCAGCTTTGGACTCAAAGTATTGCTGTTGTTGTTGTTCGATTTAGCTGCCTTCAATTGTTGTTGTTGTTGCTGCTCAGCCGTTACATTGTCACCGTTTGACGAGCAAATGGAGATAGTATCGGTCAGTATGCCGCGCTTGCGCACCAATTCCAGCTGTGCCTCCCGCTCCCGCATGCTGGCCGTGCGCTCCGGCTTGCGAGGCGCTATTGCCGAGCGTATTTCGCCTGATAAGGACAGACAGAGAGAGAAAGAGAGAGAGAGAGAGAGTGTGGTGATAAGTAAAATGTAGGGAAATGTTAAAAAAACAAACAACTGACTACTACTCTACAAGTACTCTGTACTGATAATCACCAATTTCTTGTCTTGGTTGTGTTTTCCAGCGTATTTCATAAACAGCTGCATGATTGATCCGCGTATAACTTAACTGTCTAGTATCAGAGTAATTGGAAAACACAATTCTTAGCATTTGTAGAGAGGGCAACAAAGCTAAGGGATTTTTGCTCAGAAAACTAAAATTCCTATTATGTATTAAAGAGGCTTGTGAAGACATGGAATTAAGGTTTATGTTCAACGTTCACTTACATGTTTCATTAAATAAAGTCAAGTGAATTTTCTTTCTTTAATCCGGCTAATAAATCAGCCCAAATTTATGTTATGAGTTCATTTAATTACTTGTGTAAATTTTTGTTCAGAGAAATCACTTGGCTAAATCAAAAAACATTTCTATTGAGGCTACACATTTTTTGGGCTTAGCAAAATGTTTGCATTTGGTGTGCAGAAAAGTATTTCAATTTTCGATATTGGGGTTCTGTTGCTATTTGCAATAACTAAGCTAAACAAAAATAGTTGTCTCATAAAATCTTGCTACTTATATTGTTTGCAAAATAAGATTTTAAGGTATACTTGCGATCTACTGATATGATTTTCATGCTTCAATGGGTTACAAAACTTAAACCCATTTAGGAAATGGTATGAAACCAAAACATGTTAAACCGATAAAAATTAGCTCTTGTATCTTACAAATACAACTCGGATTTTGGCTGATTTAAAAACATTTTTTTGCAGTGCGGAAAAGAAGTGCTTAGATGGGCAATACTTGGAAAAAAAATTAATTTGGAATTTTGTACGTTTTTGGCTTTTTGAAACAATAATCATCTTTACAACTGCAAGTCATGTCTTAGAATCTTGTGAGCAGCCTAGGCACAAAAGAGCTCTTGTAAGCCGCCAAATTCGAAATATTATGCATAGATAGCATTAGGTGGCAGGAGAATTGCCCTAGAAAAGGGAACTTTAACGAGCATGATTAATGAATCTTAGGTTAAGCGCATAACGCAACGCCCATTGGTGGTGGTGGTTGTGGTGGTTGTGTGGCTGCTGCTGATGATGATGAGGCGGCTCTGCTTTAAATACAACTGCCTACAAATGCAGCCGAAGCTTAACTTGAATCTAAATTGTTTTGGAAATTCCCAAAATTTTGCCGGTTCGGTCACCCCGAGTGGTGGTCTCATAGCGACCAACTAACTACCGCCACCACTCTCCGCTATCTACTCTTTCTGGCGAAAGAGCATTAATTGTGATTTTGACCCAAATGTGGCACCAAATTACAATTTGTATAATGGTGGCCACGGCATTTGGCGCACGGTTCGTGCTCATTGTCAAATGCGCAGCTGTTGTCCAAGATGGCTAACAAATTGCTGCAATAGCGAGGCATCTAATGATGGTCCCCCTTCCCGTCTCCGTCCCCTTCCCATCCTGGCTGGCTGGAATCCCAGCCAAGCGATCGCGCAATCGGGCAATCGGGCAACTGGGTAACTTGGCAAAATCAGTGGCAGTGGCAGCAGCAGCAGCAGCAGGTGTAACAAGTTCTCGCTGTTTTGGCCGGGCCGCAAAGTGTCAGCAAGAAATGGGTCATCGGCAAGCATTTCTTGTTCCACAACTTCTAATGGCCATGTTGCCTCTCCTCTTTTCTTTATCTTCAGTTCTGTAGTTTATTTATTTTTTTGACTCTACATGTGGTTACCTCATTGGATTCTATGCGGCTTGGTTTGTTTTCATTTCGCTTTGTTGTTGTTGCTGGTTCTATTGCTGTTGTTTTTGTTTGTTCATCTATTAAACTATTTCGCTGCTTGGCGGTGATGCGCGGTCATCAATTGTTGTTGTTGTTGCTGTTGTTGTTGTGCACTTAACCTACTTTAATCTGGCCATAGCTTTGCGGCCAGCTACCTTGGTCATACGGATATGGTCATAAGCCAGACACTGGCTCTGTCTGTGCCCGTTATATTGATTAAAATGCGTAACTCGTTCTGCCTTTGGTTCTACTTTCAAACTATTTGTTGTTGTTGTTGTTGCAGTTGTTGTTGTTGCTCCTACGTTTTACCGCTTATGCTGATTTTTCGTGCAATTGATGAGCTGACAAGCAAACCTCAGCGGCCTCTACTGAACAAGTAAGCGAGCAAGTAAGTAGGTGAGAGACCCTTAAAACCCACACAAAACTGGGGTTTTGCTGGTTTTGTTTTTTTTTGAAGGTCGCATGAGCAATGGTCACGGAATTTGGGTGAGTGTTGTGAATGCAGGCAGTGAACGTGATTTGTTCGTCGCTTTCTTTGGAATGCGTAATAGAAAAGTGTTGACAGGGCCGAGCAGGCCAGACCAGACCAGATCAGACCACGACCAGCTGACAAGTGTGTTCGAGATTCAGACTAACTCTTAGAGTCTTTCAACAAGATCTACGTGGGCAGGAGCAGAAGAAGGTCTCAGCTGTGATTCGACCGCCTTCATTATAGAGCGATAAATTTTCTCTAAGCACTCTGGCATGCATACAATTAGTAGGTAATATTCATCCAATTTGGAAAGACATTTGGTAGCAGACATTTAACCAAATATTCGATAACAAGGACAATAAAGAACTTGTCCATATCTCAAGACCTACTAGTTGAGTACAAAAGAGGAATGCATTAAAACAACTAACTGCGACTTCAAACTCTCCCTCTCCCTCTCCCTCTCTCTCTCTCTCTCTATAACTATCTATGTTGATATTATATAGACAGGACTGATACTATAAGAGATACTTGACTCTTAATCATTGATTTATTCATTGCCTTTCCAAATATTCCGAAGAATTAAATTGTGAACTCTTGTTTGAAAAAATAGAAGGACTATTTCGATGATAGCCCGTCCCCTCACTTGCTTCAGCAATCACCTTTCGATCCTCGACTACACAATCTCAAACGGAAGCCCACTTCCATAACCTGCTCCTCAACTACTAATCAAGCTTAGGATGCAACCTCTGTGGTACTTACCCAGATTGGCATACACATTGTCTGTCTTGCATTTGAGAGAGCCGGTGCCTAGGATGGGACCCGTGGACTCCACACTGCTGGCACTTAGTGTGGCGGTCAGCTCGTGTTTCTGCTTGCGTCGCAGCTCTGCGCTTTTGGGCGGCGGTGGACGTGCCGGCTTGTTGGCCTCATGCGCCCTTTGACCCTCGCCGGCACGCAAAGGCGGTGCTGGCGGCTTGGCCGTGAGTACAGCCACCGTTTGACTCGCCACCGGATCGCTTGTCTTCGTTATGTCCTTGACCACTTCGACGGCCGTGGGATTAATGTCAATGGGATGTATGATTACCAGACGCGGCTTGCCCGTCACACCGACATCATCACCCGTACAGATCTCTGTGTAGACCGTGTCCTTTTTGTGGAGCTGGTCGGTGGCTTTGTTGCTGCCACTGTTACTGCCCATGCGCAGGAATTTCTTGATGGAGAATTTGGATTTTTGTTTCTGCGGCGGCGAGGCAGTGACGGGCGACTTCTTGGCACCATCGACGAGGCCAGCAGCTGCCAGGCACTCCTCGGACATGGATAGGTTGCGCTGATTGCGTGGCGTGGGCTCCGGCGTCAATGGCTGCTTGAGATTCACCACCGAGCTGGCCGATTGCATCTGAAGTTGCTTGGCGGCATTGGCGCGTTGCATGACAAAAGTGTTGAGGCTGCGAAACTTGGGATTGATGACGGCCCTCTCGCGTTTGTCCTTTTCGCGTATGACGGGAGAGGTGGCATTGCCACTAATGCTACTGCTGTTGTTGCTGTTGCTGCTGCTGCTGCTGAAGCCGCTGCTGCTGTTGCCTGCGGGCGGCTTGCGTGTGTAGTGATTGCTCATACAGGAAGTAGTTGTTGCAGTGGCCGTAAATGTTGCTGCTGTTGCTGTCGAAGTGGCAGTAACAGTCGCCTCTTTCTCCCTGCTGGAGGCTACGGATGTTGCCTGCTTGGCTTCCCCAGCTGCCTCACTTGCTGCTGGCACTGATGTTGCTGCTGTTGCTGGTACTGTTGTCGTCTGCTGCTGCTGCTGCTGCTGTTTCTCGCATGCTTGCTCAAACTCAACTACTAAGCTGTAGTCGCGCTCTGGTGTAGGCGGCGCGCTTAATTTGGTCTCTGGCGGTGGATTCGGCGCCTTGCCCTTCTTTAGCTTGGCATCGTCTTTGGCTGACTCAGAAGTGGCTGTATGAGCCGCCAGCAGATTCTCGCTCGATTTGGAAATAGCCGTTTGCAGCTGGCTGATGAATTGCTGTTCGGCACTCGTCGGCTGACGCTTAGCCATGAATGTTTTCAGCGGAGTATTGTTGTTGCTGGCCATGTTGCTGCTGGCCACGATCGGCTTGGCGGGCAGCTCCGGCTTCTTGAGGAGCAGGGGCGTAGTGCTTTGCTTGCTCAGTCCATGCAAGAATGAGGGTCGTGCATCGATTTTCATGGGTGGCGGAGATTTTGGCAAGGCGGGCAGCTGTTGAGTAGCTGCCTCCACAGTTGCAGTTTGTTGCTGATCCTTTCGCTCCAGACTATTGTCCGGATCGGCGCTGCCATCCGGCTCGCCATGCAGTTCGCGACTCTTCTCCAGCGCAAACTTAGGTGAAGCTGCTGCTGTTGCGGACTTGCCAGCTGTTTGATCGCCAATCTGTATGTCCTCATAGTCGGAATTGTTTGTGCTGGCGCTCAGCTTTTTCTCCACCTGCAGGCGTTTCTCATTGGCAGCTCCTACTCCGCCGCCATTGGTTGCCAGATTCTTGTACTCACTGCCTATGCTAATGCCTATGCCCGAGTCCGATTCGCTGCGTATCATGTTGTAGGCATTCTCCTCGTCCGAGCTGCCATCGAAGCTGCTGCCCGTCGAGTCGAGGGCATCATCTGAGCTGCACTTTGTCACAATCAGACCGTCCGAGGTTATCTTGCTGGTCATAAAGTTTCCCTCGTGCAGGTTATAGCTGGCCGCTCTGGTCTTGGAGCTAAGCAGCATGTCTGTTATGTACTGCGAGCTGGAATAGTGCGACGTGTCCGGCTCTGTTTGTGACACCACGCCCTGGACCCCATTGGCAACATTACTGTACTTGCCATCGGGCAAGTTCTCATAGCTGAGCTGCGTCTCGACCACATCGTAGTAGGCTGAGACACCGTTCTCCGTGTCCGAGCAGTTGCTATCGGTGTCGCAATATTTGTGGCACACATTCACTTTGGGCTTGGCATGGTCCTTGGTTATGGGCGCGTTTCGCGCAATGGGCTTCTTAAGGTCGAGAAATGGCTTCGTTTCCAGCGATTCGCTCAGCGAGCTAAGCTCAAATTTTATTTTACTGCTGTTGCTGCTGCTGCTGCTGCTCGTTGTTGTAGAAGTCGATGTTGTTGTTGCCGCTGTGGCCGCACGCTGCTTGGACTCGTTCTGCTTCTGCTCCAGCGTCTCGGATATTTCATCGAGCAGCGACTTCTCCATGGCGCGCTCTATGGGCGGACTATCCTTGCCATCGCGTGAGGGCGTGGATTTCGTTGAGCAGCTGCTGCTGGGCATGCTGAGTGTGGGCGTCAATGTTGTAGTTACTTTCTTGGTGGTTGTGCCTGTCCCTGTTGTTGAAGTTGTGCTCTTTATGGACGTAGTGGTGGTGGCTTGCTTGGCCTTGACCGACGTTGTTGTTGTCGTTGCCGTGGTTGAGGCTGTAATTGTTATCTTGTTCTTGCTCTCTGGGTTGCCTGTCTTGGCTGGCGCTGGAGCCTTGGTCGATATGGGTTGCCCGAAAGGCATCACATTGATTTTCAGTGTCTGCTTCTTGCCCTCCTTATCCACTTGTGGGGCCCCCAGCTTGAGGGCTGCGAACGACTTCTTTATATTGTCCTCTGCATTGCCCAGCAAGTTGCCGTTGTTCATGTTGAAGTCTGTGTTGGCGCGCGTGATGCGTTTTAGCTCCACCGTCTCCTCATCGTCGGTCTCGGTGATGGCCATATCATCGTGCTCATTGCCCAGGTTCATGAAGTCATGATCGTCGTCGTCATCATCGCCATCGGACCACTCGCCGCCATAGCCAATGATCTCGTGCAGCTGCTTGGGAAAGCAGACCCTGCCCGATTTGCTGGAGCTGCTCGAGCTGCTGCTAGAGTTTGACTTGCTGCTGCTGCTGGTACCGAGACGCACGCCGAAGGCTTTCTTGATAATGCTCTTGGCCGGCATCTTGTGTTTGTTCGGATAATCAGTCTTTGTGTGTGTGTCTGACTTGTGCGAGTAGACGGAGCTGCCACCTAGTTTTGAGCCTTGTGCGGTGGCTGCTGCCTTGTGCTCGTCCTTGGACTTGAAACAATTCGAGCATAGATCCTTCTTCCATGCATTCTGCGTGAAATGTGAACAAATGGACGATGACATGGTGCTAAGCTGCTTTCTAGTGATTGCTGTTGCTCTTGCTGCTGCTGACAATTTTAGGCCATATTCTGCAAAGAAACAAACAGATGGAGAGTTGAATTATTTGCTCATACTTGTAAACCAAAAGACCGAGCTACTTTCTTTGACAGTGATTGCGCAAGCCGTGCACACTGAGTGCAAGAAGCTGTTGTTGTTGCTGCAGCTAGCTAATAATTAACTTTCACTCTTATTTGCAATACGAATTGCTTCTTCATGACTCGAAATTATTTAATATACTCGTACTACGTTGCCAAAACAAGCCATAAAGCACACCATCAACAACAACAATAGTAATAACCACAATGCACAGCAATTTGCTGATGTTGTTGCCAGCAAATGCATGTCTCCAGCAACTGTTGCTGCCAATGGCCCAACCACATTGTCATCGTCATCTCCATCGTCGCTGACGTTGTCGTGTTTCTCCCTCTTTCTCTTTCTCTCTGTATTTTTTTTTTCAGTCAAACATCACTTGTTGTGTTTATCAATCAATCTTCATCTTGATAATGAAATTATTGAAATTTTTGCTGCAACGTACTAGTGTTGCTGTTGTTGTTGCTGCTTTTGTCTTTGCCATACACACAGACACAAGCTTTATTTGGCCATTTTTCATGGCTTACTCTCTGCCAGCCGATAATTGAATGTGTTTTTCCATTGTCACATGTTTATTGTCATGCCTGCATGACGACCCTCCCCTCCCGCCTGGACAACTCTTTACGATTTTTTGGGGTTTGGTAATCAGCCGCTTTGTCGCCTTTTCCTTACTTCATCAAAGACGATTATCGACCTATGATGAAAGTTTCATTGCACAGATAGAAGGGGAGACAGAAGCAGAGGTCGGTCGTACACCTCGATTATTTCAACACAAAGGTAAGATGTTGGTAATGGTCAATCAACCGAGATACTTTGAAATTATCGATGAAATTGAATATTGACTTGAATATTCATTCATAACCCAGACTCAAAGACTTTTTAAAAGAAGCTGACAATAAAACCATTTTCGAATATATAGAGAGATTCTAAAACAAAGTAAAGGGAAATATTAAATACCAATGCTCTTGGATTAAACAGGGTCTAGTAACAATGATCAGTACATGATAGGTCTTCCTTAAAATACAAAAGAATGAATAGGAAAAACATATCTTCATTGCATAATATTTTCCATATGCAAGATGTAGTTGTTGCCGAGATACTGCTCTCTTTTAAATCATAAATTGGTTGCATAGAAAATCTATTTTAGTAGCATTTGAGATGATGACACAATCAAAACCATTTGCATTAATCTGTAATGCATCCGAGCAATCGAAATAGATTATGTCAGATAGCCCTGTAGATTCTCAAAGTTTCGTTAGTAAGCTGAAGCAACATCACGAAAGGGAACAACAATGCATGTGAAATATCAAAACGTTTATGTCTTTAGACCCCTATATATGTAGGTATGCTGCCTTGGCCCGAAACACGTCGTCTCCGAGCCTAATTGGGAAAGTGTTGCTGGCAACAGCTGCGACGACAACACCCACCAAAGGGACAGCAAAACACAATGCCAGACAACAAAGATGACAACAGCAGCGGCAGCAACAATGACACCAGCAACAACAACAACAGCAACGACTAGCACAGTTAAGGCTAATTTATCATTTCGAGCGAACGCCAACGAAAGTAGAGGCATTGTTGTTGTTGTTGTTGCTACGGCTTTGGCAAATGTTGCTGACAAGCCCGCATGTTGCCAACTGCAGCTTCTGCTGTTACGCTTGATTTTTAGTGTGTATCTTCGTTTTTGGGTCAACATTGGCTAAACGCTAACGTTAATACGAGTATGTATGCATAAATCTCGTAGCTCTGCTTTGTGCAATGCGGCCAAAACAATTGGCAAGTTGCTGGCTAGGGAAACAAAGCGGTGGCCAATTGCATAACTCCGAGCTGGGGCTTGTGGTAAATGTTACTAGATAGTGTATTTCGTTTTCTGCTGTTTTTTTTCGCTTCTCTCTTCTTTTTCTTTATTTTCAGTTTTTGCATATCGCGGTTAGCCGTGTTACACATACTATAAATTTGCCGCTTGTTTCTATTGTTATTTTTTTTGTTAATTGTTTGCATTTTTCTTTCACTCATTTGCATTCGGTTGCGGCATCGATTGGCGATTTGTTTATGGCCAAAGTTCGACAGTGTGGCCAAATGGCCAAACGGACTGGCCATTGGGGCCATGTGCAGCACTACGAGCACGGGTACCAGTATTTGCGCCAATTCTCAGGCAGCTGCTAACTAAGTGCAACGCATTGAACTCAATTGCAAGTTAGAAATGTTGCCAATGTTGTTGTTAATTTGCACATTCAAATGAATGCTGTTGCTACTAGCCTTCTGGTTATTCATAAGGTAAGTACATTGCCAGCATTCCCATTTCAGAATAAATAACAAGATATGCCAGTTCTAAAGAAAAGCCCAGCACACACACTCATTAAATAATAACATAGGCACAATTTATGTTACGTAAAGATGCTAGAATGGCAATACAAGCTGAAGAGATGTAGCTAAAATTTTGAAACACAAATCAAATTCTGGGGAGCTAAATAAAATTAATATTAAATATTGTTTCTTAGCGCACATAATTAATTAGAGAATTTAATAGATAAATTCGATTTTTGTGGGCAAAAAGTGTAGGCACTCTGAAGAGTTTTTTTTTTATATATTCCTGTTTACTGCGCTTGGGAGCTTAGGGCTTCTACAAGAACATTTTTCCATCTGACTCTCAATTTCTAGCCGTCTGTCTGCCTTGGCTGTAGCGGTATCCCATGTAGTGTTGTGTCTGGGTTAAATTCTGAAGGTAATCCGCCGCCAGGTTGTCGTCTTTTAGGTCTGTCGACCCGACTGCTTCCTTGGAAGTGTTCCTCCAGAGTATCCGTAACATCGACATCGAGCCGACATGGAGCCGTTTTGGGTTCATTTGTCTTGTATAAGTTTCAATAATCATTTGTTGTCAGAGTTATTATCACAGGATATCTATCTATCTATCAGAAGGACAAAAGATTGTAAAACCTTGCATCGACTCACCTTGTTATACTAAACAACAATATTTTAATTCTTTGAGGAAATCGGAGTCTTGCTGTGCAGAATAGAAATATAATTTTTGACTGCTTTTGAAAAGATTAAACTGAAAAGAAAGCTTCAATTTTAAAACTCAAATCAAATTCTGGTGAACTAAATACATAAAAAATATAATAATATTAATTATAATATTATTAATATTAAATATTGCCTCTTAGCGCAGGTGATTAATTGCAGAATATAAGGTATAAATGGGATTTTTGTTGCTATCACAAGAGCGACAAAAGAACGTTAAGCCTTCCATCGACTCGCCTCGTTATACTAAACAACAATATTTTAATTCCCTCGAGTCTTGCTGTGCAGAATATAGATATAATTTGTGATGGCTATCTGCTAATTTGAGTTCGCAAGCACTACCACTCTGAGTTCCTCTTCTAGTTTCCTTCGTTAAATTTTTTGTGAGTCCACTTAGAGACTCACTTGAAGGTCTGCCCTGAGCTGCAATTGCAACTCATCTTGGCCGCATCTGCTGTATCTAAGTCAATGGCAGTTCATTTTTTATGCCATGTTGGTTGCGGATAAGCCAACAATGTTTTTAGAATTTCCATATTCTGTTTTCTTCCTAAGTACATTATTCCGATTCACTGCTCTGTGGTACAAAAAAACATCACTCGAATCCAATAAAGTAGTTAAGGCGATTGCTTGCGGTTGGCAGCCTTTAAGCTCTGGGCTGTTTAACCGAATTTGTCGAAAAAGTGAAACACGACCAGCAAACTGCCAAAGCATGGCTAAAAAACGCATACAATTTGCAACACATAGTGGCGCTATTTGACCATAAAAATGAAGTCGGCAAGTAAATGCCGTGCCGTGCCGGGCCGTGCAAGGCAAACAGAGCTTAGAAAGAGGCGCGAAGAGCAGCAGAGCTAAAAGGAATGCAGCAGCGGCAGTCAGGCAAACAACAACAGCAACAACAACAACATCAGCAGGCAACATCTTTAAGCTATTTTTCAAGTTTGGCAGTTGACTCGTTATAAGGAATGTTGTTTTCTGCAAGCTGGCTGCCTGAGTGAGATTCGAAGACCACGACCACGACACGACGATGATGACGACGAAGACGATGTCGTCGTGGTTGTTGGCAAAGAAAAGAGATATCAAGCCGATGTCTGTGGATGCTGGCCCGGCGCGTAAAAGTGTTACACAAATAAATCTACATAAATTTAATGCGCTAAACCTCCCATAAAGGCGGCTAATTTATGCGGTTTGAGGAGCTAAAGACCAACCAGTTCGCAGTTGGCAGTTGGCAGGCAGGCAGGCAGGGACAGGATGGGGGCAGCTCGTTAGATCAAATGCGAGAGAGTCGCCCGCCCGCCTTGCCATGAAAGTCGGTCAGTCGGTGGCTCCTATAGCTATAGCCTCGCTACTCGGCCGACTTCTGTGGCAGCTGCGTGGGGCGGGCGTTACAATTTAATTGGTGCCTGGGAACATTCGCAATTGGGCACACACATTTTTTGGCCAACAAAACTTGCTCGCCAGGCATTTTCATATTTTACTGCATTCTTTTTTTGTCGTTTGCTTTAATCTGATCGCAGTAACCGGTAGGCTTTATACACGTATATATATATATATATATATATATATATATATATATATATATATATATATATATATATATATATATATATATATATATATATATATATATATATATATATATATAGTAAACTATATGTATATTTATACAAATTTGCGGCGCTTGCAGGCTGCAAAACAGTTAGTTGACCGTCGCGTCGTCATCATTCGTCGCCCGTCGCCCAATTGAGGCCAACAGGTTTAACTTTAACACGCACGGAGTGCACAGTCGGCATGGCCCGAAACCAGACCCCGCTTCCCCCCACCAAGACTCTGCGGCAGTGCCACCTGAAAGTTCTCGTCCGGCTGCAGGCCATGCCGGAATTTTTTCTCATTTTTCGTGGCTATTATCGTTTTGTTCTTGGTTCGTTTTGTTGATTTTTAAACGCAAATCGTTGCAGTTGGCATGCCAATTCGAAAATTGCCGCCTGCGGGCTAATCTCTAGACTTTGAACGCGCTCCATAGCGGTCCACTGTTTGGGGACAGACGCAGGCAGCTCGTGTGGAATTTCCACTAGCTATGTTGGATTATATGCGTATGTATACTTGAACTTGTATACTTGTAGGTGGGTGTAATCTATTGCAGATGGGTGCAATATGTTAGGAGAAATGGCAGCTGGCAGTTGAGAGACCAAAGAATTAATATGGAATTCAATGGAAAGCAATGGATCCTAGAGTCGGCCAAAAGGAAGCCAATTGTAGTTCAGCTTATATCTGATTAAAAAGAAACTTGATGCTGATCCCAGAAAGGACTGGTCATGCAACAAGCGGTAGAGTAAGTAAATAACTTACTCTTCTCTCTTCTTATATAATATACAATTTTAGTGGCATGTAAATTTGTAATTTCCAAAGAAAAATCAATAAACTTGTATTTTCTTGAAACAGAGGGAAACAACTGTTACCTGAGAGTTTAAGATAAAAGAGTGATACGTAGTTTAAACTCCCTTTTACATACTTTCACAATTGCCAATTCATATACCCTTTTTACCTTTTGGGTTGACATTTCCAAAACCATACCATTTATTAGTTGGGTTGGATTAATGCCCTTTTATTAATATTTCTTTGTTTATACTAGAACTGCTAATATGAAATTATAAAATCCTTCTTAACATTCAATTAACAAATGTATTATTAGTGCCAGCAATTAATGTAATCTTCGTTTGCGTTAGAGCTCATCCATTTGATTTCGTTTTTCGTCAAAAAATAAATATTGCTAGCAGCAAAATATTTAAACAACTAATCAGAAAAAAATTTATAGTATGTATTAATGAAAGTATCTTCCATTAGCCTTTGAATGTTTAAAACAACATTTTCATAAGCTGCTGGCTTACAAATTAAATGCTTAAGTAAGAATTTAAATAAATCATCTTTTGTTGTGCGAATTTAAATCTTGGGCGCTCGCACATTTCTCTCAAAATGATAAATGTTGTTTGTCTGGGCTTATCGAGCTTCTAAAACCGTAGCAGTCGAATATCCATTTCGAATTGACCGAGTTATGATTAAGAGCACAATTTATGGGCCGCAGCTTCCCCGGTATACACTTATTCAATCATTTCGAGGCAAAAACAGGAAAGGGGAGAACGAAAAAAAGAACGAAAATTTCGAGAAACGAAACAAATGGAAATATTTAAATTAAAGTGTGAGAGAAGTTTGTTCCACATTTACACGTGAAATTTATGCGTGCCGGTGCTCGACTGATGTTTATTTATATGTGTGTCGTTATGCGGTGTGTACATATGTAAATCAGAGAGCTCCTGCTCATACATATAAGTAGTATATAGCACACACATACAAGTATATAGTATATACTTAATGCATGCCCAATTGATGCCTTTCAGATTATGCTAAACAGAAGTTAGGCAGCGTGCTGAGAAGTTTCCGATTTTCAACTTATTTATTCATAGAATCATGAACTAGCATGTGTACGTATGTATGTTCGAGTATATATAGTAGGTATGCCAGAATCTTGCACTATTAGAGCAGCCGTTGATTTGTTGCTGCCGCTTTCGATTCGATGGCTCATTAAATGGGCATTGATGATGCTGTTTATGGATTTATTTGGCGACAGAACGCTCTTAAATGATCAAAGAACTAAGGCAAGTTAGTCGGCGCATAAATTGTGGCTAAGGCGTTGCTTAAAATTGTTGCTCCGCAAAATTTCAAGAATGCTAACCCACTCCAAGCTCGACTTGGGTTGGGTTGGGTTTTGTGTGCCACTTGGCGCTGAGGAAGTTGTGGGCGTCACACAACCACATATCTACACACATATACACATGCATACATATATACATATGTTGAATGTCACTTGTTTTGGCCTTAAAAGGCAGCTGCCAATTAGGCCATTAATTCTAGGCCTGTCTGAGCATGACAGCATTTTGTTAAGTGAATAATATTGTGTAGCTCAGGGAGAAATGTAGACGAGAACAAATAAAACGAAATTAAAGTTTGTTGAAGCGCATTTGCATATGCTTAATTAGGCCTTAAAAGGCATTTCCTCAATTTCCACAACGCAGTGAAAAGTTCAAGGCCGTTTGCATTGATTGCTCATGGAATTTGCCGAGCTTCTAACTCCGCTGGCAATGTCCGCGATTTGAAAATGTTACACACTTCCACTTCTTTAGACTAGGATTATCTAAGGATTTTAATTTGCCTATAACTTCAACTGATTCGATTGTCATGAAAATATGTACGTTATAACTTGAAGGGATATTCAGTCAAACATAGCAACCATTTAATTTAAAGGAAACAAGTTATTACAATGAGAAACAGATGTTTTTTTGGGAGGTACAACTATATAAAGATCAAGCGTTCCTACAAAGCAGAAGTGCTTTCTATGAATGTACCAAAGTTTTGTCAGATAAGATTTAAGGATTTAGACTTTCGATAGATTCGAGAAACAATAGCTGATGAAATTTTAGCTTGCCGATGATCTTAAAAAAGTTGTGTGTCATTGGAAATCAAAATGTCTCCATTATAGAACACATTGGAATATATGTATGTAATGAGAATAATAAAGTAATCTTGAATCTGGCCTAGATGCCAATCCATCATTATGATAAAGCTGATATATAGTATGGTTCATACGGTTCATCGGACTAATACACACTTATAAGTAGTAACTGTAAACTGCAGCTGTATTGCAATCACTTAGTAAGTAGTTTCCCAGGCTTATGGAAATCAGTACTGATGCACCGAAACTCACCTCACGTGCTGTCTGGCTTTCAATTTAGCGCTGCGCACACAAAATCAATGGAAACTGCAAAAAAGAGAGATAGAGAGAGAGATGAATAAAATGAGAACATGAGATTGTACAATAAATTGTAATTATTTGCACACATTAGATGCAAATTTAACTAAACAGAGCGCATTGAACAAAGCCATGAACATGTTTTCATTTCCGACTTGTTGATTAACTAAAATCAAATCCAATTAGAGACACAATTTGGCCGCTCCCCATGCATCACCATTATTGTTGTTGTTATTGTTGCTGCTGTTGAAGAACGCCGGATGCTGAAGCAGTCCGTCAACGCTGTTTTGTCAACAGGTAAGACAACAAACTTGTGTGTGATCACAAACAGCAACAACGAGCACAAAAAACAACTTGAGAACAACATTGACAACAACATCATGCCAACAACAACATCGACAGCAACTTCACAGCAATAACAAAACAGCACACCAACAACAATAACAATAATAACACAGACAATCACTCAAGCAGCTGAGCCATGAGTTTGAAGAAAAAAACGCAATTAAACTGCCGTTGAAGTTTTGTTTGAAGTTTAACGCGTATGCGTATGTGTGTATGTGTGTGTATGTGTGTGTGTGCTCAGCCAAGAGGGAAGGAGTGTACTGTAAGCGGGAAGTTGTCATAGCATTGTGGTAAAGTGCTATTTGGCTCTGTGAAGCTCCTCTTTTATTAAGTAGCCAACTCCGCCAACTGCATGACAACGTTTACATGAACAATTATCACCATAATGATGTGACGCGATCAAAATTACTTTTTGATTAGTTGTCAAGTGAAGGGCCCGTCATCTTGGGCTGACAGCCCCACCATGAGTTTAAACAATAAACAAAGTCTATGGCATCTCACAAAGCACGCAACTGAGCAGCTTTTCATTGAAAGCCAAACTAGTGTGTATAAGCATGCATCAAAAATGCGGACCTAACCATAACTAATACTATACTTCCCCCATAATCTCGTTTTCGCTTTTTCAGCTTATTAAAATATCTCAAGTAATGGCTCAGAAATGACTAGCGGCTTCATCTTCTTCTTGCTCATTACGCCCAATAGTTGCTGTAAGTGGTTACAGTTTTTTACAAACAGAACAAATACAGATTGTATTTAATTTTTGATGGCCATTTGTCCCCGCTTCCGGGTCAAATTTTCCGAAGGTACATTTTTATTTGGACTGTTATAGGCTCTATCGATTATTGGCAAAAAGTTTAGAAAAGATGTTGTCAGCAATTGTGCGAACATTTCAATTGGGTTAGTATTCAGGGATTAAAGAAACCCGACTTTTTGAAAATTATAGTAATACAAGTATAGTTGTATTATTGTTGTTTACAAATATCCTTTGAATTAAGTAAAATGGCCGTCGAATCTTATCAATTCTTATGAATAGGACCTGTTCTATCTCTTCATTTTCTAAAATAAATTTTTAAGCTAAGCATAAGCATCGTTAAATGTTTATCCTGTATTTATCTGTATCATCTTAAACTCTTGTCGGATTCGTATTGCAACTGAAAAATGTATACCCTATATTTGAGAGTGCAGACTCCTATGCTTTACTAATAGACCACATGCCGCGAATTTGACATGAGGTTTCACAGTCTAGCCATCTTTGGTTAGTTGATTGGTTGGTAGGTTGGATTAACTCTCGTTTACGCTCAGCTGTCAATTACCTTACGCTGCCAATGTGCTTACGTTTAGCCAGCTGTCAATGTGGCATGTCACAGTGCTACACGAAGTCAAGTTAATTGAAGTTGCTGAGACCAAAAATCGACGTAAATGCTCCGTAAATGATGCCACACATTAAGCACGAACTTGAGGCGGAGTTATTATGCAGTTTATTTTTAGCTCCTCTCAGTTTATTACAGCAAATATTTTATGCTTATTTTCGCACGAAAATTGTAACAATATATGGTGGTGGTGGTGGTTGAAGAGAAGGCGATGGAAGGACAATGTTACGACTTGGCAGGCATATTTCGTTTAATCAAGTGAAGCGACAGCAGCTACGGAGTTGGGCACCAACAGTAGGAACAGTTTTGCATAAATATGGTGGAGTACAACTACATAGGTACAGTGAAACATCTTTTAAGTGAAAATTATGAGATATGAATGAACCCGATCAGTTAACTCTACAGGCAAAATTGTCCCATCATGAATAAAATGAATGATAACTGATTCTTAGTGTACTAAAATAAATTGTTTCTTTATTATTTAATCGTTCTTGCATATACTTAGAAGAACTAGATGTTACATTATTTGGTGACCCCGACCGTTCAACCTACCAACATAATATCGTACTTTAAATTAGTGCCAACTATATTCTTTCAATTATTATTTGAATTGTACATCGTGCCAATTTACACTCACGATTCAGTCACGCGATAAGCATATGTATATACTTTTATATTTTGTGTACTCATTTGTCTGTTTTTCCAAACTTTCAGATATATTTTGTGAGTGCAAAACCCTTGAATAGTATATACATATATATTAATACCTGTCGTGACTGCACTGAAACATTTACCAAATATTTATGGATCAGTATTATTTCTTTTATTAAATAATTTTTGTTTTTAATTTTTTTATTTTTTATTAAAAAATGTTTTTATTATTATCCGTTTATCCGTAAGAATGTAGAAGTCGTGCTAGGTCGCCTATTGAATACACTGCACGCATCCACTTCCCCGTCACAGCCTAAACTCAACTAAAATATTCTTTGTTGCATCGTTCATTACTTTAGCCACTATATTATATAGTAAGCCGATTTTGTTATAAGATTATATTAGATTAGGGCGAAGTAGTTATAGAAATCCTATAAATGCCAGTTTTTATTACGATATCGCAATACTACATATAAACAAACATGTTGCTTTTAAGAAACATTTTGATTTTCTTGTATACTCTTTGACACTTCGGGTACAGGGTATGCAAATCCACTTTGTTTGCCAAAGCCGACTAAATCCGTTCGTTGTAGCGTATTCCAACTGCCTGTGGGAGTGCGCTCGCATAAAACTGCCTCATTTGCACTTCCTCACACGCACACGCGCGCGCATACACACACACACACACACACATTCGCATTTAAACAAGGCGCAAGAATGATGGCAAAAGTGGAAAGAGAAATATAAATATTTCAAGGTTAACCTCCCATGTCAAAATGTTGGCGGCATCTCCTGTGTTTTCGCTGCCGTTGCGTGACGCCAACATGGCGACAGTTAAGAATTGCAGCAGCAGCAACAACAGCAACAGATGTAGCAACAACAGCAGCAGCAACAGCAGCAGCCGCAGCAACAACAATAGGCTGCAAATTAATAAATGAAAACGCATTCATTCATGCAAGTGGCTTCGCTCTTTGTTCTGGTGCTGGACTTAAGCTGCTCGTATTGTTGTTGTTGCCACAACTGTTTGATGTTGTCGTTCTTGTTGTTGTGTCTGCTGTTGTGCCCGCTGTTGCTTTTCAATTTGAGATCTCACGCACACCAACGCACGCATATGCTGCTTCTTCTTTTCTCATAAGTTCTCATATGTTGACGCAACATGTTGCTTAATTAAAAGCGCAGGCAACGGCTATAACAACAACAGCAACAAATGTGTCGCTTGCTTGGCATCGAATTTCAGCTTCCCACAGGCAGCTGTGACGCACCAAAAGCCAACAACAACAACAACAACAAGAAATGTGCCACCAAGAGGAAGGCGACACCAAAATCGTAACTCATTTTTATGCGCACATTAAACGAAAAAAAGAGACCAACTTGCTGTGGTAAAAATTTAATTACTACTTTTAGCTCACATTGTCGCTTAATTCTGAGGTAAGTGCAAGCAGGTAATAAAAAAAAAAACAAGTGACAAAGCTAAAGTTGGCCCGACTTTGAAATACTTTGTACATATGTGAAATATATTCATAATTTCAAACTATAGATACCAAACTTTATACACATAATTTATGTATGTACTATTGTTCGTAATCGTTCAATTTTAAGAACTAGGCCCTATAATCTACAGGAGGTACGCTTCCTCGACTGTAGCAATCTCTCTTGATTTCCTTTGACAGTACTCTATAACATATCTTTTGAATTTTTTTTATATTAACAACAAAGTGCGCTTTGTAAAATAAAACAATTCATTTCTCTACACTAATTATTAAAGTACACATATTATCATTGTCAGTAATCAGAAAAATGTCGTAATGAGTTAAATTAAAATGTGTATAGTAGTCCCACATTGTTGTTGCGCCAGCTGCCACGCCAGTCTACGTTTTGGATGTATTTTCTATGCCGTTTGGGCAATTATTTGGAGAATATTATTAGGTACAGTGGTGTTAGTACCTACAGGCAAGTCTCCAAGCATAAAACTATGCTACATGGCGCTCATTCTAAAATATATTTGATCAATTCAAGCAGGAGAAGACCCTGATGTGGGAACGTACGATGTCATATCGGGTGTCCTGCATATAATTTGCTTAGTAGGCCCCATTTCTTTGTTAATTGGCATCTTCAAGGTGAATGCACATTTTTGGGTAAGAGCAGTCGTACTAACCATTTATCAATCTGTGTCCTTCAGATCATCAAAGCACTGGTCATTCTATCTATAGTAGTTACATATGTGGTTGTGGGAGTTTCATTTCTACATTTGGTGGTTTTTCATATAGTTGGTAAGTACTCGTACAATTTTAGAGACATTTGAGAGGAATATTTTTCAATCATATTATACAATTTTAAGTTGGAACAACGGATAAGCATAACTATCCAAAATGGGTTAACACAACAACAGTTATGAGAGCGGCTATTTTGAAGTTCTTTGCAATATTTTGCCCCTTAGCTGGTATGTACATTTTAAGGGCATATAATGTGAATATTCTACATTCGTACTGCTCATTTTTCAGGTTTCGAAGTGTATATGGCTATTGTGCAATATTCATTTTTAAAAACCGAAATGTAGTTGAAGCCTTCTTGAGAACCAGTGATTACAAACTAACCGTAAGTTAAACGAGAATCCAGGAGTGACAAGAACTGTGAAGAGCCCACCTATACAAGTATGATAAATGCCTACAAAACAAAGACAGATCAAGGACACAAATTATGACAAAGGTACATCTATTCTATATAGTCATTAGTTATAATCTAGAAGTCATTGACCATATGCAAAAATAGGTTATTGGTTCCTTATCTCTAAAGATATATATATATGCAAATTTTAATTTTCCAACCGTGTTATATCAAAATCGTGTAAAAAAAAAGAATTAGATGTATATATGTATGTTCCGTATAGACTCCGATACCGCTCAACCGATGTTGATAAAATTTTGCGGCAATATTCAAAATAGTCTCGTGGGTCAACCTGTGAAGTTTCGTGGCGATGCGTCGACGCAATCAACCATCGTTTTCTGGCTTATTTCTGCTCATTTTAATATGTTTGGCAGTAACTTTTTACTCTGTTCCTCAGTGTTTCATTCGTAAATAAATGAAATTGTAAAATCGAATTCAAAAAAAATGCAGCTGAAAATGCCGATGAACGCGAATAACGTTTGCAAGATCTTTGCGAAAGGGCATCTACGCCTAGAGCCATAGAGGAGGACAGTAGGACGTAATCGAAGCGATAGAAAGCGAAGGACGTATTGGGAAAGAGATGACGTCCGAAATATTAAAAAGCAATTCAGTGGCGTAGCAACGCAAGCCGGAAACACTAGTTCTTAATAAATTTTATGTTGCATAGAAATTCTCCAAAAAGTTCTCCTTTGTGGCCACCGGTCACCCAAAATAGCATAAAAAAGTAACCGAACGGGAAACTTAGCTCGAAAAACCTGTTGCGTGGGATACTTGTACTGTTGGTCTGGCTTTTCTTTTTGGTCACAATATTTGCAACGTTTTGCAATTGGCTCGGCACTCTGTAGCCCATTTACAAGCGCCATTTGTTGACTGTCAACCTGTACAAATAGTTGGCGCTTTGGTCGCATGACTCATACGCCATGTGGACATTGCGGCCAGCTCAAAGATCGATAAAATTGCTGTCAGCCAACAAATGCCAGTGCCAAAATAAGCTGCCTCGTAATTTGGCTTAAAAGTCGTTTGCCCTGCAAGAGTGCGAATTGAGGAAGCCTATGCACAATTGTCTTACGTTTGTCCAATCGGTACTCATAGAAATATATATATTCATTTATTTGATTTGGATACTTTAATGGATACTTTTTCGAAGTTGTAAGATCTACTGTCTGTGCAAAGTTAGCTTTACTGTAACTTTTCTTTTTATATGAACTATTATAATCTAAGGGCATTCGAGTTCTTGACTAGATTGGTCGAGGTATGTAAATACATATGCATAATATTTGGTTGTTTAGAACATTTTAAGCTATATGTCGATCTTTCATATACGATCAAGAATTTGCTATGAATTTTCAAAGTCTTTTAATATTTTAATCCACACTACAGCTGGTTAAGTACTTGGGCAGTGTGTAGATAGTGAATGAATAATTGATTGGATTAGTCAGCTAGTGGCGACAAGCAGAAGTAAAATATGGTAACAGTACACTTACTTATCTTTTTCATTTTCAAATGAAATTCTTAAAACGTAGGTACTTCAAATTTGAGGAATTGAAAAAAGGAAAAAGCTCAATGTTAGATACCTCACTATTTCTTCCGTAATATCTTAGAGTTCGAAATACTTGTAGTTTAAAAAATCGAATAGAAACACAATAAATTCTAGCTGACAGAGATGACAAAAAATTCTATTAACTGTTGTCTCAATACATATGTACAATTTCTGAAGATATAGAACGAATAAATAGTGCATCTAGTTCTAGGAATATTCCTCAGTATAGTAACTTCAATAGCCAAAACTTTTAGTTCCATATCAAAATTAAAAAAAAAAAAATAACTTCTGAAACTTAATGCTGAGCCTAGAACTGTTTTGTTTTTCAAAATTAAAAGATCTTAAATAATCGTTTCAAAGCACAGCGATTGAAATATTTCTACCGCTCACAAAAACTATTTCTATAGTTAACTAAATTTTGATTTAGTTTCCTGCCGGCGACCAATTGAGAACGCAAGTGCCGGGCAATGGGCAGACAAAGTCAAGCTAGAAAGCTAACATCCAGCAATTGTTTGCTTTGTATTTTGTTTGCATTCACTGAAAACTTGCCAAACCAGCTGGTGGACAGCGGGACAGAATGGCAGAGTCTTACCTAGAAGTCGCATAATGGCCGCCCAAAGCAAGCAAAGCACCAACTGACACAACCAACAACTACAACAACAACAACAACTACCACTACAAGTATAACACACCAGCGGCAACACCAGCTGTTGTGGCTTATTGTGCGTCTGTCTGGCAATTTTTGGTCCCAGCGAGTATGTACGAGTATGTGGCTTTGTCGTTTGAATTTGCAAATTTAAACTGCCAAACAATAAGCTCCGCAGCTGAGCTGTGAAATATGAATGCACAGCACTTAGAACTGATTGCCTTCGGGCCTGGCTCTTTGCTTTTTATTGCACAATTAGTCGCAAAATAGTAACAAAAACAAAGCTCATAAAGAATATTAAATCACACACACACACACACACATGCTCACTGACTCACAGAATACCACAGCAACCGCCTCAAAAAAGAACAAGTTACCAATTTAGGTAAGCAGCTCAGAAAATATCTGTGTACATAGTGAGTAGAAAAAAATAATTTGAGGGTCTGAGCGCACATAATGCTGTTTGGGTGCTTTGGCATTTCTCAGACTGCGATTCGGGCGTATACACGTATGCACTTTTATGCCAAAGGTCAACAGCTGTGTTGCATTCGAACGACGCGTCGCGACGTGACACTTGCCGGCTGAGTCGAGATTGTGCGATGAATGGAGCACATTACATCCATTAGCTACCATATGAAATGCTTACTATGGCGCTATGAATGTGTAAATTAACAATGCAATTAACTAACAACAGTTGAAAACAGGTGTTTTTGCACTTTCTATCAAGTCTATCTAAGTCAGCAACCAAATGTATTTTGCCTTATTTCATACAAAAATACGCAAATATTTCAAAAATGTTCGAAGCGGTTAATTTGTTGCAAAAATGAATACCTTAGTTATGAGTCGATGTTATGAAAAGAATTTTTAAAAATCTTGCCATATATCTTTCTTATGTTTTTCGGGGACCTTGTTGCTTATTATTACTGATTCTATCTTGCTCAAGATCTTGGGTAGTAAACAAAATTGTATTTTACTCAGTTTTGTATTCTTTTAAAAAAAAATCTTTATTCTATATTTAAATCTGTTTGTTGGATTTGCGTTTTGTATTCCTAAAATCGAAAATTTTGAGATGAAATACTGATCGAGCAATAAAGCTATGGGTCTACTACAATTAGTTTATTTGATGAATAGTCTTATGGGCTTGGTTATATTAACAATCTATTAAGCCTTGAATGATATTGGTTTTGTAGACGGCTATTATCTAAGCAATAGGATTTACTTATAAGTACTTATGTTTCAATTATCTACTAAATACAGTAAGCCAAAAGTTTGAAGTTAGTCACTGAGATTTTGCAAATTTCTCCTGTGCCAGAAATAATTTGTAGGCCCAGAGGCTGGGCGCTGTATTGCTCAATGTTTGGCAATTGCCACAAATTATAGCCGTGCTGACAAACCTAAACCTTATGTAACCCCAAACAGATCTGAGGCTGTGGTCAACAAATTGGGCTTTAACCGCACGCAATGCTTATTGGCAGCTGCCAGTCAGAAACTAACGGCTAACTAAAGTCCAGGCGTTGTGGCCCACGTTACGTATACGCAACATGTAAGCCTTCTTCAATGCCAACGGGCTAATGTGCAAAAAGTGCCTGCCACTCAAAAGACAAAAGGCGCACTTAGGTGCTCAGCAACATGTTGCTGTTGTCATTGTTGTTGTTGTTGTTGTTACTTGGTGTCAGCTGCTGGCAACAAAAGAAAGTCCGTAAGCCGTCACATCGCATCGTGTCGCACGTTGGCCAAGTTCAAAGTTCAATGGAAGACGAGCCAACGAAATGGGAGATGCAAACAAAAAAAGAAAAGAAAATGAAACAGTGTGCAGAGTGTTGACAGCGGCAAACAAACGTGCAATTAACATCGCAAAGAGGCAAGTGAATGTGGAAGCGATGCAGAAATCAATTTGCATTGCAGACGCTGCAACATTGTTTTATTTTATTTTTTCCTTATCATTTTATGCAGCTTGGAAGCTTTTTGGACAATGAACCTGTGGCTGGCGGGCAACAGCAACAATAAACTTTAAATTAAATAATAATAAATAACATTGTTGTTGTTGTTGTTGTACTTGCAGTTACCACACACATGTTGCAGTGGCAGCCGTTGGCGACTTGCACTTTTCTTTTGTCTTTTGCATAGAAAGAAAGCGAGTGCAAGCGACCTGCGGACAAATCTTGTGGGTGAAATGTTTAATTGAAGCAACAGCCAAGCCATCAACCAGTCAACCAGTCAAGCAGTCAACCAGTCAGTCAACAAGGCAGGCAACAATAACAACAACTGACATTCAGTCTGGGCTCGTGAGAAATTAAATCAATTTAAAGCCGTTGCTTGCCAGCCATTTGTCTGTGCTTTGAACTCAACGTTGCACAGTGGAAGGAATTCCAAAAAAAAAAATAATACTTTCAAAATTCTTCTCTTATTGAGGTGGTGAAAAGATTTTTCCGCAATTTAATTGCGCACTAAAGCCTAGCTTGCACACACCTTAGAAATTCTTATACTAACCTCCGTTGCTAGCAGATTATCTTTTATATATTTTATCCGCATTTGCTAGCAGATTAAGAAGTGAAAGTAGCCGATGGACATAGCCTCTCCTTATCGCAGCACTATTAGACTACAATTGGAGCAACTTGTACTGCTCGAAACAGCTCTTCGTTCGCCACTAGCATGGTGCTAGAAGCACTATAATACTGATGCTGCTATGTACTCACTGCTACTGCTATTGGTGGTACCGCTAATACTGTTACTACAGCAACTATTAACACTTTTAATACTTCTATTACTACTACTTCTACATACTACTACTACTACTACTATTACTACTACTACTACTACTACTACTACTACTACTACTACTACTACTACTACTACTACTACTACTACTACTACTACTACTACTACTACTACTACTACTACTACTACTACTACTACTACTACTACTACTACTACTACTACTACTACTACTACTATTACTACTACTACTTAAAATACTATTAATACTACTACAACGATTACTACTACTACTTAAATTACTATTAATACTACTACAACGATTACTACTACTACTTAAAATACTATTAATACAAGTTCAACGATTACTACTACTACTACTTAGAATACTATTAATACTACTACTACCAATACTTGGAACACTATTTATATACCAATACTACTTAGAGTAATAACAATACTACTACTACTTTTACTAATACTACGATTGCTACTGCTAATACTACTACTTGGAATACTATTAATACTACTCCACTACAAACGCTTCTATTATTACTACAACGATTACTAATATTACTATATTAATATTGTTACTACTTCAACTAATGGAACTGTTAATACTACTACACTCCTAGTGTTTATACGTTCACTGCTTCTACTATCTACTACTAACTACTATTATTAACAACTATTATTTGAAGAACTTTTTTTTCCATAGTACTTCTTTTGTGCTATTATAATAGTGATCTACATCCAGTACTTTACAGTACATGCCATTTTATTTCATTTACTACAAATCTCATAGCACAGATGCTTATGCTAAAATTGATTAAGCTTTGGTCTAAAAGTTTAAACTTTTCTGTATTTCTCACACTGTGGCTCATGGAATTCGATTTTCATGATGTCGATGATAATTTAAACTCGTTCTTTTTTAATTAATTTGTGCAACATTTGAAAGTAAAGTTGGGCGGCCACTCGCTTTGCTGACAATTGAGTTGTTGTCGTTGTTCTTGTTGTTGTGTTGTTGTGTTGTTGTCGGCACGCCCCAAAATGTTAGTCCGCGTGCTTTTGCGGGTTTTATTTTCTTTGCCAGCTTCACATTTAATTGGCATTAATTACCTGTACTTTGTGTCACGAAATGGTCGCTAACTTTCACTGTAATCCAACTGTCGCCTGCTCCAAAAATTACAACAACAACAACAGCAGAGCAGACACAAAAATTGCAAAAACAACATTTGGTGTTGTTGTTGAGCACGCTAGATAGAGAGAGAGAGAGAGAGAGAGAGAGAAAACGAAAACCTCAATTGACAGCAACAATTTGAAGCGGCGATATGCGAAGTGAAGGCATGTTGTTGCTGTTGCTGTTGTTGTAATGGCCAGTAGCTGGTATTGGCCAGGTTGACAGGCCGCAACTGTGCTCTTAACTGCTTATCACCTCGCATCATTGCCGAACTCCTATTATTATCGTTTGCGTTTGTACAGAAGCAACAACAGCAGCAATAGCAGTTTGTGCGGCAAACCACAATTATGGCAAAGAGCTATATAAAACAGCAACAATTAGACAATTTCTGCTACCGTTACATATACGCGTACAGTAACAACTGCAACAACAACACCATCAACTCATTTTGGTCGCATTTTTCTTGTCGCCTTTTGCTTTCACAAGCACTGGGAGACAGAAAATTGCATTGCAAGGCAGTTTTCAGTTTGAGTTTCATTTCCATTTTTATTTTTCGTAATATTTTATGTAATTTGCTTTAATGCAATTTTAATGTATGCAGAAAAAATATGCAAAAAGGAAATAAATGGTGCACAGCAAGTCGCCTAAACGGCGACAACAGCTATAGCAACAACACCACAACAACAACAATGTTGTCTGCCTTTTGCAGCAATAAAAATGAGTGACATTTTTCTTCATTAAATTCAACATATTGTCAACATACCCCTCCGCTTAGAGCAGATGCTGCCGTCGCGACTCTGCCATGTTGTCATCCTCCCCACAGCAACGGCGTTCGTTTTTTCTCCCCAGTCACGTCGTTTCTACCCATAAATATAATTTTTTAGCTTGTCAATCAGGGTGAACTAGTACAGTGGCACCAAAGTCGAAGTTTTCAATATGGAAGAGCCTTTTAGTGCCATGATGTTATAATGGTTTCGCCAATTCTTCATCCAGGTTGGCTTTTCAAAGCAAAGTGTAAGTGTAAAGGAGATTTTTAGGCAACAAGCTTTTTCATTGCTTACCCATTCTCTGATTTTGTTCTTTTTAAAATTTAAATCATTTATGCTCCTTCAAAGTAACTTTTCTTAAATATTGCATAGCTTAAAAGCATTTCTTTCAATATTCCGATAGGCAGCAATATAAATACACCATACAATTCTGTAATTACTTGCAGAAAATTCACAACTGGCTATAAAAGTATATATGTGCGAACGTAAAATCTGCCAAAAAAGGCAATTATTTATTCAGATATATCTTTTAAGAACAGACGGGGAAACAAACCTTCAGTATACACAAGCAGCAAGAATTCGCTATGGCTTGCGTAGAGTGTAGGTTCTGACTTATTGGCTGGCCCGAATTGAAGAAGGATACGAAGCGATTCAAAAGAAATTGATCGCACCAACCATCTTAATATAGAACCGATATATAAGTATAATATTAGTTTGTTGTAGGCACTCACACATTCTTACAACTCAAAGATTGCTGCACATACTTCTTTTTGAATATTATTAATCAAAAATTATTATTAAAAATTCTTACAGTTCTCGCTTTCAAAAATGATAGAAATGATTATTTTTCATCTATCGAGCTCAATTCTGATTATCAGTCATTGCTAATGTTTTCGAAGAGAGTGAAAGGACTTTGTATTTCTTTGTGGTGCCACTGTAACGCGTTGCATGTGCTCGGAACCTGCCTAAAAATCTGTCGGGTTGCATCTGAATATGAATAATGGTGTATGCAGCAGCTGCGACCTTACACTGCATAAAATTTGCCAGCGTTTAGCATGCCCGCTCACCATTAGAAGGGAATCCCTGCAATACTCGTGTGCATTTAAGCGAGCATGGCCAACATTTTCACACCTCATACGTGTAATGTGGCTTTGCCTTCTCAGTGGGCAACATCAATTAATTAGCAGTTCCGCCACATAAAACACGCGCCACAAATCTGCGCTCCAAATCGCTTGCAGTGGTAGGTAGTGGCAGTGGCAGACCCAAGTAGGTGGCAACTTGTTGCCGCCAACTCGATGGGCATGAGCGGCGACAATGCTGCACGTGTGCGACATGTCACGGGAGATTACAATTACAACAACAACAATAGCAGCAGCAGCAGCAGCAGCAACATGCCATACAGATTGTTGTCAAGTTGTTTTTTAAGTAGTACGAGTATCTGTTTAGCTGGGCGTGGGTGAAGCCACGTGCTTGTATCCACAACTTAAACTGTTTATATAACCCAGGGCAATTATTTTTGGACAAACTCGAAATACTATGTATATGTTCTACGCATTTCGCTACAACATTAGAAAAGAAATCAAGATGGATGGAGCTGAAAACCTAGATAAAATTATTTGGCCTTTGTTTTGTTGCACGTGTATCTCAAAAAGTATGTAGGTACGAGTGGGCTTGTATTTTGTTTGAAATGGAAAGTTTGTATTGTTGTGGCCACCATCTTTCACTCGAAAGCAAATTTTGGACTAAATGTTTCAATTCAACCAGCAATTTGTTGTTTCTCTTGCTGAAAATCTTTTGAATTGTGGCCATTGAGTTTCTGTTTACTTTCCATGCTTTTTTTTTTTTTTGCTCTAAACAATGCGGGTAAGAAATCAAATTGAATGCGAGGGGGGCCTTAAAGTAGTGTCACAGTTTATTGTTTAAATAAAATACAATTTCATAACAAAGTTGTTGACTGTAATATTTCATTGGCCTGCTTGCCTGCAATGGCTCAAACCAAAGTATAATGGTGTTTACAAATCAATAAAAAATATAAGGAAGTACCTATCCATCGCCTATCTGATGCTCTGATATTTTTTGATAGGAGTCCAATGCCATAATCCATATTACATTCGTTCGTGCTTAAATTTATTGTTTTTTTATTCCTATTTCCTCTCGAAGCAAAGAGCTTCCGTCTTGAGCTTAACATTTAAATAGGATGACAAACTGGGTTCAGTATAATAGTTAAGACATAAATTTTCACCAATAAAAAGAAATTCTTTTCTTAAATAAAGATTTATACGATTATACATTGGCTTTTTGAGGGCCTACTTGTACAGAAAACCAAAATTAACGAATATTCTACTAAGGAAATAAATAGTGAGTGCCAACTTAATGGCTGCATATATGTATAATTTACTTTATATTTCCCTTTCGATATCTAATGGAACTTGTCTCACAAATATCGACCTCCTACAATGCTTGTCAATCATTTGGCACAACTTTTTCAGACCTCCCTCGTCAAAGAAACTTCTTGGTAGCACACAACTTTCAAGTTGGCCAGAAAAGTTTCTATCTCAACAGCGAAAGCATTTCAGTTAGCTTCGCCAATCCCCCCTTCCCCTCTCCCACGCAGCTATTCTCCCATTCAAGATTGAGTTCATTGCCATTGCGCATAATTTCTGCGTCACTTAACACACGTTCAACATTATTTAATGTGTGGCCAATTAAATTTTATAATAATTAACCATGTTGAAAAGAAAACACTGGGCTGTTTAGGTTGAATCGTACATACATGGATGTACTTTAGTACATACTTGTACAAGTATCTACACATTAAAACTTTTGCAATCTTTGCATGCCATTTCCAGTCAATTGCAACTGCAGTTGCCATTTCTTCCTGGTCTTGCCACATAGCCTGGCGGCTTGAAAGCCACCGCCCCCAGCTCTGCAACGACCACAAATACACATTGTTTAGACGCCTCAAATTACAAGTGTTTTACATGTTGAGTTGCAGGTCTTCAATTGCCACAGTTGCTTTCGATTGCACTTACACTCTGGCTTTGTTTTGTATTTGCAACATGTTGCAAATTATAGACAAGGGGGCAGTGCTTAGCTAATCGAGAGGCATGCAATGCTTCACTCGCTCGCATGTGAAGTGCCAAGTGTTTTGTTACGCATTTTTGCGTTCTGTGTGAAACAAATTACAATAAAACTACCAGCTAGGGCTCATTGGCTGGAGGCATTTCTCTGCACTTTTTCTCTGCTCTTACCTCGTTAAACTTTCCTCGCAGCACGCCTTAAAGTCGTCGTCGTTCTGCAAGAAATTAAGCAATACATGATACAAATTAATGGGCATGTCTTCAGCAATTACAACAATAATAACAACAACCAAAAATGCACAGTTCAATGGCCGACCAGCTCGTGCAATGAGCCATAATGGTCAGAAATGTGCGCGTAACTCAAAATCAAATTACAAAATTTTGAACCTGCCCACACACCCAGCCAGGCAGAGCCAACTGAGTTGGCGCCAAATGCATCGACCTGCCTCGTGTTTCACAGCCACTGCCCAAATCCAAATCAAAATCCAAATGACCCGAATTCGATGCACGTAGAGCTCGCATTTCATGCTCGGCATCGCCAAAACTCCCGACAGCGTCCCTGCAATTTTTGTATTTCTTTTACGAGCTGCTCGTTCAATTGGCATTAAGTAGGAACATACATGACTCTGAATCGGGGGCCAATGCGTCATTGCGCCGTCAGTCATGTGAGCAGCTGCACTAAGAAAAAAGTTGCTTATAATAGCACTTCCGAATCTTCAATTTAACAAAGAGTGAGGGGAGGTACTAGCAAGGCTGCAGTTCCACGATTAAACAACTTGGAAAATAGCATTTGGCTCTAATAGTTTTTCTAAATAAAATGATATGGTATCCAAAAAGAACATACATCTATGCTATTTTAAAAGATCATCTCGTTCTCTATATTGTTTTATTGGACAGTAATATACAAGTAGTAAGGCATCCAGCTCAGAAAATGCACTTTGCTTTGTTCAAATATTTGTGGCACTTTTAAGCAGCAATATATAAGGCTAGAAGAGTGTGCCAAACTCCTAGGAATTGTAATTTGTTTCTGAATTATTGTAATATAATAATAAAGTCTAAAATAATGTTCTCTAAATAAATATTGTGGAGTAAGTTCCTGAGTAGACAATCGGTTCGAAAACTCTACAAGAGTCCCCACTTGTTTATGAATGTCAAACTGTTGTAAGTATTACGGCATAAGTTGCAAGCCGATTCGCAAAAAAAGTATATCTTTAAGTTGTGAAATAATTTAATAGATTTACGTACAATAGTAATGGATGGATTTCAACAAGCCCACAAATGGCTTAGACTCTCTCTGTAGCTTGTAATGCCTAATTATGTTCTCAATTTTCAAACGAATATTACAAAACAAAAGCTAAGAGATTAAATTTCTTTTTGGAATCGATCACTTCAGAAAGTTCACACTAGCTTTCTAAATGAGAAAAAAAAAGTAAGACAATGATGTCAGCAACTAATTATTACTCTATTATTTTGTGTCAGTTCACTATTAGTTTCCTCCCACTTTTTCCTCCAGTGTATATGTGGCTTATGCACTTTTGGCGCACAAATCAAAGTGTTGGCATTTTGGCATTTAATCGACTCTCCGTTCGTTGCCAGTCGAGAGTCGAGTCGCATAAATAGCGTATTCTCTTGGCGTTCAGTTGCCTGTGCTGTTGACCAAGTTGCTGTTACCATCCAAGACGACCAGTTTATGCACTTGAGCTCTGCTTTCATATGCATGCATATGTATGAATGCATGCTACCCAAGTATATTTATATGCTTGTGTACTGAGTATGGAGTATGTAGAATGGTTTTTATATCGTGCACTAAAAACTGTTCATCAAGGTTAACGTGCCAAGTACCAAGTGCCAAGTGCGAAGTAGTTTTTATGACTGGCACTTGTTCTTGTGGCTTATAAAACTAATTTTTATGTCAATTGCCGTAGTCAACATTTTAAATGGTGGCATCGAAGAGGGGGGCCGGCACTTTTTGATTCCGATACCGATCTCGGTACTGACCAGACCTGGTCGCCAATCATGCAAATGCATTGGCACAAAAATTTGCATTTTCATGGCAATCTGTGCTATTTGTTTGACACATTAAGTGCAGGGGCTGCGGAGCAACTCCGCAAACACACACACACACACCCTGCAGACACAGATACGTGTACCCGTGTGGCAGAGCCAGTGAGGTACTATTTGCTGTTGTGGCATTTGAACAAATAATGATATTTGAATTTTATTTGGCATTTCAACAATGATTATGATGTGGCAGCTTGGACTATGGAAACTGGGTTAAGACCACAAGTGGCACGAAGTGTTTTTCGTGAATAACAAAAAACGTCTTAATGAAAAGGGTGTGTAAAGTTGTGATTAGAAAGAACCATTTCAAATTACTCAGCTACAACAACAAGAACTTCAATTAAAGAAGTGCGAAAGCTGCTAAACAATAAAGCTGCACAAGTTGTATATGAAAATTTAAAAAAGCAAAATCAATAATGTAAAGTCGCAAAAATGTCAATAGGTGCCTGCTTTTGCTTTAAAAAGAATGACGAGCTTGTTTTTATGGCTCTGCAGTTATATTACAAACGCAATTCGAATAAGAAGACTTTGCTGTAGGTCGTTAAGCCGTTAGTTATTATTACTCAGGGAATATATTTTTATATAGGCACATTTTGTAGTCATAGTCGTTTACAAATGTTATGTACTTTCTACGTATTTTGTTCAACTGGTGTTGACTGCTATTCTTCAAATTTCTCATTTTCTTTATGTGAGTATTATGTAGTTAGGAAAAGTAATGGCAATAATTTGTTTACTTTTATTACTGTATGCCTCAATGGGGAATCTGTATGTCTTATGTCTAATACTTGGCTTGTAAATGAAGCCAAATTAAGGTTATAATTATGCTCTGTTTATGGCGTGAAGCTGTTTCTTTTCCCAATGTCATTTGTAGACTCGAGACCCCTTTTGAGCCGCCACCACTGGACACTTTTTGCACACTCATGGCCCACACAGCCAACTAGTACTCGTATCTGTTGTCAAGTGCAATTACTGCATACACATTATCAGTTGCGTTTAAGCACGGCTTTTAATTAACTTTTTCAAACTACTGCCCATACATGCAAAAACATGCAGAGAGTTCGGACATGTCGGGGTGGCTGGCAGCTTTTAATTACCAGGCATTCGATTTTGCGGTGGCCGCTTTACCGGTTCTGATTTATCCGTAAAGAACAAACGCATGTTGGGCGCTTTGTTGTCTATAAGCCACTTGAGGCATATGAGCGAGTCAGTCCGTCAGTCAGTCAGTCAGTCAGTCAGTGAGCCAGTCATATGTAATTAATTACCGCGGTGCTGGGCTTTGGATCGGTTACAGTTAAAGGCCTTGGGCCAAATTGCTTTGTATTTATTTAAATGGCTCTACTCTCCGCCATCTCTCTTGTTATCTTCCCGTTGCCGTTGGATAACTAGATACAATTTCGATGGCTTTTCTAATGAAAGAACTCGGCCCGAAAAGTGTAGCACCGAAACTAACTAATGCCCAAACGAGTTACGGATATAAATCTCTAACAACTTACTTGATTGCCACGCATGTTCAGGAAGCACATACATGAGAGTAAGTATAGTAACTTTTTTGTTGTACACGCGTACAAGTAGTAGAATTCAACGGAATTTCAGCAACTTTGAATTAAATGCATGAACCATGGAGCAGCCCACGGTTGAGCTCTGCTCTGTGGTGGTGCTGGAGCGGTAGTTGGTCTGTTGTGATTGTGATAATAAAAACATTGAAGGTCATTACTGGAAAAACGGGTTTCTGCGCCATCGTCGCTGCTGTTGGCGTCGCTGCTTGGCGCGAAGTGAGTAAGCATTTAGCATGAAATACCGTTGGGATTATGGCACTGAATATGCATAGGCAACCCACCCAACTGCTACCTGCTACCAACTACCAACTACCAGCTCTCTCTCCTCCAACAAGCCTGCTTTAATAGCCAGCGCCAAATACTGCCAGTCGCGTCATCATCGCCAGCACCAGCACCAGCCACCATCACCCATCAGCATCATGGTTGTCGTGAGCGTCAGCGTCGCAAACTGGCTGCATGCATAAATTATGCCCCGAGCCATTTGCAAATGACATTCGTCGCAGTGGCAGCGTAGTCCAGCCCCAGACCAGGCAGAGAACACAGCCACTTCTGAATCTGCAGATGGCTGCTGCAGCACGCAAACTTTGTAGTCTTAAGCCCACGCCAGACCGTTGACTAGTGACGCCTTTGCCATTGCCTTTGCCTTCGTCGTCTCCGGCGCCTGCTGCTCACTGTTGGCGCAGTCAGGCGTTTAACTGCATTTGCCAAAAGGTCAACATGGGCGGTTCATTATGTAGTTGGTGTAATTACATGGCAAATATGGCCAAGAAGCAAACTGAACTACGATTTAATGCTAAACAATAATGCCGAAGTCGTTAACAGAGGCTTAACAGCAGCACGTTCTGTAAATGTTAACAGCTCTGGAACACATTTCGGGGACTCCCAGACGCTATCATCGAATCCAACTCAAATATATCAAGCATATCATTATGGCAACTAATATTTTAGTATAGCTGGGGGTTTTATAACTTAATTTAAAAGCCATCAGAAAGCTATCAGAAAAGCTTACCAAAAAGTTTAAAAATCGTGCAGTTATTGGGTAAAGAGTACTCTTATAGGAATTTAACTTTAAAGCAAACATTTCAACCGAGTTCTTCTAAATTGTTTGAACAATCTTTAAATTTGTTGCATTTATAAATTGAAATGAGCTCAACTAAATCATTTTTAAACGATTTCAAAAAAGAGGAGGCTATCAATTCGTCTGTATTTTTTTTTTAACACACAATTTTAAAAATTGTTCTCTCAATCTTAGAGAAATTAGAGCTAAGACGGATAACAAAAAACAATCTACTACATACAATCTACTACTATGACCGTATTGAAGAAGTTACGAGTTGGGGAAGTTTCAGTTTTAAAAGTAATACTGTGATTCAAATACTTTAATTAGTCCTTTCGTATAAATAACTCTTTAGATTAGTTTGTTTGAGAAGCTTAGCTGCCCTTTAGATACAATATCTCCCAAAGAAGTTGATCACTTTTTTTTAGCCAATCTCTTAATCTGCTTTCATTTCACCACCACCAAAGGCATTATTTATGGACATAGCATTCTGTAGATGTCTTTATATTTTTGTTATATTTTCGTATTGAAGCTGGGATTT